ACGACTTCGTACAAACAACATCGGTTAACCAAACAAGCGTTATCTAGATGAAGTAAGAATTGTTATTTTTAATACCAATGTCTATCGCCATGCACGACACCCCAGGGGAGTATCCACATCTTGAAATAGTGTTAATGTGCACACTTAACAGTGTGTGAGTGAGTGTGGTTTTATGCCACTTTTAGCAATATTCCATGAACATCACATCAGGAGACACCAGAAATGGGCTTCACACGTTGTACCCATGTGAGAATCGAACCCGAGCCTTCGGCGTGACGAGCAAACACTTTAACCACTATACAACCCCATCGCCCCGCACACTCGCACACTTACCAGAAACACATTATAGAAACTGTTGATTACTGGCTGCTCTTGTATCACTATTTCCACACGAAACATACTTTCTGGATAGTTTCCGTCGGTTTCTATTGATCTCAGAACAAAGGAGACCAGTAAAACCGTCTCATCTGTTCCATATTAAGATCTATGCATACAGATACAAACTCAGAGGATATTATATCAGTGTTCTTGTCATACTAGTAAAACCGTCTCATCTGTTCCATTTTTAGATCTATGCATACAGATACAAACTCAGAGGATATTATATCAGTGTTCTTGTCATACTAGTAAAACCGTCTCATCTGTTCCATATTAAGATCTATGCATACAGATACAAACTCAGAGGATATTATATCAGTGTTCATGTCATACTAGTAAAACCGTCCCATCTGTTCCATATTAAGATCTATGCATACAGATACAAACTCAGAGGATATTATATCAGTGTCCATTGTCATACTAGTAAAACCGTCTCATCTGTTCCATATTAAGATATATGCATACAGATACAAACTCAGAGGATATTATATCCGTGTTCTTGTCATACCAGTAAAACCGTCTCATCTGTTCCATATTAAGATCTATGCATACAGATACAAACTCAGAGGATATTATATCAGTGTTCATGTCATACTATGTTTATGACTCCAGTGTCTAAATCCCGGTATTTTGTCACGAGTGTCGTAAACTTTTTTCTTTTCTTTTTCCTCCTTTTTTAATTAAGATAACTTTATTTCTAATACTAAATGTTATTCTAATAATACTGTAGTTTTGTAACTGAGTGTCGTAAACTTAGTATGTCATGAACACGAATATAATGTTCTATTTATTACGAAGAAGATGTCTACATATAGAGACAAATTTTAGTGTTTACCTATAAGGAAAGCTGGGCACAGACCAATCTTAGTTACAATCGATCTTGAGCGGCTACAATCAACTTTACAATCACTATACAATTGTCCTATTCCACTTCCACAAACCGATCTTAACGCGATTGTAACGCGGCTTTGATTTAAGATCGCGATCTTAGCTGAGATCGAAATCTTCAACCGTGGAGGTACGATTATCTTAAACTCGACTACTATCTACAGTTGTCTGAAAGCGCGCATAGCTTGCTGCGCATACAATAAGTGGAACCGGCAATGACACACAGCAGTACCTCCCCCCATCGCACCTTGCAGAGTTTAAGGTCCAAATTATTTGAAGGAAACGATCACTAGAAGGATGACACATATTTTTGTCGGCATTAATACTGTAGAATCTGGTATTCAAAAGCACTGTGACAGGATTCCGTCACGCCTAAGGGACGCAACACTGCATAACTTATTTTAAGTTGTATTGCGCATGAGTGGGTTTAACGCCGCTTTGAACAGTACTCAAGTTACATCACGTCTTGTCAGCCTAATGATGGAGTAAGGTAACCTGGGCGAATCGGCAACTCTGCACAGGGATATTTTGCGTCTTAGTTTGTATAGTTGTTGTATGGTGTGTATGAACGTCGATATATATATGCAACGAGATTGTTCAACGGGTTGATCTAATTGGCGTCACTGTATCAAATATTTACAGCAGTCAATTGAGTCCCAGCCTCAACATATTTTTCTCAGTCATTGCAATACTTTATCATGGGCTATTAGGTTATGGAGTATTCGCTAACAAGTAAGTTTTTGTTGATGTTTTTCTACACAAAAATTCTATGAATATTAGAACCACAAGATTTAACTAGTCGTTGTCACGTTGCCTGGGGATGATGCTTGAACGCTTTAGGAACACTTCGTGAGTGATCCAGAAAGTGACGAGGATCATCGGAAAACAGTCAGTAGTCACTTCAATGTTTTTGTTTTGAAGAACTGGAGAGGACTAACAGTACCTACCGTAATATGTGATGTGAAATACAACGATCTATAATTGGTTGTTGAAATAGTATCTCCCGTGTGAGCTTTGAGAGGGACGAATGCTGAAACAGACCATGCTGTCTTTGTGTCTGTTTGCGGTGACTATGTTTGTAATTATTGTTGATACATCATACGACTTGGAAAGCCTGCAGGAATCTGTAACCAGCTCTCAAGAACCTATGACTAGCCCACATGGAGGTCTGACTACCCCTCAAGAACCTGTTACGAGCCCACAGGAAGGTCAGACTGCCCCTGAAAAACCTGTTCAGAGCCCACAGGAAGGTCTGACTACCCCTGAAGAACCTGTTACGAGCCCACAGGAAGGTCAGACTACCCCTCAAGAACCTGTGACTAGCCCACAGGAAGGTCTGACTACCCCTCAAGAACCTGTGACTAGCCCACAAGGAGATCTGACTACCCCTCAAGAACCTGTTACGAGCCCACAGGAAGGTCTGACTACCCCTCAAGAACCTGTGACTAGCCCACAGGAAGGTCTGACTACCCCTCAAGAACCTGTTACTAGCCCACAAGGAGGTCTGACTACCCTTCAAGAACCTGTTACGAGCCCACAGAGAGGTCTGACTACCCCTCAAGAACCTGTGACTAGCCCACATGGAGGTCTGACTACCCCTCAAGAACCCGTGACTAGCCCACATGGACCTGTGAACCAAGAGGACGAGTTCCTGACCGCAGTACTAGCCACTGAACAGCAGTGCCACGCAATGTGTGTCTATGTGAAGCCCTGTGTCACGTACTCCTGGCAGGTACAGACTAGGCACTGTCTACTGAAGCCTTCTGGCAGGATGTGCAGCCGTTGTGCGTCCATGTCGGAACCGGGTTGGGTACATGGAAGCTTGGACACCTTTCGTATTGTAAGTATCATGTAACATCCCTCAGTACTTTTTCTGTCATAGGCAATGTTATGCCTTCTTGATACTACCTCAACTGAAACATGTATGCCGTGATGACAAGCGATCATCTTTTGTCGAATGGGTTGAAATGATTCATCGGGAATTAACAGAGAAATCGGGAATTGTATAAATAGGACGTTAGCCGAGACTAAATATGATGTTAGGAATAAAAGACATTATTGTTCGAGCTTTGCGAGTACACATATATTTTTTTATAAATATTATGACATATACGATATACGATACAGATACGAGAGTATGATAAAATACTATTCTTCAAATAGTAATAAAAAGAAGAAGAATAGTATAAACATCCTTTGCCGAGTCCTTTTCTAATGATATTGGCATACCCTTTGGGCTCGACAAATGCAACATTTTTCATCTGAAACGTGGCAAGGTAGAAGAAAGAGGATCGGTCAGTTTACTTTAGAGAGGAGTTATTGACCATCTCTTCGAAGGTCAGGCCTATAAGTACTTAGGGATGCAGGTTAGAGAAAACTCCAGAATGCCCACTTCGGGCAGAGCACAAATGTGAACATAAGAAAATCTGGAGCTTAGAGCTGAACGCTCGCAATAAATCTGTCTGATTATCCTTTTGTGAAGCATTTCAAGACTCACGATGTGGCAATCAACAGTTTTCTTAAACGAGCCAAGGATGTTGGACATAATCGCAATGTCAATGCTATTTTTGTTGATGGTTTTGTACCGCTGGATGGTACAGAAATGAGTGTCAACCATGCGAAGTACCATGTCAAATCGGCCCAGACTCAAGGAGAAGCTATCTGAACGACCACTGCATCAAGGTCACTTTAGGTCACTTCCCACTCGAGACCGTCAAGGTGTCACATTTAAATATGAAATGTGGAAATTAGGGAACACTGATATGTTTGCACTTAAAATCAAAAAGGAACTGAAGACAATGTGTAGTAAATTCAATAATGACCGAGTAAACAGTAAGAAAGTATCATGAACAATCCACTACATTTCATAACGTGAACAAGTGTTGATGTCAATAATGTCACTGGGGTCAAAATTGGAAACCCAGGCCATGAGAGAAAAGTCAGTAACGAGTGTGTCCGCCCTTAGCAGCCACGCATGCAACACAACGACGATCATGGATGTCACTAATGTCTGTAGTGTGTTCTGGGGGATAGCATGCCACTCCAAACTCAGCCATTGAGCAAGTTGGCGCAGATCTTGAGGTGGAGGGTGGTTCTCCCTAACAGGTCTCGTTGACAGATCCCATACGTTTTCAACGGGTGCCATATCAGGAGAATATGTTGGCCATTCCATGCAAGTAACATTGTTTTGTCCCAGAAAGTCAGTGACTATGCGTGCACGATGAGGTCTAGCATTGTCATCCTGGAAAACCGCATGTGGGCCTATTCGATGAAGACAAAGAATCACCATTGGTCTCAGAATTTCATCCCTGTAGCGAACAGCATGCAAATTCCCGTTGATGACGTACAGATTGGTTCTGTGATGAATTGAGAGGGCGGCCCACACCATGACACTACCACCACCAAAACGATTGTGCTCACGGACGTTGACGTCAGCAAAACGTCCCCCACGCCGTCTGTAGACAAGAACACGACCGTCATTATGCTGCAGTGAGAACGGAGATTGTTCTCTGTCCACTGTCGGTGTTGCCGTGCCCATGCGTCTCTGGCTTTTCTGTGACGCGGAAGTAGAAGCGGTCTAACGGCTTGACGTCGGGGCCTGATGTTTCTTTCCCTCATACAGTTTTTAATGGTTTGGTCACTTACATTTGTTCCTGCAGCCCTCAGTTGCCTTCGAAGATTTTTTGCTGTGACTGTTCTCCTCAATGCTTCAACAATGACGTACCGGTCTTCTCTTCCTGTTGTCACACGAGGACGTCCTGACCTTGGTCTATCACGTACTGTCTGTGTTTGTTTGAATCGCTGACGTAATCTGCAAATGACAGATGGACTAACATTTACCTTCGAGCACTTTCCCTATATTGCGTTTCTTTTTTTTTGAAGAGTATATAATGATTCTCTATATGTCAAATTCAACATGTGGAAAGAATGCAAAAAAATTCTCACTATTCACTATAAAAACAGTACAGATGTAGGTCGAGTTCGGGTGTGGATTGATTCTGGTGGTGGGCATACACAATACCGACTGACATTTGTGTTATTCTGAGTTAGTGAGGTTTTCTTCATTATTTTGCTTATTAATCAATATATACATATAACAACATTACATTGGGGCAACATTTTAAGTTTCATATATATGAATATATACTGAGTCAAATTAAAAACTTCACATTTTTAAAAGTAATCCCATATATGATATACAATGGACAAATGTATCAGAGAAGGTAATTTTTAATCATTAATGTCCAAAGAAGGATTTTAATTAACGGTGGTAACCATAATTTGTTCCAAGCACCTACGGTATTCGGTAATAACATCAACAGTTTAAATCATAAGTCCCAGGCACGAGAATCTGATGGCACACAAGTTCACTAGCGTGTATGGCCACCATGTGCATTGACAACTGCCACACAACGCCTCCGCATGGACCTTGTGATGCTTGTGAACACATGATTGGGAAGGCGACGCCATTGTTGCTGCAAAATGGTGCCAAGATCTTGCAAATTCTGTGGTTGGTTCTGAAGAGGTGGCAGACTTCTGCCAAGAGCATCCCAGACGTGTTCGATGGGATTGAGGTCGGGAGACCTTGACGGCCAGTCCATGACGTTGACTCCCCCATTCTGAAGGAAATTCCTTGTCAAAATTGCTGTGTGGGGTCTGGCATTGTCGTGTTGGAAGATCAAACCGAGTCCATGTGCTGCCATAAAAGGCAGAAGTTCTGGTGCCAGTACCTGGTCGCGGTAAGCAGCAGCTTGAAGTTGCCACGGATGACAAGAAGCCTGGAACGTGCATTGCCACAGAAAGCACCCCACACCATGACACTTCCGCCTCGAAATATGTCAACTTCCTGTACACAACACTGGGCGTAACGTTCATGACGGCGCCTCCACACCCACGCGCTACCATCAGCAAATCGAAGATTAAATCGGGATTTATCACTGAAGGCGAATTGATTCCAATTCCTCTGAGTTCATCGTAAGTGTCGCTGTGCCCACAATTGACGTTGACGTTTGTGTAATTGAGTCAGAATCGGCTTGCAGTATGGCCGTCGTGCTTGAAGGTGAGCAGTTCTCAGACGGTTTTGAACAGTTTGCGCACTCAGTCTACCCCTAAACAGTTCATTTCTGGTTGATGTAGCCGTCAAAAATCGGTTACGGAGGTGACGTAAGACAATCTGACGATCCTCTGCGTGTGACGTCACACGTGGTCGACCTGGCCGAGGGCGATCAGCGGTGGTACCCGTTTGCTGTAAACGCGTCTGTAAATCATAAACAGTCCGTTGACTACAACCCATCGTCCTTGCAACTTCAGCTACGGACGTTCCCGTCTGCAACATGCCGATTGCACGTTCACGTTGCACATTTGAAGTTAAGATTAAAGAAATATATTGCTATGCCATTCTTGAGAGCCACAGCCCAGAACAGGTTGTTTAAGTTGAGACAGAAACATCGTTGAATTCCCACCGTCTGGTATTATCAATACATGTCCAAATCTGTACTTGAAAATAATTTTCTTGATTTTAGTAGCCCAAGATATACGACCAACAATAGATATGTTTGTTGAGGTAATTGATTACTGTTCATGGTAATTCGTTTAATCAAGTATTTTTATACACTTGACATAATGTGCATACAGCTCAAGTCTTCCACATTCACCAAGGACGGCATGGATAGTTACATTGTTTGGCAGTTTTAAGTATTTAGAATATATTCTATCTACGTATTCACATCACTTAATTCCCAATAAATCTGTAAGGTAAAATCGGTAAAAGCATTGCATCAAACATGTTCGTTGATGTACGTAAGCCTCCAGAAAGGTAATGAATTTAAATATATCAGAAAAAATGTTTTTTTCTGCTTGTTGTGCCAAGTTAGTTGTTGCGGAACACAATCAATTTTATGATTAACTACCTTACACTTTCTTGCAAATGTAAATCGGCAAATGTAACATAATTTGCTTAACAGGGCTAAATTAAGATATTTACGATGGTTTGCGTAAGATAAAGACGTTGATAACATACTGGTAACAAATGGATCCATATATTAATACCTTTGCAATATCTTTGTCTGGTTAAGGCTTGATTGCTTATAGGCCGCCGTCGTATGGCAGGAGTACTGCTGCGTGTCGTCAGGCACCAAACAGACATTTATTGTGAAAGTGGCTGGTGCTACCGGAAGGGCAAGAATGCTTACCCTTTTTTGACATCACTGATTTTCAGTGATCCATAAATATAACTGGCACCGTCATGTTGTCTTTTATGCCCAGAGGAATCTGTTCTGTCGTAAAAGGCGACTAACGGGATCGGTTGGTCAGGCTCGCTGACTTGGTTGATGCATGTCATTGATCCCAATTGTGCGGATCGATGGTCATGATGGTCACTGGATTCTCTGGTCCAGACTCGATTATTTGTAGACTGACGTCATAAAGCTGGAATATTGCTGAGTGCAGCGTTAAACAACAAACCAACCAGAAAACTGTCCCTGCTGAAAATGGCGCCAACGGTTACTTTTATGTATATGTCGTTTTCCCCGTATGTCACCTCAAAACAAAAAGCGTATGCATATATAAATGTCATGATATTTTTACGCAGGCAGCAAACCGTCTGTGTGGTGGCCGCCCATGTCAGGCTATGGAGATGTGCATACCTATGACTTCAGGGGCTGTGTGTCTGCCATTGGGTGAGTACATATTGTTTTAATGCCAGGCGTTTGAGTGGATTTTGATCTCTAGATATTGTTCTCTTTTCTCCAGACCCTCTCCAAGGAGCCCAACTCAAGTCCAGAATGAGTTGGGAAGTCTAGATTGCCTCAGATCCTGAAATTAAGGATTGTTCTGGGCTTCATTGGATTTTATTATTTTTATTTTGTAGATATATATCTTTAAATAAGTTTGCTATATTTCGGGGACTAAATGTCAGTTTAATCGGGTCCTGACAATCTTAATTCGGCTACAGGACCGACCATCGTTGATACCACTGCGACTGAAGAGCCTAAAACTGGTGTTCCGGGATCCAGTGATGCCATTTCAACTAAAAGTACTAATCCAAGCATATCTTATGAAACAACCCCTAGGGGGTCTACAACTACCACTTCGGAATCAGATGACGAGACTGCCACTAGAGGGTCAAACACTAGTGGATCCGAAACTGCCACTACAGAAGATGATGTGGAAACTACCACTGAAGAATACAGGCCTACTACAAGCGATCCTAAGACTGCCGACCCAGACTCTGGTGATTACCACTACAAAATATGATGATGAGATGAGACGCGTCACTAGAGGATTCTAAGACTACCATTACGAAATAATATCACCACTATAGAATATAGAACTAGAGCTGGAGGATCTAAGACTAACACTACAACATCGTATGAGACCACAACTATAGCATATAGAACTAGAGCTAGATGATCTAAGACTGCCACTACGACACCGTGTGAGACCAGGGCCCCGTTCCACTAAGCGATATTAGCGCTAAGATGATCGTAACTCCCATACTTTAACATAGGCTTACGATGATCGTAGCGGTAAGATCGCTTTGTGGAACGGGGCCCTGCACTATAGCACACAGAACTAGAGCTAGATGATCTAAGACTGCCACTACGACACCGTATGAGACCATAACTATAGCATACAGAACTAGAGTTAGATGATCTAAGACTGCCACTACGACACAGTATGAGACCACAACTATAGCATACAGAACTAGAGCTAGATGATCTAAGACTGCAACTACGACACCGTGTGAGACCACCACTATAGCATACAGAACTAGAGCTAGAGGATCTAAGACTGCCACTACGACACCGTGTGAGACCACCACTTTAGCATACAGAACTAGAGCTAGAGGATCAAAGACTACTACTACGAAATAGTATGAGACCACCACGAAAGCATATAAATTAGCACAAGAAGACCCAGACTTTCATTACAAACTAGTATGACACTCCCACTACAGAATCTGTGACTTTCCACTCGAAATCAGATGATTGCACGACTACGTTTACTGCAAAGACTACCACTGGAAGTCGTTGGACTAAATCTCCGATATTGGCAGCTGATACCAGTACAAAAATGTTTTTTCTCTTTTGGTTTTATGAGATTTATGTTGTACGCAATGGGTCTATTAATAAAGTATATTAAGTACATAACTAGAAATCCAGCGTTATTCCAACACTAGTACTGACATTAGGTATCCAAAAATAGAGAGGACACACTATATACGGTTGCACTCGAGTCGAAGATAGGCGCAGAGATCGGTGCACGCGCAAGACCCTTCGACATTACCCTGCTTGCACAGACACGTGACACAAACTTAGGCCAACTGACGTCGCATGGGGTGCACTTGATTACACCAGTTTTTTCACTTGGCGATTTAAAACAATATTTCCTGATTTAAAATACAAAATGTATTTCTTATTGACTTTTCAACATACATATTGATGTTTTTCCGTCCTGTTGATGCCACGCATGCGTCAAAGTTTCTTGCATTTTTTCTTATCTTACTTAGAAAATAGGAAACCCTCTCAAGAAGAGTTAGACTCTATTTTCCTGGGAACAAATTGCCCATCGGTATGTTATGGTGGCCGAGAAGGGACATCGCTTTCTCGCCTTCAATTACGGCCACGAGAAAGCAAAAAAGCGATAACACGAGGCGAGAAAGAAATAGCACGAGGCGAAAAATCGATAAGTATATCGCTTTCTCGCCTCGTGTTATCTCTTTCTCGCTTTCTCGAGGTAAAGCAATATCCCCTCTTTGCCACTGTAGGGGTCGCCTGTGTTTCTATACGATAAAACGTATATATGTAAAACAATAGTTCGTTCGTTTGTTGTTTAACGCCGCACTCAGCAGTATTCCAGCTATATGACGGCGGGATGTAAATAATCGAGTCTGGACCAGACAATCCAGTGATGGACATCATGTGCATCGATCCACGCAATTGGGATACGATGACATGCATCAACCAAGTCAGCGAGCCTCACCACCCGATCCCGTTAGTTGCCTCTTACGACAAGCATAGTAATGAATTGTTAAACCACACGTTGTATCATTAAGGGGCTGACCATTTAACATACGGATATAAGAGTGGGTTGTGGTCGAGGGCGTTCATGTTGTGTGTTTTCTTGATTTTGGGTGTCTGAGGGGGGCATAAAAGAGAGCGGAGATTTTTTCGTCATATTTCAAATTATTTCCATGGAGGGAATGTTGAAATTTACTCATTATTCACTAACACGTAGTAACCGTACAGACGTAGGCGATTTTTAAACAATCTGCGCAATTCTTCGTAAAAAGTAATTGTATGATTTAGGAGTTTTATGGGACCATCACGCTGTCTTTGATTTATGACCAACTTGTATTGCGTCTCTTGTGTACAAATCTACAAGTATAATTTATTGATAAACACTGCTGTGAGTGAGTATGGTTTTACGCCGCTTTGAACAATATTCCAGCAAATTTACGGCGGGGGCATTAGAAATTTCACACATTGTACCAATGTGTGGCGTCGAACCTGGCTCTTCGGCACGAGTGAACGCTTTTACCACGCGGTTACATAAACGCTCCCGTCGCTGTGTCAATGGTGTTATCACAGATGATATGTGTACTTGGGTAAACTACACATATGGAGAGACATCCTTATTATTGTGGCCACACAGTTAACGTTGATAACAATATGAAATGCATCACTACGATCATCTTTAAATATGTTAAATCAGCTGTCATACACTCTTCAAAAAAAGAAACGCACAGGTAGTGTGTTGTTCATTGTTTGTTTGTTTGTTTGTTTGTTGTTTAACGCCGCACTCAGCAATATTATGTAGTTCATTAAACCTGACTACACAAAAAATCAGGTCTATAAATTAGATATATGTTATTGGAAAATGTTGGTGGCCTTATATTCGACAAACGGTGCGTCAAAACGCAGCCATTATCGATTTGCAATGTCTTAAACCGTAGTGTTTTCACACTTGTTCAAAAATGTCATGGGGGAAAACAGTAAAGCAAAATGCACGTGCAAGTTATGGCATTCGTAACTCGTGGGAGTGTCTATACAAAGGCAAGCCTGAGCTCATTATTGGCCATTCAATTGTCAACATTTTTCAAGTTCAAAATTGCCGAGACTCAGTACAGCCGATCGGAACATGGTCATTGGACGTATCCAAAGAGGGGAATCACAGTCTTCTGTTGCACGTCACTTCAACGTCCACCACAGCACCATTTGCCGCCTTTGTGACCGATACACACAGTTCATTTCCACTGCAGACCGTCCGAGAACCATCTTCCCGAGGCAAGTGAGTTAACTGACTATAAAAGTCCAGTTTCCACCCTTGCCGAACTAGGCTGGTATTATGGAGTTACATTTTGGCTGGACTAACGAGTCTATGCATAGTCCAATCAAAATCGCGCAGCGAAATCGAAATCCGGTTTGTAGAGTGTCATGCAGATTTCGGTCGACTGCAGGATTTGCAAAGCATGTGCACCGCTAACTCGTTGTCAACAGATATTTTCTAAATCTTTTTATGTTTTTAATCAAGGTGCTCACGTGAGTTGATGCACTTCGCGATGTAAGACTCGTTTTATCACAATATAGATCTTGATTATCGATCAGATCGTCTTGACTGGGCGCCACCGTTTTGTTTGAAAGAAATGCAAGTGATACGAGAGGTTGAATCTGATTGGTCAATAGGAGAGGCATAGAAAGGAGATAACTCGTAATAGCCACTGGTGGCGCTACGATCGCCTAGTTCGGCAAGGGTGGAAACTGGACTTTTAGAGTCAGTTAACTTTCTTGCCTCGGGAAGATGTCCGAGAACCGGCCGACCAAGCGTTACCACCCTGCACATGATCGCTACATTCAACTGCAGGACGCATCACTGGTTTGAGGAGGATATCGGACTTGACTGTCAGGAACCATCTTGGCGAGGCTGCAATCCGACCCAGAAGACCAGTTATCGTCCCTGCTTTGCAACAGATCCATCGACAGCGATGCTTGCGTTGGATGCCATACCTTACAGCCTTGAAATTTGAGAAACTGGAGACGAGTGTGGTTTTGCGTTGAATCCCTATTTCTTCTTCACCAGCGAGATGGAAGACAACGTGTTTATCGTCGTCGAAATGAGCGTTTTGCCCAACATACGTGTACGTGAATTCGACAAATTCCTTCGGTGGCGGAAGTGTCATGGTGTGTGTGTTTGTGGGGGGGGGTTGTGCATATCAAGCTGGAATATTGCTGAGTTGCGGTGTTAAAGGGCAAGTTCACACGGAAATTAACCTATTTTTCTTGTACTTTTTCCACATTAAAAGTGTTAACCTAGAAGTGTCATAGACAAAAATATAAAGATATCACAATTAATTAACATATTTTTCGCATTAAAACGATTTATATTTTTCACATTTACCAAGTGTTCTATTTCCACAACAAAAACACCATGGCTTATGCCCCTTGCAATATGACGTCATTGGTGCCAATTGATAAACATTATGACGTCATCATGCTTTGTTAGAGCCGCTTCACGTGGTGTAGGTATGGGTGTGTGATTCTAGCGTCTCAGATGCCAGCCAGCATAGTGTTATGCTGAGTCACCACTGCGCCGGAGTGTGTCGTAGGCCATGTTGTTTTACCGCAAACTGGTACTTGATATTTTTTGCGTTGAGAATAGACAGGGACCCAGTTGAATTGGCACCAATTACGTCATAATCTAAGGGGGATAACTCAGGCCTGTTTAGCTCGAAAAACGAAGGCCTCATAACGGCATATCATTTTCACACTATTGTGAGCTTCCTACTTTCACTGTGAAAAAAATGAGTGTATATTTTCAAGCCCAGATACTAATTAATTCTAAAATTGCGTTTTGTTTAGAAAAAGAAAGAAAGTGATTTTTGCGTGTACACTTCCCCTTTAAGCAACAAACGAGCGAAACGAGATAGCATTCAGTACTACAAAATGTTGAAAACTTCTATACAGGGCAAAATAGCGGTGAAAATTGTAAGAATGGGTCTATCATCAAACCTTTTTATCTGTAGGACATTATGGGAAATATCGCTTTCTGGCTCTCTCGCCTTCACGCTTTATCGTGTTATCGCTTTCTGGACTCGTGCTATCGCTTTCTTGTCTTGCGTTATCGCTTTCTGGTTTGTTTGTTTAGCGCCGCACTCAGCAATATTACAGCTATATGACGGCGGTCTGGACCAGACAATCCAGTGATTGACACCTAGCGCATCGGTCCACCCAATTGGGATCGATGACATGCATCAACCAGTCAGCGAGGCTGACCACCCGATCCTATTAGTCCCCTCTTACGACAAGCATAGTCACCTTTTACGGCAAGCATGGGTTGCTGAAGATCTATTCTACCCCGGATCTTCACGGCCAACGCTTTCTCGTCTCGTATTATCGCTTTCTCGCGGCCGTAATTGAGGTCGAGAAAGCGATGTCCCCTCTAGGCCACCATAGTATTTCGGATGTCACCACGGACCGATGAAGATTGAGTCTACGTGGCCAAATCACTACTGTATTGATTTTTGAAACTCGTCATAAATCTTTCACGAAACACGCTTATCTAACGAGTAGTCAAAATCAATAGTATAAAAGAGTCTAAAGTGATGCAGGTCTCAGACGTTTACCAATTTGGTGAAACCCTAGAGCATGGGTATAATACTTATAAATCAAGAAACATACTCGGGGCGGTCCGATAATTCGAACCCACAATCAGATTTCTGGCGTGTCCAAGAGACGCAATTCTGCAAAACGAAATCCGGCGCCTTAGACGACTGGGCGACATGACCTCACATGGTTTGAAGGTTCCCGAAATGGTTGTTGTGTGTGTGTGTTAATGCAGTCAGCAGGACCAGTGACGATTTGTTTTGTTTATTCAAATACAACAAATCAAGCCTGACGTTATCTTAACATGTCAACATTTATAAACAATTAAAATGTTTTATCACTTCTACTCTCTCAAATTGTAATTTCAATATACCATAGAATACCTGAAATGAAATGAAAATGAAACTGTCACAACTAGTAAATTAAATTGAATGTAAGACTTTGTCATATGATGCAAGCTAACACAAAGCTCCAACTTCTGAAACCTTAAAGTAAGAAGAATTCAGTCTGCAACAAATGTAAATGTTTAACTGTGTAACAAGCACATTTTATGGGTAATACCATATTACATGCTATTATTCAGAAATTAATCATTAGATACTCATATATTGAAAAATACATTGAACCCTGTAACCTTAAATGTAAAATACATTAGAGTCCATCAAGGACTAAACCAAAATTTACAAAAATCAAAACTGAAACAAATGGAATTAAACATTGTATGGTGAGTGTCCAGAGATCTTTTTATATCTCAGTTAATGCAAGCATCTTGGCGGCTATACTGAAAATCCCAGGGGAATCTCGTGTTAAATTGATGGGTATACACACCAAGAGTTTGCATCTTTGAAACAGTTTAACCAGAAGAGAATGCGAGGGTTGAATACGAGCACACGTCAATACAATATATATGTAGGACAACTTTAGTCAATTAGGAACTTACGTCTATATATTTTGCGTTTATTGGGGTGTGAACGCACAAACCGGCGTGTGCATTTTGCGTAGCGGATTAACACAACCTGTGCACACATTTTCAGAAGATTAACGAAAAGCGTGCACGTATTTTCAGCTGATTTACGCAAAGCGTGCACACATTTACAGCAGATTAACGCAAAGCGTGCACACATTTTCAGCGGATTTATGCAAACTGTGCACTAATTTACAGGAGATTTACGCAAAGCGTGCATACATTTTCAGCAGATTAACGCAAAGCTGCACTCATTTTCAGCGGATTACGCAAAGTGTGCACAACCCGCTTTTATCTCCATATACTCAAAACATACTGATATAAATATATACGTCAACCATGATACCCAACAGACACAGAAACGCGTAGACAACAAGAAGAGCTCACGAGCTCAACCCATCCTATTATAAGGAACAGTCGTCCGCTATCTCTCACTTATCACAGAGGACGTCACCAACCAGCAAACACGGCCATATTGGAAGAAGGATCTGAAAATGTTGAATACATTTAGGTGTTATCGTCAAGATACATTTCAAGTGTGGCATCGTTCGTCTCGTTGAAAAGATTTGAACAAACGGCGAAGTCACACTTGTAAGCAATCATGGGGGGAAACTGATGTAATTATGATCACTCCGCCTAACCTTGTTGATGCAACACTCCTATATGAAAATATTACATGAGTTCCATTTTACGATTCATGCACTACCATACACAATGTGGGTTCGAGGCGTGTATTTCATACCGCATCATCTTATTTTCAACCCAAAACTTACATAACATACCAGAGTTCTTTTTCTCTTCTGCTTGTATACAGATAGAAAACATTCCAAAACGCCCTGTGCAAAGACTCGTTAGTCTTGACTTGAGTTATATCTTCAGATGTTCAGCAATCAATTCCCAACAAGCTTGTTTGTTTGTTTGTTTGATTGTTGTTTAACTCTGCACACAGCAATATTCCAGCTGTATGACGGCGGTCTGTAAATAATCGAGTCTGGACAAGACAATCCAGTGACTGACACCAGGAGCATCGATATACACAATTGGGATACGATGACATGCATCAACCAAGTCAGCGTGCCTGACCTGACTACCCGATCCCATTAGTCGACTCTTATGACAAGCAGTTGCCTTTTATGGCAAGCATGGGTTACTGAAGACCTACATGTATTCTACCCCGGATCTTCACTGGTCTCTCAACAAGTATAAAGGGGATAATTGAAATAAATGGAAATGATAAAACAATGCGAAACTGAAATGAGGCCAACTAAATCAATGTCGAGTTATTTGGCTGATCCCTGCTATGTAAAATTGTTTGGTTGTCAGACATGAATAATATCAACTAGATGCACAACGTCACTTATCCAAATAGGTAGAGGCAATTCAATGTATTTGAGAGGAATGTTGAAAGACAAGCCATTACTATAGCTAGGTGAAGCCAAACAGCTATTATGATTATTGATATGAGAGGCTTGTTCAAGTCACTCAAAATCACTGATACCAACGTTCCCCCATGCAACTATTGTTGCTATTTTCACTGCCCTTATGCCAAGGAGTTGGTGTTCTTACTGCGGATCGGTATGGAGACTGGTTTAGGGATGTGGCTGTCTCTATGTCGCCTTGTAGATTGAGTCTATCCTGTTCAATAAGTGGCAGGGACGTCTGTCCTGGCCGTTTGGTCTTGTTCAGAGCTCTGCTCCGACTTGATTTGGCAATTGGAGGCAAACGCACCATTGTGTCGCTCCTAGCTTCAGCTGGCACAGTTCTTGGTGGGGCTTGCTTTGGTTTACGGGCAGGCATCAAGCAGAGTCGTTTCTCCTCCCCGCTTGAAGACAGGTTTTCTACTAGTCTCCTCAAGGACTGATTTTCCGACATCAGAGAGTCGTATTTGTCGTACATCTGAGCCAAACTAACCTGTATCTGTGTCTTACGCGATTGGACTTTGTTGAAGGTGGCCTCGGCCTTGTTACACTGGGCTTTCCACATATGGGTGTCTCGCTCTGCCTTGTCCTTGAGAGCCTGTTCCCGTCTCAGCTCTAACTCAAGGCTCTCAAGCTTCACCTGGTACTCTTTGTTCTGCTCGGACATGTACTTGAGGTATCTAAAACCGGGGTAGAAATATTCCTTCACTATAAAGCCAGTATTTTTATGAGATTGATATCTGGCATGATACCTATATATATGGGCACATTCTACCATCTAAGTTACTGTTAGGATAGGACTAGTCATTATACCTATCCGACTAGCCTTAGATCTTCATAAGAATGATTTTATTTGTGACTTCAAATTTCTTTAGGCTATTTGCTATATTTTGTGGTATCTATGTTTATAATTTTCAATACGGCTTTAGTCAATGCCCAAAGAATTACTGATGCATAAATTGGTCAAATATGAACGTGAATGGGTGAGGAAATTTTGGTTCACGCTGCATCCAGTGATGGGTACAAAGGAAAGGATACATGGAACGATCCCAGCTCCATCCTGTTATTGTTGGGTATGAGAGGGGAGACGGTACTTACCCTCTTTAATAGATACTGAGTAGCACATACTTACTGTTTCTGGTTCTTGAGCGCAGTGACTGTAATGTCCAAGTACTTCTTAGCATTCTGGTGTGCTGCTGTTATCATCTTCAGCTTGCTCTGAACACTGGGTTCGAACTGGTTTAGGAAGTGATCTGGTAAGACGTTATAGTTTGATTTTAGAAACACCCTGTAATACTGTAGGCACAGAATATATTCGGTATTGAACTCCTGTTCTAGCCATAACTCTAAATCACACATTTTTAACCAATTACAATCGAAAACATATGCACACAGGTGCGTGCATGCACATCCCTCTGTAAGTGGACAATCTTGAAGGTGATGTTACACCTTAATAAAGGTCTGTACTCCTTATCAAAAGATCACATTTGGTGAATTGAGTATACTTAAAGAAAAGGTTTTAAAATATTTTTATGATTTGTAGGCATTGGGTGATTTAGAATTGCCAACATATAGAACAGATGAGTCACAGATTCGAACTAAGCTCAAAAGTTTTACTAGCTGGGGTGAAGATAAAATGCCCTTGAATGTTAAACCAATTAAGAAAATGGGAAATCTGTACTAGCCAGCAGGAATTTGTACTAGCCCAGGGCTAGCAGGCTAGTGTTAAGTTCTTACCCAGACTGAGAATAAACGATGGATATGGTAGCTGCAAATTGCAAATAAGGAAAATAACTAAGATTAGGAAGTGAAAAATCACAAACTCTTAAGAACACATACTAAAATTTCTTTAATTTGATTTTTGTATGACATCCATACAAACATAGCACATTAGAAAATAATATCAGAATGTTCCAGTATTTAATTGCACTTTTTGTAGCCCAGAATCACAGTACCCTAGGTCGGTGTTATATGGAACTAAATACAAGAATTACACCATGTGTGCTTTGCTGGTCATCCTACCTGGGGATTTGATTGATGCTCACATTGTCAACTTCTGGACCACATTATGACAGTACGAGTCTACCTCACATCACATCGATGCCAATGAATAATGTTCCTACCATTTAGTTTCATATCTTGCAGTCCAATACCAGTGTCTTCTGTGTTGACATGGCAAGTAGTCGTTCTTTGAGCACCATTTTGAACCAGTTCCTCACTATTGGACGGAGAAGGACGAGGTTGCTCAACCAGGTCGCTAACATTCACATTCTTATCTGTGTCAAAGAAAAACATGGGCTTGTCAGATTTACATCATGTCTTAAATACACAGGCACAATACAACTAACCTATTTCGCTGAATATATCTTTGCCAATATATCTACCGTTTGTGTTGGTGGCTCTTTACACTTCATCATTCTGAAGTTAATCTGACAAGGAGGGGGACATAACAGTACGTTTTTTAACTTGTACTCAACCACATTAAGACACAGTAACATAGACATAAGCAACTGGTTATCAGGGCCGTTATCAGGAGTAATTTAGACAGAAACACAGTTATTGTCTCACGTAAAATATGTAGAGTACAGTAAACTACGGTTATAACGAACTCAACGGGACTCATTTTAGTTTGTTATAACCGTAGTTCGTTATAAGCATATATACAGCATAACTACAGTAAATAGTTGGGACCAAAATGTAAGTTCGTTATATCCGTCAGTTCGTTATAAGCGTGTTCGTTATAACCGTAGTTTACTGTAATAAGTTTTAATCGCTACTAAAATCTAACACACCATACAGACTATTTGAGCAGTATTTGAAGAGACAGACAAACCATTCCCTGATGACATGACATCACCTGAAAACGCTAGCCCCGTGAGAAATTCATGACATATATATATTGATCTATGAAACTTACGTGTGGGAATTGCTTCTGATGAATGGGACGATGTGCTTCTACTTGGAGATACCCCTGCAAGATCTAGTGGCGGTAGGGTTTTCATGTCTGAAATAGGCTTAGAAAATATTATGAGTGTGGATTTGCTGCTGTAAATTTACTTACGTGTTTCGACAATCGCCCAAATGAAAATAGATTGTCTGAATTTAAAAAAAGTAAGAAACTAACTTTAAAATAACGCGAGAGCCTTATATTCTCCCGTACTCTGATACTAACATTTTAGGCCCTAATTACAAATAAAATGATAGGCCTAGTGCCAGTAGTGGAACCTTTTGGTTTTACCTAAAACGTTACCAAAGATTCATACCTATTAAACAAATCCGGGGAGATTTGGTCACATTTTGTTTCCTCGATTTGTACGCATTTACATTCCAATCACAACGAGAGTTTAAAAAATAAGTAGATCTAAGACTTGAACAAAACCGACAGACTTCACAGACGCAGCGAACTCAACGTCACGTGACCTACCCAGGCATGCTTCTTGCGACGTAAGGGTTGCAGTTTCATTGCAGGGTTATCGGAATTGCTTGCATTTCACTCGTGATCCTAATTTCACGTGAACTAGGGAACAGAGTACATTTGAAACAAACGCACCCAAAAGGTTATACATTGTAACAATTAGTCTTAACTTGAAGTTCATTCATTTTCGGAGCACATTTCTTCAATGCACGGAGTTTTACGAAAGCCGAAAGGGCAGATAACTCCAATAGTTCTTGCAATTGGATGACAAAATGTAAGTATGAACTACAACCTACCCAGGATCCTGGATCGTATCCCAATGGTTACTTTATATACATATAATTATGTACCTTTGTTTTCACATAAAATGGCATATGAATAAGTAATTATGGTGAAATAAGTGTTTTGTTATGTAGTTTATGTAGTTTGTTTTATTTATAGGGTGGGGGGGTGGGGGGTTGTTTTGGGGTTTTTTTGGGGGGGGTATTTTTGTTGTTTTGTTTTGGTTTTGGTTTATGCAGTTCCGGCTTAAACATCACAGCAGGAACATGGGGATTACTCTGCGTTAAAGTAAAAAGACGCTCCCTCCCACGTTTATTACAAGCTTTACCTCTTTGAAATTGTGTGTGAAAGAAGAAATTCTTATATGACGGGCTTATAGTTTAATAAGGAAATTGTCCAATCATTGACATCTTATCTCAGAACCGTCTGATTGTCCAATCACTGACATCTTCTCTCAGACCCATGTGATTGTCCAAACATGCTATGTCAATAATGGTACTGATTGATACACCTTGTTGTTGTTATAGTGTTTTTATGCCGCACTCGGCACTATTCCAGATATATGGCAGCAGCCTGTAAATAATCGAGTCTGGATCACACAATCCAGTGATTGATATTGTGAACAACGATCTACAATGTCAACCATTTCATCAAGCCCCGACTACTGATCCATTTGGTCGCCTCTACAACCAGCATAGGATGTTGTGGACATACTCCAACCTGGAATGCCCACAGGGTTGATACACCACAAAAATGATTGGTATAATTTCTATTACATTCTCTAGATACCAAGAGGGTGGAACCTGCTGATCCAAAATCTTACCACTTGTCAGTAAGGTGAAAACTGTGCATCCTTTGGCAAGATCTGACAAAATGTCGAGGCAGTGACACCTGTGGTTCCTTTGGTTAAATCCGACTGCTGTAGACCTGTAGACATTTTTGTTTAATCAGACTTCTGACAAGGAGGGAGAAACCTTTGTCTCTGCTAGTCAGATCTGATAACTGGTCAAAATTGTTTCACCTGTGGATCTTTTATATGTTAGATCTGAGTACAGGTCAGGATGATGTGAGTGAGGAAATATTATTTTATGCCACAGTCAGCAATATTACAGCTCTATCACAACATCCTAAAAATATATATCTTGACCAGAAAACAACACTAGACCATCACGAAACATCAAGGATCATTATCGCCCAAATCCATGACAACAGCTCTTGGAAGCAAAGAGGTGCAACTCTGCACAACAAACTGCAGTGAGATGTGAACAAACAGAGACATTTCTGGTAAGGAACCATAACAATTTATTTTTATCATAGCAGCTGACTGAACAGGTGCATAATATATGCATATTCATGATTACACTACATAATTGTATATACACTGTACATAACCAATGCGAGAAGGCAATCAACAATGCTCAAAATCCCATGTGCCAAAATGGAGTAACTAAGAAAATTCAAAACAAATTGATATGAATTACAACTGATATTGATACAAACACTGTCTCAAAATACTTGGTACCGACAAGGTTAATCTTATAACATACACTAAATATAAGGAACACCATGCATTACTTACACAAAATAATTTGAAGATAAAGAACTTAGATTGAGGATGGTTTTACAGTGCTTTAAGCAATATTCCAGCCATATAACACTTTGGTACAGTGGGAACAGGTTTGTCATCTTTTACTGATGTTGGGAATAGAACCCACACAATAAGCCAACATGTTCACAATTAGTTTATTCCACCGTTCACTACTTCTGTGTTCAAAGAAGTAGTACAAGATACAGGTGGTGCCATCGGTACAGGCCTTGTGTTAATCTTGACACTATCCATCATGCATGTCATGTCTTCCTTTTACTAAGCATCTTTTATACATGGAATAAAATGAGTGAGGAAATTGGTTTAACTCTGCTTTGAACAGTATTTCAGTCATATCGCTGCATATCAGCTTGATATCAGTTGGTTGGTTGGTTTGTTGTTTAACGCTGCACTCAGCAATATTCCAGCTATATGACAGCTTGATATCGGAGCAATGCTGCAGTGATGAAGGTCTTACATGCTTTCCACTTTCGTGAACACCATGAGGCTGAGTATGGTGCAGACAAACCTAGAAGGATAATTGGGGCAAACCTAGATTCAAACCCACAATCATAGGTTACTATGGACAAGGGACGCAACTCTGCACAGCAAATTGCAGCGCCAAAGACGACTCGGCCACCTGTGCCACCACAAGTCTAGAGCAAAACATGTACATAAATACAATGTGTGTTTGTTGTTGAACGCCAAACTCTACATATTCCAGACATATGAAGGTGGCCTGTAAACAGTCAAGTCTAGGCCAACCAACCCTGTGCTTGACATTGTAAGTAACGATGTAGGCCATTGGGGTACATTGGGGTACATTGGGGTACAAAGATATGCAGTCAACCGAGTCACCAAATCTGTACACCGGATCTTTTGGGTGCCTCTTCGGGACCGACCATTTGATATTCTGGCTAGGGGCCTGGGATTTTGTATCAAGATTATATAATTTTTCAGCTACAGCTACAAAAACTACGGAAGCCATTTAGGGCCATTTGTTTTTTTGTTTTTTTCGATACTATCTTGAAATTTCAACTTCTCTATCTTGAAATTTCAACTTAGTATCTTGAAGTTTCAACTTAGTATCTTGAAATTTCAAGATAGTATCGAAAAAATTTCAAGATAGTATCTTGAAATTTCTAGATAGTATCGAAAAAATTAAAAAAACAAATGGCCCTAAAAGGCTTCCGAAAAAAACAGATATTTTGTAATTAAAACTATGAACCTGAATGTTATTTTCAGAAAACACCAAGCAACAATGTAATTTTTGTGGCAGGAAATTTCTTTTTTTTTCAACAGTCTGAAGCATAAAATATTTATTAAGGAATTTGGGGGGACCAAATATTTTTTTTCAACAAAATACCAGGCCCTCTATCTAGAATATCAAATGATCAGTTCCTGACAACTGAGAATCCCCACAGGAAGAAATGCAATGAACTAAGTAACGATAATCTCAAGCAGCCATAAACAGAAACATCAGGATGAGTTCTTCATGATGGATGATTTCATCTTAATATTTATGTACAGCAAACATGAAGCCACTACAATAAATACAAATGAGAGCACGTCTTGTGGTTAGCAACCTCAAAAGGGCCTAGGACAGACTATGTCTCTCCTAAACAAGCTACCAAATCATTTCACAATTGACTGAGATGTTATTATCATGAAACTTTCGTAACCAATTATTTATAAAACAAATATATCATGCAAGGGTATTGTTGGTCAGAGACCAGGTTGGGCCTTCAGTGTACAAAATGGGATATTAGAAGCAGATCAAAACAAAAGTTTACTGCAATGTAACTTGGTGTTACATATGCTCCTCAAAGAAGTTAAGGATCACCCAATTGTCATGTTACTATGTCATGCCATGTCATTGCTTCTTTTGAGTACTGGTTTTGTTTGTTTGTTTCTTGTTTAACGCCCCACTCAGCAATATTCCAGCTATATATCGACGGTCTGTAAATAATCGAGTCTGGACCAGACAATCCAGTGATTGACATCACGAGCATCGATCCACGCAATTGGGATACGATGACATGCTGGTAGAATCGATACAAATGGGACAACCAAATGTCTGACAGTTTCTCAAATTAATCTGACAAAATTTCATGAATGGTCTCAATACCAGAGGGCAGCACTTTTAACGATACACAAAAAAGTCATAACGAAGGCAGTTACTGATAATGACCCTGTCATCAAGTCTACCAGGAGAGCGAATCAGTGTTCCAGTTATATCATGGTGTGTTAGCTTAACAGAGGAAAGCCCAAGTTATGAAGGTCTCAGACTTAACAATTTGGTAAAACACATGGGCATGGGTATGGCGCTGACAAAACTACAAACATACTTGGGGAGAACCGGAATTTGAACCCACAATCATAGATTTCTGGTGTGACCAAGGGATGCAACTCTGCACAGCAAACTGCGGAGCCTTAGATGACTGGGCCACCCATGACCACAGTTTAACATAGACTTACAACAGTCGTAGCACTAAGATTGCTTCATGAAAGAAATGTGGTTATTTTCACTTATACAGCACAAATATTCATGACACATGCTGGATTCTATTTCGACTTTCAACAGTTAGTGTTCTTGATTAGCATTAACTGGCTTTGTCTCAAGGAACAGCATATTTGTTGAACGCTGCTCAAATAAGTTTTAGCTATTTGTTTATTGAATGAATCTGATGGCAAGTCCTGTAAATGACCTTGATAATTACAATGCAATAAGGATGACCACAAATGCTCGTTATCTGTTATAATGGGGAATTCTGAGGCATAACAAAACAAAATGCAAAATTACTTCTCAATGACCAACCTACAACTGATTTCAATGTACATGATGTATTGTAAATACATTAATTCACGACTTTCAAACTCCCAAAACATCCCATGGTTATTTTTTTGTGAGTAACATAGAGCACATTTGCAACTCAGCCAGCTGTGAATGCTGGATAATTTACAAGCTCATTTCCTGACTCAAATATGACAAAATAAAAAATGTACAACAGCTAAATCAGTCAACCTTCTCCCTTTTGACATGCACATTGGTCAAAAATTGATCAGGGTCTATCTGGGGTGTGTGGAGCTCAGTTGGTTGAGATTCTGGCAAAGTAGACAGAGCCAGGCTGTCGTTAATGTCGTCCATGTCCTCCAGCCCTGGCAGTGTGAGGCCCGTGTCACCAAGGTCAAACAGCGGCAAATTAGACAGATCCTCCTGAGGTTCATACTGGATCAATTCATTTCCTGAAATCAGAGATTCCGGCTTAGTTTGTCTGTTGCAATATTCCAGCAATAAGGATATTGTTTGGTTTGTTTGTTGTTTAACACCGCACTCAGCAATATTCCAGCTGTATGATGGCGGTCTGTAAATAATCGAGTCTGGACTAGACAATTCCAGTGATTGACATCATGAGCATCGATCCACGCAATGACATGCATCAACCAAGTCAGCAAGCCTGATCACCCTATCCCGTTAGTCACCTTTTATGGCAAGTATGGGTTGCTGAAGACCTATTCTACCCCAGAATCTTCACGGGTCCAGCAATAAGGAAGCAATATTCAAGCAATATGGAAGGCTGCTTGTAAATAATCAAGTCTGAACCAGACAATCCATTGATTGATATTATCTTGCTTTGTTTGTTTTTTAACATGGCACTCAGCAATATTCCAGCTATAAAGCAGCTGCCTGCAAATAATAAAGCCTGGACAAGACAATCCAGTGATTTATATCATCTTTGTTTGTTTGTTTTCTAACACCACACTCAGCAATATTCAAGCTGCATTATCAAGTCTGGGCCAGACAATCCAATGATTGATATTATCTTCCATTGTTTGTCAGTTTGTTTACACCGAATCCACCAATTTTACAGCTACATGGTGGTTGCCTGCAAATAATCAAGCCTGGACCAGACAATCCAGTGATTGATATTATCTTTGTTTCTTTGTTTGTGTGTGTTGTGTTTCAACTCTGCACTCAGCAAATATTCCAGCTATATGGCAGCTGCCTACAAATAAACAGGTCTGGACCAGACACACCAGTGACATGAGCTATATGACCCATGCCCTAGGGGTTTGATCTACCAAACCACCGAGTCTGGTCATCTGATCATTAAGTAGACTCTTACGACAAGCATAGGATGCTGGTGACCAATTCTAACCCAGAACTCACAGGGCCCAGCTTAGTTAACGTGAGTATGTGATGTAAAACCACTATCAGCATTATTCCAGGCATATCACGGCAGTCTGTAAATAATAAAATCTTGTCGAAACAAACCAGCTGTTCACAGCATGCCCACAATCCATGCCACTGTGGTACAATGACACACAATGAACAGATGCTAACTGCTTCATCCCATGTTAGCTTTTATGACAAGTCTGGGGTAATGGGGACTTTGAATCTCTATAGGAGTTAGTGATATGGAACTGTATGGGTAACTGTTTGTTTGTTGTTTAATACAAGTTATATATGTATGCCCTTGATGAGAGTACTAGTCGTGTTTACATGCAGTCTCACTCACCCAAGATTGTACCAGTGTTTCCAGGTTTCTGGCCATCCAGATTTGTCTGCAGTATCTGCTAAAAATCATCAAATGCATCAATCGACTTAATAACATCTTGTTGTTTAACGCCGCACTCAGCAATATTCCAGCTATAGGATAGCGATCTGTCAATAATCTATTCTGGACCAGACAATCCAGTGATTGACATCATGAGCATCAATCTATGCAAGTGGGTTACAATGACAGGCATCAACCAAGTCAGCGAGTCCGTACAACCGATCCTGTTAGTTGCCTCTTACAACAAGCATGGGAAGCATGGGTCTTCAGCAACCTGTTCTTGTCATAAGAGGCCACCAATAGGATCGGGTGTTCAGCAACCTGTTCTTGTCATAAGAGGCCACCAATAGGATCGAGTCTTCAGCAACCTGTTCTTGTCATAAGAGGCCACCAATAGGATCAGGTGTTCAGCAACCTGTTCTTGTCATAAGAGGCCACCAATAGGATCAGGTGTTCAGCAACCTGTTCTTGTCATAAGAGGCCACCAATAGGATCGGGTGTTCAGCAACCTGTTCTTGTCATAAGAGGCCACCAATAGGATCGGGTGTTCAGCAACCTGTTCTTGTCATAAGAGGCCACCAATAGGATCGGGTGTTCAGCAACCTGTTCTTGTCATAAGAGGCCACCAATAGGATCAGGTGTTCAGCAACCTGTTCTTGTCATAAGAGGCCACCAATAGGATCAGGTGTTCAGCAACCTGTTCTTGTCATAACAGGCCACCAATAGGATCGGGTGTTCAGCAACCTGTTCTTGTCATAAGAGGCCACCAATAGGATCGGGTGTTCAGCAACCTGTTCTTGTCATAACAGGCCACCAATAGGATCGGGTGTTCAGCAACCTGTTCTTGTCATAAGAGGCCACCAATAGGATCGGGTGTTCAGCAACCTGTTCTTGTCATAAGAGGCCACCAATAGGATCGGGTGTTCAGCAACCTGTTCTTGTCATAAGAGGCCACCAATAGGATCGGGTGTTCAGCAACCTGTTCTTGTCATAAGAGGCCACCAAATGGATCGGGTGTTCAGACTCGGTGACTCGGTTGATGCATGCCATCGTACCCCAATTTGTGCAGATGGATGCTCAGGATGTCAATCACGAGATTGTCTGGTCTAGACCAGATTATTGACAGACCGCCATCATAGAGCTAAACAACAAACAAACCAACAAGCATGGGATACTTCAGACATGTCGAACCTTTTCTTCCTCAGAATCACAATCGGGGGCATCAAAAATAAAACAGAAGACTATAATTAAAGATAACAAATCTTAATAGAACAGTTAGAAGTTGTAAGACGACCTGAAGGAGAGGCAACAGTATACAACATACATAGTGTATAACACTTACTGTATCTGCAGCCTTAGACAGTGGCGACTCCGGACTGAACAACTGAAACAATTGTAGTCTTGTTAGTCTAGCCAACTCAAACATGACTCTTTCACTTCAAATACAATTCCATATAAATAAATTGCAAGTGATCCTGTGGCATTTGACTGGTTAACCAAACAATGTTTTCGTGTTCATATCTCCATAAACCCAAACAAAATTAGGCCACACCCACTGACAGACTACTGTTTCCTGATTGGCAGATAATAGAGTGAGTGAGTGAGTGAGTTAATATTTAACGTCACATCGGCAATATTTCAGCCATATCGTGACGATAGAGTGAGTGAGTGAGTGAGTGAGCAATATTCCAGCAATATCACGGCGGGGGACACCAGAAATGGGCTTCACACATTGTACCCATGTCGGGAATGGAACCCGGGTCTCCAGCGTAATGAGCGAACGCTTTAACCACTAGGCTACCCGACCGACCCTGGCTGATAATAGAATGGGCAGGACTTGTGATGCATTATTGCGCTGAACGATGTCACTGATCTGTACTGTTGTCTACAAGGTCTTTTGTGTTAATGATTAAATAAGCAGCCACGGAACTATTTATTGTTGACATATTTATTTGAATTGACTTTAATACGTTTTTGAATTTATGGAGTTATACACGCAACAACCAGTGCACACAACAAATTTGTTCAGTTAGTTAATTCATCCATACCAAAGTAGATACACGAACAGTTGCATACAGCCAACCCAACAGCCAGTCAGGAACACACATTTATATGTTTCAATATTATTTTAGCAATGATTAGATCTATACATTTTATAAAATTACAATTTTTTAGATAATTTGATTCACATAATGTGCCTAATTCTAAAAATTCTAAAACTAGGACTCAGAATGTAAGTTAAATTCAAACAGAGTCAGTTGTCAAAAAATCACATCAGTTTGTGCCCAAACCTTTGGAGTCTGCTTGCCCAAACATGGCTCCCAGCTCAACTGTTAGTATTATCAACTGAGCTTACTGGACAGAATGTTACTAGACTCGGGCTTCAGACTAGTGGTTAGACTGTCATCCAACCTTATAAGGAAGTCAATGCATTATGTGTCAACTTATTGATATTTATACCTCACTGTCATTGTTATTGATACCTAATATTTCATAGTAAATTATGCCTATTCAAAAAAATATTTTTAAAAACATGAATATGTAGTAACAAGTATGTCCACTGAAATGAAAATGCAGGTGTAACAACCTCTTTGGATTTGTACAAGACTGTAACAGACAACTTGTTTGTGGTGATGAAGAGTCGGCCATAACCATGGTAACTGTACTTTGATAATAACTTAATAAACAAACAAGCAATTACTCAAGGTTTTTTAATGACTGCAACCAGAGATTAGGAACAAGAAAAGGCAGCAAGCATTGTGACAGCCCCAACTTACTCCCAACAACATGCTGGTGTCAAGGCTGTACTGTCCTCCCGACAACAAGTCCTTCAACTCATTGATGTCCGTCTGCAGGATGTCCAACTGCTCCGTCATATCACCCCTGCAACACAGCAGTAGCCACATTAGGTACCAGTAGCAGTATCACAAGTGACAACGGGGATATATCAAAGATTCCATACTAGTGTGTTCACAATACATGGACCTTGTCATCAGGCAATCAGTATCACAAGTGACAACGGGGATATATCAAAGGTTATTCTGCTAACCATGGTAACCTTTTCATGATAGGGAATGATCATACCCTAAAACATTTCCTCTTGCCCATATGTTACACTGAACATGGAACACATGGCATTAAGCAACTGGCAAGAAGCTAACACTTCCCCTGTATCTGTAATTGCTGTAATCAAATAATCTTGGTTGCAGTGTTGTCATACCTGTCCACTGTGTCAGCGCTGATGACGGAGGATGTTGGGATGGGTGCTGAGGTCACCTGCATGTTGACGACGCCGGGGGTGGTGGCAGCAACAGTGACTGCCGGGATGGGCATAGATGGAAGGGTAGCAGGGATTGGCATGAGGTTCGCAGAGTCCGACATGAGGTTGCAGGGGGTCACTTCACTGAGAAGGACATCCTGGACAAAACAAAACATTCTGCTTTATTCACTTGGTTAATGCATGCCATTGTACCCCAATTTGCGCAGATGGATGTGAGGATTGTCTGGCCCAATAGTTTACCACCTTTAGACTTTAGAAAAGAATAAGTGACAAACACATTCTAATAAGTTTTGTGTGTTTATTTGCAACGCCGCACTCGGCAATATTCCAGCTATATGACTGCAATCTACAAATAATCGAGTCTGGACCAGAGAATCCAGTGATTGACATCATGACCATCGATCCACGCAATATGATGATGATATGCATCACCTAAGTCAGCGAGCCTGACCACCCGATCCCGTTAGTCGCCTCTTACAAGCATAGTCGCCTTTTACTGCAAGAATGGGTTGCTGAAGACCTACTCTACCCAGGATCTTCACGGGCGTAATTGAGATATTAGGGATGCTTACTTACAGGTGAGATAATAAAGATAGTTCCTAAGGGGTGAGGTAAAATAGATAATCACTTAGAGGTGAGATAATCTGGATAGTTACTTACAGCAGAGATAATAAAGATATTTTCTAATGGATGAGATAATAAGGATAGTAACGCATTATTGCAATAACATGGATAGTAACTAATAAAATGCTAAAGATGAGATAAACTGGATTGTTACTTACAGGAGAGATAATATGGATATTTACTTACAGCTGAGATAATAATGAGAGCTAGTTACAGTTGAGATAATAAAGAGAATTAGTTACAGTTGAAATATCAAACAGTTAGTTACTTAAAGTTGAGATTATATGGATAGTTAGTTACAGGTGAGATAATATGGATAGTTAGTCACAGGTGAGGTAAAATGGATAGTTACAGGCAAGATCATATGGATAGTTACTTTCAGGTGAGATAATATGGATAGTTACTTCAGGTGAGATAATATGGATAGTTAGTTACATGTCAGATAAAATGGATAGTTACAGATGAGATAATATGGATAGTTATTTTTAGGTGAGAAAATATGGATAATTCTTTACAGCTGGAATGACATGGATAGTTACTTACAGGTGAGATGTCGTCATCATCTGTGACATGAGGACTGAGATTTGGCAGTGAATCTGTTACTTCATGGATGATTGGTCCTGAGGCCTGGGATTGGGTGAAGTCAAGTTCACTGGTTGACGGCTGCAACAAGAACAACACACATGGCTACACATTCAAACTCAATTACACTTGGTGAAATCAATGAAGCACTTGTAAAATGTCTTTTACCTGTACAGTGCTCAGATGTCTCTGAAAGGTTCCTATACTTGGAAGATTCCTAAGAATTCTAATTAGGACACTCAAAGGAAAAGCTAACCTTCCTCTGTGTAAAATCTTGTGAAGAAAAACACAAATCAACAAAACTCATTACCACGGGAAAAGTCAAGCATATCCAGTGAGTGAGTGAGTGAGTGAGTGAGTGGGTTGGGATTAACGCCGCTTTTAACATTATTCCAGTTATATCACGGTGTGTCAGCTTAATGTGGTAGGAAAGCCCGAAGTGATGCAGGTCTAAGACATTTACCATTTCGTTGAAACCCACGAGCACTGGTATGGTGCTGACAAATCTAGAAACATAATCAGGGCGAACTGGGATTCGAACCCACAACCATAGGTTTCTGGCGTGCCCAAGGGACGCAACTCTGCACAGTAAATCGCAGCGCCTTAGACAACTGGGCCACCTTGAAGCATTCAAATATGAACAATAGTGTCAGTTGTCAATAGTAAACCAATTCTCCACTTTGTTAATCAGTGTGCAGATTTGTTAAATTTACAATCTTTTCCAAAGAATTGACTGGCATATTGATCACAATAGCACAAGCATTTTAAGCACAGGAGACTTCAGGTTAGCTCAATCATTCGAGGAAAGGGGAAAAAATGCCTACTGACTTGGAGATGAAATACTGAATATTCAAAATACTTAATAACTGTAAATAAAAGCAACATAACCCTTTAAGTAATCATTAGAAATCTCGGATTCTGACTATTTCATTGTATGATTCCAAATATAGAATGACCAGGTCTTTGAATGGCATTTAGAAGTGATACACATAAGGAAGAGAATTTATGGATGTCAACTTCTTTATTATGAGGAATACGTTTTAGAGTATATAGTGCTTACTCCTTCATCAGGAGAATGAATGCTATGAAGCAGAGAACAACAAAAGTAATAAGATAACAAAGGTGGCAAATTAACAAGGGAAGCAAACAGTTATCTGGTGTTGATAGGTGATTAGCATTGGACAAACAGAAGTCAAACATTAACAGTTAATTAGTGCTTATAGGCGACAACGACGGATAACAGTAAACCAGGGCTTAAATTATCACTGACTGGTCATGGACAATGGGCAGCTGGGAGACAGGGTGTAATTAGCACTGATGGGCATAGAAAGGTCTGTTACACTTACAGACTGAACAGTGTAGGGTTTGCTTGTCTCTTCAATGGACAACTGTCGACTCAGCTTGGGCTGCTTGGCGTTGATCTGACTGGCATTGTTCAACATGAGCGGCATCACTCTCTTCCTGGAATTGGTGGGGATTCCCCGGTTCCCTCGCACCAGTGTCACAAGGAACTGGATCAGCTGGCAAAAAATAACCACCATTTTCAAACAACTATAGGAATAAAACAGAAAAATTCATATGTAGGTTTTCTTATTGATAACTGGATGATCAGGATACAGCAACACCTCTCCCCTTCCACAGTGTAGTGCTACCACGGTTACCTTGTTGATGCTCTGCTGCTGTTGAGGTGCTTCTGTCTCAGAATGGCCACCTCCTCCATAGTGCCTCATTCTCTCAACAAACAACCAACCTCCTAACTAGGCCACAGCAACACCCCTCCCTTCCACTGTGTAGTGTTACCATGGTTACCTTGTTGACAATCTGCTGCTGTTTGAGGTGCTTCTGTCTCAGATTGGCCACCTCCCTCCATAGCGCCTCATTCTCTCTACAACAAAAAACGGAACAAACATGTTGAGCCTACTAACCTGCAAGACACCAACATCAATTCTGTCATGTCAACAGTGTATGTCATCACTAGTGCATGACTATAGTCCTTCAAACAAGCATATAGTCGACAAAGTCATCTATATCCCCCTCCCATTTTAGCACGTTATGGTCCCAAACCAGGTAACTGACCCAACATTTCCCTGAGCCCATGTCAAAATAGCTGCAATGGAAATTCTAAAATAAACATTTCTAAAACTCCTTAATATCAAATGGCACCAGTTCAGTATGTGCTTTATATATAGACATGCAATGTTTGGCAAGGAAATATTTAACAGTTTATTTGTTATACTCCATAAGTGGACCCACCCTATATTAAAACTTAAATCCATCTTGTTGCCATTGAAATGTAAAAAATAAAAATTTCTAAAAGTGCTAAATATCAAATGGCACCAGTTCAGTATGTGCCTGGTAGACATCCAAAGTTTTGTTAGAAAGTATTGAATGGGTTTTGAGTTGTGCTCCGGAAACGAACTCTATCCTATAGGACCTAAGTCCAACTTGTTGCCATGGAAACTGTTGGGGCAGGGGATAATGATGTAAAATGAAAACCTTACTTCAGTCATTTCTTGTTGTCTTAATGACAATTTGACAAGAATATTTATGAAACCATGTCACTTATCCCTTAAGTGGTGTGTACATGTGAAAACCCTGGCAATTTCACCATACCTGCTTGTGGGTTTCACCAAAGTCGTAAACGTCTGAGACCTGCATCACTTGGGGCTTTCCTCCCACATTAAGCTGACGCGCCATGATATGACTGGAATACTGTTCAAAGCGGCGTTAACCCCAACTCACTCAGTCAGGAACACTGAGTAGTCATGGTTTCTGAACAATTTGTCCATGCTATCAGACGAGTGCCAGGGTGGAAACTGGACTTTTAAAGTCAGGTAACTCCCTTGCCACAGGAAGATGCACTGATCCACTCTGATAGGCTACTGTTGCATGCTGAATCAGTCAGTTGTTCTCCAAGGTAAAACTTATACTGGTAAGGTGACAAGGGGTTTAACATTGCATTCAAGATTATTCCACTTATATAATGATGTGAATGCATGTGTGTGGTTGCTTTGCTGGTTATGGTGCCAACCAAGTGAGCTGCCATGCATTTAACATGGAAACCCCACTTGGTCACAGTATACCAACTCCTAGCCGACTGGTCCTTGTTTTAACCTCTTAATGCTGAATACCAGGCAGGGTAACAACAAGTACCATGTTTTAACATCTTTTGGTATGACGCAGCCAGGGATCGAAGAACCAACCTTCCATGCTCTATCCACTAGACCAAGGATAATATTGTACTGCTAAGTACTGTAACTAAAGAATAAAATATGTTAGCTCTGTCTACCTCTTGAGTGTGTCCATTTTGGCTGTGATGGTGTCCTGCTTGCCCCGGAGATTGCGAACATCAGCCAGCACCTTGGAGACATCCTCCTGTTTCAACTTGATGGACTCCACCTTCACACCAGGGGACACCTGCATCACACAACACAAGGGTACCAGAGGCGACACTCACTACAAGTCATTCTAAATGACCCTTCAACATGTGAAACACACAGGCATCATACAACACAAGGGTATCAGAGGCTACACACACTACAAGTCATACTACATGACCCTTCAACATGTGAAACACACAGGCATCACACAACACAAGGGTATCAGAGGCGACACTCACTACAAGTCATACTACATGACCCTTCAACATGTGAAACACACAGGCATCACACAACACAAGGGTATCAGAGGCGACACTCACTACAAGTCATACTACATGACCCTTCAACATGTGAAACACACAGGCATCACACAACACAAGGGTATCAGAGGCGACACTCACTACAAGTCATACTACATGACCCTTCAACATGTGAAACACACAGGCATCATACAACACAAGGGTATCAGAGGCGACACTCACTACAAGTCATACTACATGACCCTTCAACATGTGAAACACACAGGCATCACACAACACAAGGGTATCAGAGGCGACACTCACTACAAGTCATACTACATGACCCTTCAACATGTGAAACACACAGGCATCATACAACACAAGGGTATCAGAGGCAACACTCACTACAAGTCATACTACATGACCCTTCAACATGTGAAACACACAGGCATCACACAACACAAGGGTATCAGAGGCGACACTCACTACAAGTCATACTACATGACCCTTCAACACGTGAAACACACAGGCATCATACAAGTTTACAACACAAGGGTATCAGAGGCAACACTCACTACAAGTCATACTACATGACCCTTCAATATGTGAAACACACAGGTATCATACAAGTTTACAACACAAGGGTATCAGAGGCGACACATGCAAGAGTGGAAACTGGATTTTTATAGTCAGTTAACTCCCTTGCCTCGGGAAGATGCAAACATAACTGAAACATTGATGAGGAGTATTTTGGATGAAAACCACATCCAACACAGGTTTCCTGTATCATGTGAAACCCTGCCTCCCACATGGGGATCCCACCTTTCGTTTGATGTTCTCCATGAGCTCCTCGTGACCTTGCTGGAAGTATGCATGATGGAACTCGAGGTCATCCTTCTCCACCTTCAGGGAACCTTGGTCCACACTCATGACTTTTCGGAAACCATCTGAATATAACACAAGTTCCACGTCATGTTAGCAGGTACATAAGCCGTTATGTAATCACATTATGGGTTCAAAAGAAAGTATGCATAACAACTACCGTATTCAACGTAATAAGCGCCCCGCTCTAATAAGCGCACACAGCAATATTTTCTAATATATTGGCTAGTGAAAAATCCCAATTAGTACCTTCCGATTGATCAATGTACACAGGACTTATTTATTCGTGTATAATACGTATGTTATATGCATTCATAATTATGGGAAATTAAATTCTGGAAAAAATATATCTGTCGTATATAAACATTTCAGTCTGTCAGCATGAACCACGAAATTTACGATCTTTCAACTCTGTTGTTTTTCACCAAAATGATATTCTAATAAGAGCCCCCTATTTCTAACTTTGAGAGCGCCCTAGGCGCTTATTTTGTCGAATATGGTATACATTACTCACCAACAAAAGAAACGTGAATACCTACATGAAGAATTACTCATAGTTCCATACAAGCGGCATGGAGAAATTTAGTCCTTATGATCATCAGGAGAAAGGCATGGAGAAATTCTGGTGAGGTCCACCCTGTATGCAATGACATGTGTTATAAGGCTGTCGGCCTGAGTCGACCTGACCAGTCTATATCAGAGTGAGTGAGTGAGTGAGTTGGGTTTAAGGCTTCTTTTAACAGTATTCCAGTTATATACTCAACGACAAAAGAAAAGCAAATACCATACATGTTGGTTAATATGTGAAGAAATACTCATATTCAAGAGATATAAGATTGGTTTGATGCACAAACGACCATACCTGTATGTTGTGTGAACCGACGCTTATGAACTCATCACATGTGACGTCATAGATCCATGACTCAAGATGCACCATTTGTCTTGTGCAGGATTAGCGTGGAAAGTTAGGAAATCACATTCAGCATATCGTGATAAGAATAAAAACACTCTGAGGTAACAATTGACTGATTGTCAGTTTTGTCAATTAACTGATTGTCATTAATTGTTACACATTGGAAACATCTCCTCTTAACGTACATACTTCTCTATATGTTTCTATGGTTCACGTTTCTTTTGGCCGTGAGTATAAAAATTTGATTGTCCTATGACGTTGGCATAAACGTTCACATAGCAACATATACACACAGTGCAAATTTACATTTACATTTGCACCTGCTCCAGACATGATGCAGTTTTGCTCATGGTGTGAATATACACACATGAGTAAACAGGTTCACATGACAAGTATACTCTCATAGGTATTTCTACACACCCATGCAAATATGCACACATATGTATAGAGGCGCATCGCGGCATGTGAACGTGGTATTAGTCAAGCAATATTACTATCATGACCAAGTAAACTGGGAAAGTCAATGGCAGGATCAATAATGATTCTAACAGCCAGTTATGGATTAGTTTATCCTTGCAAACACTGCTTGCTGCAGCCAATGACAGGGACTAGTTTCTGCATCATTGTGAATGGTCAGCCCAATACCCTCATCCTTCTAAGGCTTTTTTTCAAAAGCTTGTTGTTTCAAAAGCTGTTGGGGAGATGGTGAAACAAGTATGAAAATAACAGGATCTATTTCTATTTCAATCCACCCAAAATGCCTAAGGTAAATCTCAATTCTTTGGGACCAAACTGATTGTAAACCAATCAAATTTCCAAATGACTATTTAGCCCACAGTCAGTGTTCATAGTATTGAAAAACTGAAATATATTCAGATCTATAAACCAAAAAAACCTCAAATTTATTGATTATTCATCTTTGATTTGTTTGTTTTCTAAAGAGGAACAGGAGACATTTTATTTAAAAAATTGTATTCTTGTGTGGGTGTCCTCGACAAGCCATCTGGCATAAGTTGCAGATTACCATGGTTACAGTGAGTGGTGATGCATACAATGGCATAGCTGTCATGGTTTATACAATCAACTGGGGCAGGTGGTTTTTAAGTGAGGAACAGCCCATGCAAATCACAATAACATTATTCAGTTTCAGAATGTGACTTCAAACACAAGTTAAGAAAAATCCCCATCAATTTAGTCCACTTATATATTGATAATCAATAAGTGATGACCAAAATCTATTCAAATGGTTAAAAATGAAGCCAGAAAGACTAAGTTGAAAAATTTGACACAAAATGTCACAAAAGAAGTTAAAGAAAACCTGAATTTTCACATGAGTTGTACTGGGTATATATATAAAACATGCAGCGTAGTTTCTGGAAACATTAACATAGCCTACTTGTCACCATCATAACATCTTTAGTGTAGAAACCATATTTCCCCCAATACACATCCCCGGGGTTATACACACTTCTTTATTTTACAGGGTTAAGGAGTAAAGGCCCCGTGAAGATCCCCGTGCAGTAAAAGGCGACAATGTTTGTTGTAAGAGGCGACTAACGGGATCGGGTGGTCAGGCTTGCTGACTTGGTTGACGCATGTCATTGTATCCCAATTGCATGGATCGATGCTCATGATGTCAATCACTGGATTGTCTGGTCCAGACTCAATTATTTACAGACCGAGGTCAAAAAGCTGGAATATTGCTGAGACAGAGTGCTGCATTAAACAACAAACAAACAAACAAGTTGGGTACCATACACAAACCAAATGAAACCATATTCAATGAGCTAACTATATATTCTATGCTTCTGTTCTATGTCTGTAAATAAATCTGTAAAATACAAAAGAAAACACTGCCTGTCGTGCCAATTTTCTCTGGGCAGTTCTCTATCCACTGGACCACAGAGTCAGTCTATTCTGACAAGTATTGAGGTAATGATTTGAACAATGAACATTGATGAAACAAGAGCGTCACTTTGTTCAAACCACAGAAGACCACAGCATTAAGGGCATTCATACTTCTTTATCTCAGTATTAGGGATGAGCAGTAATTACACTGACCTCAGTAATAGTTCAATCAACATGATCAATAGGCTGGGTTCATACCTAATTTCAAATCCAAGCAATATTACCCCAAAACATAATTTCAAAACATTTACTTCAGTATCATTTTCCTGTTACCATAATGATAAGCAAACAAGGAAGCGGATGATAATAATTCTCGAAGCGTGACAGACATCAACAGGAAAAGCTGGTCTGACGAGATAGTCAAGACAGTCTGCATGTTGGCCCCAACACACACCCAGCAGGGATGATCAAAACCAAGTTAACAAACAACGCGACCTAAGAAGAATTTCTTGATGTCCGACCTTCACGACTGGTAGAGCTTGAACTACAAGTCTGACAAAACCAAGTGGAGTTACAAGCTAGCCTTGCGATCTGGCTAATGCAGTGTTTCAAAATAATGGGTGTCCTGGAGACCCTGAGGTTTGCTCCCATTGTATATGAATGTAGGGTTGGTTGGTTGTTTGTTTTACGCCGCACTCGGCAATATTCCAGCTAAATGGCGGCGGTCTGTAAATAATCGAGTTGGGACTAGACAATCCACATGATCCAGTGATTGACATCACAAGCATCGATCCACGCAATTGGGATCGATGACATGTTTCAACCAAGTTAGCGAGCCTGACCACTCGACCCCGTTAGTCGCCTCTTACAACAAGCACAGTCGCCTTTTACGGCAAGCATGGGTTCTAACCCAGATCTACACAGGTCTGAATGTAGGGACCTTTGAGTTTTTACACTTAGCATTTAATACAGTACTTGAGTCAAAGACCCTTGAATTTTAACATAGCCAATGGATCTTTCACATTGTGTTGATACTGTTGTGCGAGAGAGTGAGTATGGTTCTATGCCCTTTTTAGCAATGTTCCAGCAATATCACGATGGGCGGCGCATGAAATGAGCCAATATCCATGCAGGGAATCGGTGTGACAAACAAACGCTTTAACCACTTGGCTACTCACTCGCCCCTTCACATTGTGTTAACAAGGATCACTGGATGACACAAAGACTTTCTGAAAGAATGCTGGGCTAAATCTACTACTAGTACCAGTTATTCTCATAACTTGAAAGTACAGTAGTTATTATCGTGATTCAAGTAGTACAGTTGGGTCAACTGATAGATCAATGAATGTCAACAAAATAGAGTATTGCAAACAGCATTTCAAATAACACACATAAAAATATGTGTGTAAGATAACTGAGGATGAACTGCAGTCATTGCATTCAATGCTTAATGTAATGTCCTTAAACTATTTTTGACAAAATGCAACAAACTTTCACCAAGTTAACGCGGTTACTGGAAGCATGAATAGAGTGAGTGAGTTTATCTAACGTCGCTTTGAACAATATTTCAGTTATATCATGGTATCTCAGTTTGATGTAGAACAGCTCCAAGTGATGTCTGACTTAGGAGTTTATTACTTCGGTGAAACCCACAGTATTGTGCTCATAAACCCAAAACATAATCATCATGAACTGGACATCAGAGGGATGCAAATCTTTATAGTGAACTACCATCCCTTAGATGACTGGGCCACCCGTGAAGATCCGGGGTAGAATAGGTCTTCAGCAACCCACGCTTGCAGTAAAAGGCGACTATGCTTGTCGTAAGAGGCGACTAACAGAATCAGCTGGTCAGGTTACTGAATCGGTTGATGCATGTCATCATATCCCAATCGTGTGGATCGATGCTCATGATATCAATCACTGGATTGTCTGGACCCGACTCCATTATTTACAGACCGCCGTCATATAGCTGGAATATTGCCGAGTGTGGTGTTAAACAACAAACAAAAATGACTGGGCCACAGGTTCTCCACAAAGCTTCAAGTTATCCCCGGGAGATAATGATCATAAATATGTAAACTTCCGCCTGTATCCACCCCTCAAAAATATATATAAAATTAAAAGGTTTGAGTGGGATATATGCATATATGCATATACAGTCATCCCTCGCTAGAACGCTACCTTTGGGGTCCAAATAATTGATAAGCGTTATAGATGATCAGCGGTTTAACGTAGGTCGAGTCGTAGGTGGTAGATGACCAACAAAACAGTATACATGCTCTGCCTACCTAACACAATCTACGTTGCACGTTTCAGAGTTTCAAAAAAAGATTAGAATAGAAGTTATTTCTGATTCATAGTGTAAAAAAGGATTTATCGAGTATAATATGCGCTTTCAACAAAAAAAAACACATCCTATCCCTTCAGATGAATAAGCAGGTAGATCTATAACAAACTTTGTCAATAAAAGTATGAAGTTTAATATAAAACATCACTAGACGTGAAGATTTACCATTGTTCTGCTCTCAAAGGCATTGTTTTATATGCAGAGATTAAGATTCTGTGTGTATTTTCTCGTAAACTAAGCCGGAAATAGCAATCAGCTGTGCACACGTTTCCTCCCAATCTACTGTCGATTCAGGTAAAACGTACCCAGTGATACCACTTTAAAGAAATTTGATGCAATGGTCGGAAGACATTGTATCTGAAATTATTATTTTATCAGGAATAATATATTCCAATATCGTGTTATTTTAGTTGCAGCTTCCACCATATATACTTAAAATTATAAGAACCACAAACTTAGCACTTTGGTACAGATTGTATGCAGGATATTTTTTGACGTATAGAATGATTTTGACCAGTCACCATAGGGACTTCCCGCTCTACATGTATTTCGATTGCGAAACTGATTGTCAAACTGCCTCAAATATGACTTTTAGCGAGTCATGGTACAGCATTTATGATATGTGTATCCATTCTCTTGCAACTAAAGTTTGTTTCAAGGAGTCAATAGCGGTAATCTGACCGTGGTTGCTGTTAATAACGGTGAGTTGTGCGATCTACCGATCACTTCGCATACGATTTCGCCGAAATTATTGTAAACATTATTGAATGAAATTTTGAATATAATTTAAAAAAATATATTGCAAACATTAGTCCAGATAAACAATGAACATTTTTTTTATATTACCAGATATTATAATAATAGGATTAAATTGCGTACTTCAGTTAGGATTTGTTGACTGGTATTTCCGGTGTTACGTGATCGTGGTGATTAGCTGATAATGTTTTCTGAGATCGGGGAAAACATTGTGTCATTGGAAAACTTGAGTTTATTGAAAATGTTAGTAAATTTTGGGAGCCATGCTTTACCGCGCGCTATAACCGAGTTAGCGCTATATTGAAGCGAGCAATAACGAGGGAACACTGTATATATGTTTTGGAGGGGTGGATATGGGCAGAAGTCTTTCACATAAATGTATATTCTCATGTTGTGTATTCATACAATAACTGCACATTAAAAACATTATTTGGCGAAAACTGTATTAATGAGAAATAAATGTAACAGAGGATAACCAACATGATTTATGTTGTTTATTCAAATGTCCATGTTATGCTGATCCCCACTACACAACCTGACATAATAACATAAAGCACAGCTATTGATTGGTAGCAGTTGGTAAACCTTCTGGTGTGACCATATGAAATACAATGTGTGAACCACGAAGCATACTGATTAATAGCTCAGTGCATCAGTGATCATGGTGATGTAGTTCAGCCTAAGTGCTTTCAGACCTAACATGCCTGAAGTTTACAACTCAACTTTTGACTGGATCACTGATATAAGTACCCGCTTTGCTAATATATTGGCTAGTGCACAATCCCAAATAGCACCCCTTCCGATTGATCAATGTACACAAGACTTATTTATTTGTGTATAATACGCACTCGTGTGTTATATGCACCCTTAATTATTGGCAATAAAATTCTGGAAAAATATATCTGTCATGTAAAATATGCTCAGACTTTTCCTTTGTATCATTTCAGGCTGTCACCACGAAATTTATCTTTCAACTGGTTTTTTTTCACCAAAATATTCCAATAAGAGACACCTATTTCTAATTATGAGTTCGCCCATGTCGCTTATTTCGTCGAATGCGGTATTACATATTGTTACAGTGACTGAGTGAGTATGGCTTTCACACGGCTTTTAGCAATATTCAAGCAATATCTTGGAGGGGACACCAGAAAAGGGCTTCACACATTGTACCCATGTAGGGAATCGAACCCAGGTCTCTGTCATGACGGGCGAACGCTTTAACCATTGGGCTACTCCATCTTCCACATATTGTTACAAAACTATGAACAGCAGCCTAAGGAAATGTTTACTTATTATTTTCTAAATTGTAATGATATTGAATGCTATTTCTATGACAATTTCTCCCAGTCCCAGGGATCTATCACATTCAGTCCCTTCCAGGACACACAGAATATCCCCTTCAAAAGTTGAATATAAAAAGAGTATTTGATCATTATATTCATTATTGACTAAAGGTCAATTAAAAAGCAGAAGCTGAGTCCATTGTTTGTCCAGAGATCTCATGAAACAAATTGATTTTCAACATGTTCAACACTGCTGCTTAGGGCAAGAAGTTTCATTGATTGGAATTTTTAGTATAGATATATAAGCATATTGATTGATAATATAATTAATTATTATGAATATGTTGAATGTGTATAGATAAAAACTACCTATGTGGACCTGCAATTAATCGATCTAAATTCTAATGCTAAACATGAATTAGGCTGATCAACTAAACATTTAAAAATATTTTTTATCTGCCTTCTCATTGTCAAGCATAACCATGGTAATCTTAATAAATGTAAATGTTTCTACATCTTCCCGAGGTAAGGGAATTAACTGACTGTAAAAGTTCAGTTTCCACCCTTGCCAAACTAGGCTGGAATTCTGGGCTCAAACCAAGCACCACCAGTGGCTATTATGAGTTATGTCCCTGCTGTGTCCCTCCTATTGACCAATGAGATTCCACCTCTGATATCACATGCATTTGCTTCACACAAAATGGCAGCGTCCAGTGAAGACAACCTGATCGATAATCTCAAATCTATATTCTAATAGAACGGGTCTTACTTCGTGAAGTGCATCAAATCAAGTGAGCGCCTTGATAAAAAACTGAAGAGATTTGGAAAACATCCGTTGACGCCATGTTGGCAGTACACATGCTTTGCAAATTCTGCGCTCGATCAAAATCTACACTGCAGTTCATGAACCAGATGTCGATTTCGTTACACAATTATGATTGGACTATTCATAGACTCGTTAGTTCAGCCTATATATAACTCCATTAATTCCACCCTAATTCTGCAAGGGTGGAAACTGGACTTTTATAGTCAGTTAACTCCCTTGCCTCGGGAAGATGATGTTTCTATGGTAGTGAATTATTTATTATTTAATATAGTATCAGTATTCATATATTTGTATCAATACACTATTGACCATGTTGACATTGAGAATTTACGGATACATCATACAAATGATATCTTAACATATATCAAGCAAAGGTTTGTGGCAACATTGCCAGGAGCATCAGGACAAGTGCATATTGTCAAGAGTATGAAACCACTCCAAGATGGCTGCAAACTGGGAAACTTACACATGTTGAGCTGCCTGATGAAGCTGGCGATGTTGTTGTGTTTGAAGTACAAGGGCAGCACCTCCCGGGCAAACCGGGACTGGTCGTACACATGGAAGCTGGTGCCATTCTGAAAACATTAACACTAATTCATGACAGAGTGAACATGTTGGTCAACATGGTGAAACTCGTTCCTTCAGATACTACACATCATGCCAACTGACAGAAATATTTTGTGTGTGTATATACTATATGTGTTAATGTCTGTGTGTGTTGTTTAACTCCACACTCAGCATATTTCCAGCTATATGATCATGATGATCGCGGCCTGTAAATAATTGAGTTTGGTCTAGACAATTCAGTGATCAATATTGTGATCATTGATACATGCCATCAGGAATACGAAAACACACAATCAACCAAGTCACCGAGTCTGTCCACCCAATCCATTTGGTCACCTCTTATGCTTATGAGGAATTGATTGATAGGCATTACTAAGAAGTTGACGGATGACAAAGTAGACACAATTTATGGATAAAAACTTCTTTAATACTGTAAAGGTGACGTTTCGCTATAGACATTAGATCCTATTACTGTTGTCAAGCAAGACTTGTGAGGAATACAATCAGTCAATGTCCATAAAAATGAACACTCTGAAACCCTTTTATATTTCTCTATTAGTATATCATTACACGTTTCTTTAATTGTATGGCAGAATTTGTTCTATACTGACTATAGCTCCCACCTAGCTTTCCACTTGTCGCTGAGCTCCATGTCAAAATTGAAGTCTTTACATTAACTTGTTCCAACTGATCAATCATTAATTGTAATTGGTTATCAACAGTTTGTGTATCTTCCAAATGTGAATATGTTAAATGGCATGTTTGGAGCTGATGTAAAATATGACTGATAATCATGATAATATGACCATGCTCATTTGTTGCCTGATAATATAGATTGGTGTTTATTTTTTTGTTTGTTGAACTGTTAACAAAACCATAAAATTTAATAACAAATAAAAGACACATATCATTAATAAATATATCATTTGCATGATTATAGGATAACTAAATAACATATATTCTTAATTTGTACTGATCATCAGAATATGCAAAAGAGTAGAATTACTAGTTTGGATTTTATGTGAAGTCAAAAAGTATTAATTTCATGACAATGGCAACTCAAGCCTCACAGGTTTGAGTGTGGTACAAGAACTGCACATGATAAAGAGGCTACAGTTGCAATGAAAGTATGAAAATCATCAGGATCTAAAGCATAAACTGTGGTAACATTTAAATAGTCCGAGTGCTGTCAGTCATTCTGCAGATAACCGTTAGGAATTACTAAAACTAAACTAAAAATGTCCACTACTCCATGACCCTAGTCAACAAAGCCCAACAATGGTTAGGGGTAGGCCTGTAGGCCTAGGTAGGCTTGGCCTAATTTCTGTCTTGCACCACTCTGCATGACAAGTACAAGGCTCTACGTAATTAGAACATGTCTACATCTCACATCAGTACCTCTTGACTCTATATGTAGTAGAAACTTAAGAACAAAACTTGCAACTACAGCAAATGTGTAAAAGTAGATAATGAAACGACCCAAAAGTGAAATGTCACCATAAACAATTTGTACACCACGCAGGGCACATACGTCGGTTCTCTCCCCTCACCACTGACACTGCGATTATACGTACCTCACCCCAACAAATCAAATCATTCCAAGATGAGTCTTCAACTAATATCCATAACTTTTTCAAAAATGCCGGAACGCTTCCAGTATCGTTACTGTCGGTGACAGAAAACATTTTCCAAAATTTCTGCGTGCAAGGTATTTTCCCTGCATGTACTTCCAGTACGATTGAAGCGCATGCGCGTACTATGAACCCAACAACAAATGTCAGCTCTGTCAATATGGTTCGTTCTTCAGGTGAATAACGTGCTCCGATTTCTTATTAAACGCATTCATTCCACCAGAGAACAAACATCTTGTCTTTATTGAAAACTTTATTTTTGTGTAAGCATGGTTAAAGCGAATATTTTGTAGAATGGCGCTTGTTTTGTACACAAGTTTGTGTGCAATAAACCAGTGGTACACTAATGCGTGAATACACAATTGCAATCAATTAATACAGCCCGAGCAAATGGTAGAAATAAACTACGGATATATAGACTGTATAAGTATGACTATACCACAGAGAAGCACCTTAGCTGCCCCTTACCCCGTGGATACAGAAAGGCTTACGTGAAGTTTATGTGTGGGGAGACGCCTGTACGCGTAGAGACAGGTGCGATATGAAAGTTTACCGTATTACCACTGATATTGATTTAATTGCCCACAAACAGTCGAAGATGAGACTCATGTTCTCTTCTTCTGTCCTTTATATGAATAAATTAGATTAGAATTTTTTAATCAGTGTGTGAAGAAATAGGCGAACTTTATATTTTATACACAATGCAAAAGTTAATGTATATTATTCATCCATGACCTAACCCTTTACGCTTCCAAAGTCGTCAAAACTTGTATATGTTTAAGTATCTAAGTATATATGTATCTCTGTAATATATTGTATCTCGTAAATCGCGGGTCGATTGGTCGTGAGTAGTTTTATTGTGTGTACTATAACATGTGTTACGCATGTATCCTACGAGTGAGAGACAAATAAGATCTTCTGTCTGTCAATAAGGATGCGGGAATAAAACGTTAAACAATGTTACTTATTGCGCGTAAGTACACCAATTAATTTCAAGTAATAGTTCCCGTCTAGTTCGTGTATGTATGTATTTACGAGATTAAACAAATTTCGATTAATAAAATTATATAACCAATTATACCATGCGTAAACGATTGTCATTGACCCGATGGACTGCAGGTTGAGGGTCATTGGTTTCAGATAAATCAATCATATTGGCATGGTCAGGACTCGATAATAACAGATTTTTATAGACTAAAATCTAGTCTCTGAAATGAACATATCGTACAGAAAAAATAGTTGTTAAATTTTCTTAATAAAAAGGAGCCCAGAGACCCTCTTCATTTTCAGATACTGCAGAAATCTAGACTTGCCAAATATTATTGACTTGCATGGGCTGTATTTCATATATTTGTATCAGGGTCTGTAAGACAGACTAAGATTTATTAGTTTGTTCTTCTGTGACATATTTGGAATATCACCGAAATATATTTGCATCATTTTAATTCACTTAATTTGTAAAGAAATTGTACCTCTTCGCTGTACAAATGAAGAAAATTACAAACAGAATAAACACCCTTTCGACAGACGGGTTTCAACAGATTTTTTGGAAAATAAGGTTCGTATCAGAAAGACCCAGATGGATTCCTTGAAATAGGTCACAATACGAGCTTCTAGTGTGCGGTCACTCAGGTAATACCCTTACGATCTCAAAAATATATTTGGTGGTTTTGATATATTTTAGTGTTGCGGTCGAATGCCAGGAGCTTTCCAAATATCTATAACACATGGTATGGTTTTCAAAACGGGTCTTATGACCAGCACCAAATGGACTATTGTCGGAATTAACGTTGCCCGGTTTGGACGTGCAGAGGATATTCTATATTTAGTTGTGATTTTATTTACGTAGAGCAGATTAAACGTTCTTTACGAAATTATACAGCATTTATAATTGCAGGTCCTCCCTTACCACCAGGGACGCGAAAAAGGGCTTCAACAGAAATTCCCCAACTGGGGAATCGAACTCGGTGGGCGAACGACTTATTACCACAAAGCTACAAATCGCCCCTTTCAACTGACAAGACACCTCCGGTTGTCTCCCCTCTCCCTTAGACACACTGGGCAAGGCAAAAGTTCTCATGGATAAACAACTTCTTTATCGCAAACGAGGCGACGTTTCGGTGTAGACTGTAACAAGATTCAGTCACATAACTTGTTTGACAAAGGTTTTACATGTGAGATACCATGCTGCAGTTTAACATGGATACCATACTCATACACAGTATACTGAGTCCGAGACGACCAGGTCTCGTTTTATCTCTTTAGTGCCGAGAGTCAGCCATGGAAACAACAAGTACCATCTTTTGGTATGACGCTGTCGGGGTTCAAACACCCGACCCCCCGCTCTCCGTACCATCTATCCACTGGACCACGAGAACCGTTAAAGAGATAAGTTAAAATATATACATGTATGTACGTGTACACAGTGAACCAAAATTGTTGATAAAATACAAACATATAAATTTATGAGATCTATGAATGTGAGGAATAGAAATACGACCACATTGTAATATTCAGTTTAACACATTCAGTGTGAACACATTAAAGATGAGACTATTTCAGGTATACCGCGGCCTTTTTCAGTTATACCACGACCGGTGTCAGCGTGTCAACGGAAAAGACAAAAGTCACCCGCCTCGAAGACATTTACGAGTCTGACGAACGCAACGAACAGGATCTTTAACGTTGCGCTGATAGACAAATAATATAATATAATATGGAAAAATGTATAATTCGAACCAGCGATCAGCGGATCCTGACTAGGCTAAGGGATGCAACTCTGCAGGGTGAATAGCAGTGCCTTAAACAACACCTATCCTCGGCAATCCAGTGCATTGCATATTCAGTTTGTTATCGTGATTGAAATAGGACGGATAATTATGTATATCAGGCTTGGTAATCGAGGATGAACTACACCGAAACTGAAATTGCACCCAGTGGCTTGTTTTGTATATTTCGTTCAGCTGACAACTGTAACTATTTTTCTGCAATATTGTTAAGTGGTCTCTGATATTTTCCTTAGCGTGTTTGCAAGTTAAACTTTATTGTTCTAGTTATTTCAAACTATTACACCGATGTCCGAATATAGGCTTGTGAAATGCCAGTTAGGATACTTCACAATTTCGGGTTGATCGGAGGAGGTCTTTCGATAAACCTGCTCTTTAAACTAGTTGTTGTCTAGTAGCATATAGGTCACGTGACAATACGGGGAATCCCCAAGTCCCGAACTGATGAAACGAAAGCTCACGCACGCGCATAGCCGACCAAAAGGGATGAATGATTGCAAAGTTTAGCTATGACGTCATTGTACACGTAATCAGATCAATTATAATTAGTTTAGAACTAATTACAACAATGAAACCAACAATAACTTTTACTGACGGCTTTGGTCAAGCACCGATTCACTGAGCCTACTGCACGTTCAATCAAGTAAGTAGGCGTGGTTATACTAGTGAAATGAAGCGGGGCGGGGCATGTGTATCGACTGACGTCGCCATGCTGGTAATTTCAAATTTTAAAGGCGTATTGTCAAAATTCAAATTAAAAAAATAAGTCAATCACTGTTTTGTCGTAACCATTTGTAAAGTTCATTTAATGATAATAATAATACAATATGTGTAATATGTGCCTAAGTGCAGCCTGAATATCGGCGACACTGATTGTAAATGATATATCGTCGAGGTTGCTGTGACCTGACCTCGAGGGATATCAGTAATCCTTGCTTCAAAACTTCTTCTTTTTCCAATTCTAGTATTCATGTTCTCTTGAACAGGGCCACTATTCAAGATGTCAGACAACGTGTTGAAATATTTTGGTCTGCAGCCAATTACCGATGAAGGTAAACAAGTTTAAATGTATTTTATATATGTTCGCCGTAGACCTGTCTAATTTAAACCAACAATTTTTTGGCACTTTTATGACTGTTCCCAAACTAACTAAGCAGTGAATGTCTGTGTACGCAGTAATCTTATCGTTTTACACTTGTATTTATTCACCCCATTTATATAAATATGTCGTTCTTGAATCTTTCATCAGCATCACACGCGTCTAGTTTCTCCATCACTCAGGAACACAGATACGTGCCTTATAAGTGAAAACTATATATGGATTGTTTTCAGCTGGAATGGCTTTTCCTGCAAATTAATTAATCGTGCACCGACGGCCTAGATCGTGGCTCATAATCTCAATCGCTGGATTGCTGGATCCAGATTCCATTATCAACAATATTGCTAGATGCGACGTTAAACAACAAACAAACAAATCTATTTTCTAACTCGGGTACTCGGGTCGGGTGGGTCCTGAGTTGGACCCGGGTAACCACAGGACTACCCGGACCCATGGTTTAATGACAAAAATTATCTAAAACTCTATGGGTTACACTATAAGTCACTAAGGTACCCATTTCTTTCTGACTATGCACCCATTCCATCTGACTTTTATATGTCTGAATAAAGATAAAATTTCATGCACTAAACTTCAGTGTCTACATGACCAGATTGATTTACACGTATATCTAAACACATTTTGCCAGGGCTACGGTCAAACTTTTCCAAATCGGACAGTTTGTACCTATCTCTAGATATCTACAGTGGGTACACGGGTCGGGTAATAGGGAAGTGGGTACCCGGGTAGTAAATTTGGACTCGTCCCAGCCCAACTATTTTCCGATGTGAGAGTTGCCTTTTTAAATCGGGGACATTACTCGAATATTTACAGACTATCGTCATGTAGCTGGAATAGTGTGGCGTAAAACAACAAACAAATAAACAATAGCGGGATGTGAAGGAATTAACGAGCTAAACGTTTGGCCACATGGTGTAAAAGTTCATTCAAAAGGTAAAATGCCGTACCCACATCTATTGACATGTGACTCGTGGTTTGCAGGAATCCAAGCGGTCATCTATGGACCCACTGTGCCAACCACAGCAACAGAAAGACTACAACAGTGGCTAGCTCTTCTTCCACCGACTATACGAAAACTGATTGATGACGCTGGGAAACAAAAGCGCCCTTTTCTACCGCCGGACGCCACCCCTGAAATGATGACAGCTCCAAACGATAAAATCTCATCAATGAACCAGATGGAAGTATTGTATGTGAGTAAATAATCAATAAACAATATATCCGAGGTATTCTTAGCATAAGTTGAGAACACTTTATTGACACAACCGCACGTGAAGTATAACATGTTAACACATACTTTGAATTATGTGTTTCAAACCTGTACATTAACGTTATCTGATAATATTGCCGGTGTTTCAAACTTGGCTTCTTGAGGAACACTGGGCGATCTTTCAGTATCCGCTGATCGTGGGTTCGAATCCAAGATTCGCCACGACTGTGATCCTCAGGCAGCAAGTGCGGATCCAGGATTTTTAAAAGGAAGGGGTCCAAAATATCATCAACGTTATCTGAGAACATTCCCGGTGTTTCAGACTTGGCTGCTTGAGGAACACTCATCTTCCCGAGGCAAGAGAGTTAACTGACTTTAAAAGTCCAGTTTCCACCCTTGCCGAACTAGGCTGGTATTATGGAGTTACATTTTGGCTGGGCTAACGAGTCTATGCAGGATTTGCAAAGCATGTGCACCGCCAACTCGTTGTCAGCAGATATTTTCCAAATCTTTTCATGTTTATAATCAAGGTGCTCACGTGATTTGATGCATTTCGCGATGTAAGATCCGTTTTATCACAATATAGATCTTGATTATCGATCAGATCGTCCGGACTGGGCGCCACCATTTTGTGTGAAGCAAACACAAGTGACACGTGAAGTGGAATCTGATTGGTCCATAAGAGAGGCTTAGAAGGGACATGACTGGTAATAGCCACTGGTGGCGCTACGATCGAGCCCAGTAACTCCAGCATAGTTCGGCAAGGGTGGAAACTGGACTTTTAAAGTCAGTTACCTCTCTTGCCTCGGGAAGATGGGAAAATTGGGAGATCGTTCAGTATCCGCTGGTCGTGGGTTCGAATCCAAGATTCGCCACGACTGTGATCCTTAGTCAGCAAGTGCGGATCCAGGTTTTTTAAAGGAAGGGGTCCAAAATATCAAAATATTCTCTCAGATAAATTTACTGCCTACAAAATACTACATTTGGTTTTCAAAAAAAGGGGGGAGGGGAGAGAGAGAGGAGTTCGGTCCCCCTCGACACACCCCACAAATCTCACCATTCCTCTGGATCCGCCTATGGTCAGCAGAATATACGCATGTTCTTGGGTTTCATCATTATTGTAGACGTCCACGACCCTCCTCACAATGGGTCCCCTCCTTTATGATATTGCTGGAATATTGCTAAAAGCGGCGTAAAAACCATACTCACTCACTCTTTCACTTAACTGGCACGTCCTGATATAGCGAGTGGGTGAGTTGGGTTTGTTTCAGGTATATCACAGCGTGTCAGCTTCATGTATGAGACAAGTCTCAAGTGATGTAGGTCTTACACTTGTTCTACTTTGGTGAAATCCACGAACACGGGTATAGCGCTGACAAACCATGAAACCTAATCCGACCAAACCGGGATTTGAGCCAACGAGCCACGCCGAAGGGACGCAACTCTGTACAGTTGATTGCGACCACTTAGACGACTGTGCCACCCGTGTTCCTCCGCCATGATATAACTGAAATAACGTTCACAGCAGTGTTAATCTACAACTTTCACGCGTGATTTCACCGTATATCCACAGAGGTGCATCGACCTGGCCATAAAAGCGAGAGATTTCAAGATGGCCGCCTGTATTGCCTTTACCGTGGACCGGGCGTCCTATTGGTCTGGGACGTCCAAACCTCTGCTGCAAGTTGTGGAATTTATAAAAGAAAAATGTCCAGAAGTGTCCATCGCTCCCCAGATCCAAGTGAGGAAAGCCCGTTTGTTGAAGGACGAGGGGGATCTCCATGGTGCTATCCAGGTCCTCAACCAAGTCCTCATTAGACCCAAGGGGAATCCAGGTAGATCGCTGTCTGGTTTCGATTCGATCACTAGTTTTTACAGGCCGCCGTCCTATAGCTGAACGGCTGCTTAGTGGGCATTAAACAGCCTGAATATACACATCCTGTCAGTACATATAGCCAAGAATTCCTTCTCTACTTTGCAATTTTAATTCTCGACACACAAATGAGGCTAATCGTTCTTGTACTGTCACATATCTGAGCCCAACTCCTGTCCATTACGACTGAAGTGTGTGTATGCTTGTAGGGGAATGGAGGTACGCCGACGAGGACCAGTATGTCACCACAAAGGCAGAGGTTATCAAGATTAAGGGCAATATAATGCACAATCTGGGTGAGTTATCTGTATGTTGAACAACTGGTCCATCAGGTTAAATGATAGACTGACATTTAGTCCCAGAAAAACGTTTTGTTTTTTACAAAAATATATCTAAAAAATATAAAAAATAAAAATCCAAATGGAGCCTGGAACAGTCGGCTGAGGCAATCTAGACTTGCCAAATCATTCCAGACTTGAGTTGGGCTGCTTTTTTATTATTTTTTTCTTTAGGGTCTGTGAGACAGACTAGTACTAGTAAAATGACGTCACGGAAATTGAATGTTTTGAAAGAAGTCAAAATGTAATAAACTTGGAATTGGACGTTCAAAACGGAGATCTGGATGAAGACGAAGTAGCCTTCTTCCCTATACGTGTCAAAGCCAAAGATTTGGGAACCATTTTAGCCAAATGTTACCATCACCCTTTTGATAAACTTATTTGTGCATGGTATGTACACACTTCATGTGTAATGGCTATAGCAGGAAAAGATCCAGAATACCATGCACATATGTGCAGTGTGGGGAGACTGTGTAGGATGTTTCAACCACCAACACGATCCTGAGATGCCTACGTGTATTTTACTCGGCATCATTGTCCGTGCTATTCCCCCTGATCGTGTTTATCGGTGTGTCAGCACTATACCCATGCTCGTGTGTTTCACCAAATTGGTAAACGTCCAAGACCTGCATTCCTCCCAAATCAAGCTGACACGCCGGGATATAACTGGCATACTGTTCAAAGTGGCGTTAAACCCAACTCTTTAAGTTTCTTTGCAGGTATGATGAAAGAAGCCGTGGAGCCTCTGTTACAATCAATCCAGTTGTTTGCCTCCCTGGGAGAACCGGACGACAAGGGTATAGCATCGTGTCTGGGGCTGCTGACAAGATGTATTGGGAAGTTGTCACTCAACGACTACGAACAAGTCCGGCAAAGATTTCCCAAAGACTTTGAGTCCCATCATCCCTGCCACCAGTCCTACTTGACCGGCATTGAAGCTGTCCGCTACATACAAAATATTCACGAGAGTCTGTACCGCTCAAAACATCAGGTACTGAACTGAACTTTTATTTACACCCAGGCCGCAATCAGTGGCATCAGAGGTACAAAATTATGTCTACAACATAAAACACATTAATCTACTTTTCAAAAATTCACGATTAGGAACATCAAGAAAATTGTCCAAATTTGTAAAATCCTCATGCCATTGTTTAAACGGAACTCTCCATCTTATTCAACTGCACATATATTGCTACCCTAGTGAATCTGTAAACATGCATGCATGCTCGGGAAAGATGTCTTTTGTATCAATATATATCTTTATAAAAGAGGTGTTTGGAATCACATGCTTCTAAAAACCCAATATGACAAATAAGAAGGTATGAACAATGCATGCCTTTGAGTTGGAGACCTGACCCTTATGACTAAGCTCACATGACATCTGGTGGTCTTATAATTTCATAATGCCAATGCCATGTATTTTGTGGCATTTACACCTGTTACACATTAACACAGTTTGTTGAAATGTTGTCTGGCAATGAAATGAAAAAAACCTTTGTGGTTTGATTTTACAATTGTTATTGTTATTGTTATTGTCATTGTCTTTGGCATTATTATTCTCATTCACATTGTTATTGTAACTGTAATTATATACGTTCCTCGTGTTATTTCAGCTGGATGCGGATGTATCATTGTTGAAGTATGCTATATTGAGACCATCTGTCCAAGAGGAATACAAGTTGTTTCAGACAGTCCTGAAGGAGATGAAGTCCTGCTTGAGTGCCCACAAGACCATTTCAGCACTGAGGAGTTTGGAACAGTTCCATGAGTTTGTTCGCGCTCTATTCATGATAAGCCTTACGTTGTCACTCACTCCGATTCAGCAGGACCGAGACCTTGCCGAGTACCTGCAGCAACTGAGCATGGAGTTATTCCTGCATCTGTGTAGCCATCAAGTCGCCGGCCAGGCTGCCCAGCTGGACCATACATCAAGGACAGTGAAGATTATGAACTTGTCTTTAACAATCCTTGATCTACCTGAGCTTGAAGGGAAGGTAGCAGAGAAAGAGAGCATGGATAGGCAACAGAATGGGGAGAAATCTAAAAGAGAAGATGGCTCTCAGAAAGGAAAAGATGGATTTAAGGGAGGAGTGTCATCTCAGAAAGGAGGGATTTCTCAGGAAGGAGGGAGGTCTCAGGGAAGAATGGGGTCTCAAGGAGGAGGGGCGTCTCTGAAACTGGGAGAAGATAAGGCCCCGGAACTAGATGGGGATAGGTCGCTCACAAAGCGAGGAATGAACTCTCTAGAAAGACAACATGGGGGGCAGACATCTCAGAAGCATTCCATCAAAGGAGTCTCCAAAATGACAAAACCAGAAACTTCAGACCGCAAACCAAATGAAGCAGAAACTATTCCCCCTTGTTTGGGAAGAGCAGAAACAGAGCCTTCAATAGGATCATCATTCAATACCCACAACCCAGAGGATACGGATATCCTAAGAGCAACAGATGAATCTGTTCAGAAAACCAGGCGAAGGAAGGAAACTCCCCTAAAAGCATGGACCTACAGCTTCCAACAGGAAAGAACATCCCTCGGCAATGAAGAGAAGACTCAAGGCTGTTACACCTATCCCCAGATGACACCAGGTAGAGTTGGGGATCTCAAGAAGCAGTGGCAGATATATAAACATAAATGTGTAGGTCTTCCTGTGGATCCAGCCTTTTTCTCCTCCCCGGTGCCATGTAAAAGTGCCCAGGACCTGGATGAGGCATCATCCTCACCGACGGGCAAAGATCTCCTCGTGAATCTATCAGAACCGTATGTGAACAAAACCATAGAAAGCAGAGAAAGTACTGAACAAAGAAAACAGGTAACCAAAGAGAATAATTTGGTAGACCAGGATGCAACAACAAAACCAAGCGAAACATCTGAATATGTTCACAGTATGTTCCTCCACCCACATGACATTCCCAATCAGCCGATGAGAAGCGAGGACGATAGGAAGAAAAGGCAGTTGAATGAGAATACTGATGTTCCTGAGTTACAGCCTCTTGTTGACCTTTCAAGGACAACATTGACAGATTCTCTTGTAGAAATGGATCTTGGCAAGAGCATCACAACCGATGACCCTGCAGAGTATCTAAGCAACTGGCGTCCACCACTGCCACAGCCGGAATCTCCCGCGGATAAGCTTCGAAGTAAGTAGTGTCTTTTGTTTTCTAAATATCAAAGTGAAAAATTAAAAATAACCTCAAACGTTTACATTCATGTAAAAGTGGGAATTGCCCTCGTGAGAGGTTATAAAAAACGGACTGGCCTTTTGTCAGCGTAACTAAAATTACATTTACACTGAGAGGTTCATATGATTGGTATGTCATATGATTTTGTACTAATTGATGCAAAATTAACCTTAGTTTCATCTATTAAAATTTGATTGTTAGTAGAATTGTTTCAAAACCTTTGGAAGACTTATTCATTCTGCGAAACAGTTCCTGTCGTTGTTGAATCTCCGTAACAGTAGTTGTTATCCATCCATCACACAAGTTCACATGTTCATGGAGATGATTTGTTCAGGATCATTCCTGTTGACGTACAACCCCGCCACTGGTGACTGGACAGCACAGAGTACTCTGGTATATATTGGGAAGAAGCTAGATCTGGCAGAGGGGAAGAGAGGGCACTGTCGAGATGCCTACCACGTTCAGTTCCTGCACCAAGACGAACCCAGAGGACGGTAGGCCACTCCTGATCTTCCTTGATGCAAGGGACATCTTCCGAGGCAGGAGATTTAGCTGACTTTAAAAGTGGAAACTGGACATTTGTAGTCGGTTAACACCCTTGCCTCGGGAAATTTTGCAAGGGATGGACCATTTAGTATTCTGGGGATGGACTGAAAGGAATATATTTTCAGTCAGCTCTTTGAACAATATCCTCAAATTGGAGGTGCCAAACCTCTTTAGGGGGATTTTGCTGGGTACAAAATATTTGTATTAAACATTTTGGGGAACAGAAATTTTTTAATAAAAACAGGACACCCCCTCCCCCTAAAAATCAAATAGCTGCCCCTACTATGTATGTATAGTTAAACATTCCAACTTCGTAATCTAATACATGTGAAGGGGAATGATACACACCGCGGATAATAAGAGATTATGTGTTTGCTGACAAAATTCAAATTGATTCCCGCGAGAGAATGAGGCCCGACTGTTTATTAATATGCACATTTCAAACAACTTTGCTGTGTTTCAGATATGTGGGCAAACGGTACAGGTCTTCGCGGCATCACTGCAGGATTCCCGCGAGAGAATGAGGCTCGACTGTTTATCAATATGCACATTTCAAACAACTTTGCTGTGTTTCAGATATGTGGGCAAACGGTACAGGTCTTCGCGGCATCACTGCAGGATTCCCGCGAGAGAATGAGGCTCGACTGTTTATCAATATGCACATTTCAAACAACTTTGCTGTGTTTCAGATATGTGGGCAAACGGTACAGGTCTTCGCGGCATCACTGCAGGATTCCCGCGAGAGAATGAGGCTCGACTGTTTATCAATATGCACATTTCAAACAACTTTGCTGTGTTTCAGATATGTGGGCAAACGGTACAGGTCTTCGCGGCATCACTGCAGGATTCCCGCGAGAGAATGAGGCTCGACTGTTTATCAATATGCACATTTCAAACAACTTTGCTGTGTTTCAGATATGTGGGCAAACGGTACAGGTCTTCGCGGCATCACTGCAGGATTCCCGCGAGAGAATGAGGCTCGACTGTTTATCAATATGCACATTTCAAACAACTTTGCTGTGTTTCAGATATGTGGGCAAACGGTACAGGTCTTCGCGGCATCACTCTGTAACACGCTACATGCAGGATGTGGTATGTCAGATGATGGCTGGCCACTATGTCCTCAAGTTCAACGAAGCCCTGCAGAACTACAAGCGGGACATCCAGGTGCAGTTCCTGCCTGCTGCCCACCTGCAGTTGCTGACCCCGGACGGACGTCTCGAGGACTGCATCAACGTGGAGCCGTACCTCCATGGTGACTTCATCAAGCTCACCAACAACCTGGCCTTCTCTAACAAGAGGGAGCATCGCGGGGAGGAGCTTGCCACGGCCTTGACCCACTTCTCCTTCTGCGAGTCCCAGGGCACACTGATGATCGTGGACATCCAGGGGTGGCTGGGAAGTGAGGACAGTGGCGTCATCTACCTCACCGACCCACAGTTCCACACAAGCGGCATGGAGAAATTTAGTCCTTATGACCATCAGGAGAAAGGCATGGATAAATTCTGGTTAGAGGTCCACCCTGTATGCAATGACATGTGTAAGGCTGTTGGCCTGAGTCGACCTGTCAAGTCTATATCAGAGTGAGTGAGTGAGTGAGTTGGGTTTAAGGCTCCTTTTAACAGTATTATATACTCACCGCCAAAAGAAAAGCGAATGTTGGTTAATATGTGAAGAAATACTCATATTCAAGAGATATAAGATTGGTTTGATGCACAAACGAACATACTTGTATGTTGTGTGAACCGACGCTCATGACCGGATCACATGTGACGTCATAGATCCATGACGAGATGAACCGTTTGTCTAGTGCAGCAATTCGTGATAAGAATATAGACACTCTGTGGTAACACTTGACTGATAGTTAGCTTCGTCATCACATTGGACACATCTCTTCTTAACGTACATACTTCTCTATATGTTTCTATGCTTCGCGTTTCTTTTGGCGATGAGTATATCACGGTGTGTGTGCTTAATGTGCTCGTGCCCCCGTTTACATCAGATGTTCAAGTGGCGGTAATACATGTTCCATACTAATACCTGTACGGACCCTTCAAACACTTTTTGTGTTTAAGTTTATATTTATCAAATGACCGTTGAGTATTTTGTTTAGTTTGAGTAACAGTTAATGACCAGTTCATGTTTACAGTTTCGACAGTTTCGACATTCATGGCTCTGCGACCATTATATATTCAATGGACATAACATTTTAGCATTTCTTTAGTGTCGTTTGGGTTACTCCACTGTAAATCGACAGACATATTATCTCGTGTAACTGACAAAAATCAGGAAAAAAACCATTTGCCTAAAACAGAAAAGAAGAATTTGTCTAACATCTATAACATTGTCACTGCTATTTAAGTATATAGTCACTGAAACTGCAATGTTGTATTACTCTTTATGTCTATATATTTACATTCGAATGTCGAATGGGGGCGGTCGGGTAGCCTAGTGGTTAAAGCGTTCGCTCTTCACGCCGAAGACCCGGGTTCGAATCCCGACATGGGTACAATGTGTGAAGCCCATTTCTGATGTCCACCACCGTGATATTGCTGGAATATTGCGGCGTAAAACCATACTCACTCACTCATTTATGTCGATTCATACTGAACTGGCTTAGTGTGTTTGTTTGAACTGATTTTACAATATGTATGTTTAGCTTGATAGTGGCGATATATATTATTTTCTCAGCTAATAAACTGTGATCTATGTTTTCCTCCAGTTTTGTTGTGCTATTAACCAAAAGGGAGGCAACTCTGACCCCTTGGATCATTTTAGAGATTGAATGAAAACAAGAACGGTTGGGGTAGAACGGCAGCACAGTGTACAAAGGGAAACAACTCTTCTTTAACAACTGGAAGGGAATCACAGAACACAACACTGCAATCGGTTCGCTCCAGCCCTTATCCTTGATGTAAATATGTACAGTCCGTTGCAATGTTTGTTTTCTAAATCTGCAGCAAAGCTGTGACAACCTTAAGAGGAGGGACTTTACGTTACACAGATAACACTTATATGACTACTCGCGTGTTGCAAGAAATATGTTTGTTTGTGTGTTGTTTAACGCCGCACTTAGCAATATTCCAGCTATATGCCGGCAGTGCTAGAAATATGTAGCTTGGGCGATGAAAGTGTCGTGGAGACATTGGTCCTCGATCTCTCAATTATTTCCTCTGCATGCTTTCTCTTGATGCTAGTGCTAGATGGAGAGTCCTCCATCTACCTGAGGTTGTATCACACTGTGTACCTGCCCGTCCACACCCTCAATCTACCTGAGGTTGTATCACACTGTGTACCTGCCCGTCCACACCCTCCATCTACCTGAGGTTGTATCACACTGTGTACCTGCCCGTCCACACCCTCCATCTACCTGACTCTGTATCACATTGTGTACCTGCCCTTCCACACCCTCCATCTACCTGACTCTGTATCACATTGTCTCCCTCCCCTTCCACACCCTCTATCTACCTGAGGTTGTATCACACTGTGTACCTGCGCGTCCACACCCTCCATCTACCTGACTCTGTATCACATTGTCTACCTGTCCTTGCACACCCTCCATCTACCTGACTCTGTATCACATTGTTTCCCTGCCCTTCCACACCCTCCATCTACCTAAGGTCGTATCACATTGTGTACCTGCCCTTCCACACCCTCCATCTACCTGACTCTGTATCACATTGTCTACCTGCCCGTCCACACCCTCCATCTACCTGAGGTTGTATCACATTGTGTACCTGCCCGTCCACACCCTCCATCTACCTGAAGTTGTATCACATTGTCTACCTGCCCGTCCATACCCTCCATCTACCTGAGGTTGTATCACATTGTCTACCTGTCCTTCCACAACCTCCATCTACCTAGACTCTGTATCACATTGTCTACGTGCCCGTCCACACCCTCCATCTACCAGACTCTGTATCACATTGTCTACCTGCCCGTCCACACCCTCCATCTACCTGAGGTTGTATCACATTGTCTACATCCGTCCACACCCTCCATCTACCTGATGTTGTATCACACTGTGTACCTGCCCTTCCACACCCTCCATCTACCTGACTCTGTATCACATTGTCTACGTGCCCGTCCACACCCTCCATCTACCAGACTCTGTATCACATTGTCTACCTGCCCGTCCACACCCTCCATCTACCTGACTCTGTATCACATTGTCTACGTGCCCGTCCACACCCTCCATCTACCAGACTCTGTATCACATTGTCTACCTGCCCGTCCACACCCTCCATCTACCTAGACTCTGTATTACACTGTTCACCTGCCCGTCCACACCCTCCATCTACCTGACTCTGTATCACATTGTCTACCTGCCCTTCCACACCCTCCATCTACCTGACTCTGTATCACATTGTCTACCTGCCCGTCCACACCCTCCATCTACCTGAAGTTGTATCACATTGTCTACCTGCCCGTCCATACCCTCCATCTACCTGAGGTTGTATCACATTGTCTACCTGTCCTTCCACAACCTCCATCTACCTGACTCTGTAACACATTGTCTTCCTGCCCGTCCACACCCTCCATCTACCTGACTCTGTATCACATTGTCTGCCTGTCCTTCCACACCCTCCATCTACATGACTCTGTATCACATTATCTACCTGCCCTTCGACACCCTCCATCTACCTGACTCTGTATCACATTGTCTACCTGCCCTTCCACACCCTCCATCTAACTGACTCGGTATCACATTGTCTACCTGCCCTTCCACACCCTCCATCTACCTTACTCTGTATAACACTTCATAACAATTATAAACCTATTCATTGGGATCTCCTTTAAGTAAGAGAGTTCTTTCTATAGGCATTAAAACCTATTGTGAGGTTTTACTTTCAAAGTAAAACCTATTAAGAGGCTTTACTTTCAAAGTAAAACCTATTATGAGGTTTTATTTTCGTTCTGGAGGTTTTACTTTGAATGTAAAACCTCAAATCCCAGTTTTAACCAAGTAACTGAAAAAATGACTACAAGTAGCAATTCAAAATTTTAATTCAATTAAAATTGAATGTCATGTGTACAGAGAATGAAGACTGGGTAACAAAATGAAAGTCGTCGTCGCTCATCTTTACACTTCAGAGTCTCTGGTGAAAGGACAGCGAGGTTTCAAAACACGTGCTTTTAAACAAGTGCTTATCAATGCTGCACAATTTGCACGTGAAGTAACTGCTAGCCGTTAGGTCACAACTACCTCTATGTAACAGTTGGAATGTTTAAAGTCGTAAATCTTGTAAAGCAAAAGACACCTTTTAAATTTGCGAATTTTCTATTTGAAAAGTTTAAAAGAAGTGGAATATTGCAACACAAACATTTAGAGACCGAAGATTTCACTTTCATTTAAAAGTAAGTATTTTAGTTGTGTTTTGTTGTTGACACATCCAAGTGCTCTTGACCGCCTGGTAAGTCAGCGAATTTCACGTGCAAGTTATGATATCACGTCTTCAAGGAAGCGCTATAATGAAGCGCCTCATTTATAGATGCTCGTTATAACATTTAATCAATTTAGACGGTTTATAAGTATGGAAAAACACTTTCCCTCGGTTTTGGTAGACAGAGCATGCCCTGGGGGTCGCCCCCGTGGTTTTTCCCTCTTCCCAGGGCATGCTCTGTCTACCAAAACCTCGTGAGCGTGTTTTCTCCAATCCGTAACATTTCCTTTATCGTCGTGTGAAAACCGTCGAGAGAGCGATTAGACTTAGGTATAACGTATCTAGTTCAACACACCTGACAATGACGGGCGAAATTTCACTAGTGCGTTAGCTGTCGTCGGAGTGGGACAACGCTACTCCCTCTGCAATACCTGAGCGTCCAAGCCAGCTAGTAACTCCCCTACTGTTTGTCATGGCTGCCGACGAGTCCCGGCCTCGCTTCACGCTATACTATGTACCCCCATCATACTATTCTCAAAAGGTAAGGTACTGACGTCGTCATGGTAACAGAAATACTACTAAGATAAAGTAATTACAGGTAACTATTTGATATTACTTCAATCAGAACTTGCTCTCCTGACGGTTTAATAAATGTGTTAAAACTACGCCAGGTCACTCTCTGGTGTTGTGTGAGCTGTGACTTGCACAGTTGTAGAGAATTGCATTGACACAATTGTAGGTCGTTATAAAGGAAGGAGTAGGTCGTTGAGCAAACATTGTATACACTGGCGAAGACGTTACCGCCGCAACTCATGTACATGGGGGTTATAGAAAGGCAGGTAGACACTGTGGCGCAAGTAACATGCATAGAGGTTAAAGAAAGGGTAGGTAGACAGTTTGATCAATACAACGTCAGGTGGATGGAGGAAGCTAGAAGGGCAGGTAGACAGTCCGATCAATACAACGTCAGGTGGATTGAGGTAGCTGGAAGGGCAGGTAGACAGTTTGATCAATACAACGTCAGGTGGATTGTGGTAGCTGGAAGGGCAGGTAGACAGTTTGATCAATACAACGCCAGGTGGATGGAGGTAGCTGGAAGGGCAGGTAGACAGTTTGATCAATACAACGTCATGTGTATACAGTGTGATACAGAGTCAGGGAGATAGAGGGTGTGGAAGGACAGGTAGACAATGTGATACAGAGTCAGGTAGATGGAGGGTGTGGAAGGGCAGGTAGACAATGTGATAGAAACCTCAGGTAGATGGAGGGTGTGGAAGGTCAGGTTTCCAGTGTGATACAGTCAGGTAGATGGAGGGTGTGGAAGGGGAGGAATACAGTGTGATACAGTCAGGTAGATGGAGGGTGTGGAAGGCCAGGTAGACAATGTGATACAGTCAGGTAGATGGAGGGTGTGGAAGGGCAGGAATACAGTGTGATACAGAGTCAGGTAGATGGAGGGTGTGGAAGGCCAGGTAGACAATGTGATACAGTCAGGTAGATGGAGGGTGTGGAAGGGCAGGAATACAGTGTGATACAGTCAGGTAGATGGAGGGTGTGGAAGGCCAGGTAGACAATGTGATACAGTCAGGTAGATGGAGGGTGTGGAAGGGCAGGATTACAGTATGATACAGTCAGGTAGATGCAGGGTGTGGAAGGCCAGGTAGACAATGTGATACAGTCAGGTAGATGGAGGGTGTGGAAGGGCAGGAATACAGTGTGATACAGTCAGGTAGATGGAGGGTGTGGAAGGCCAGGTAGACAATGTGATACAGTCAGGTAGATGGAGGGTGTGGAAGGGCAGGAATACAGTGTGATACAGTCAGGTAGATGGAGGGTGTGGAAGGCCAGGTAGACAATGTGATACAGTCAGGTAGATGGAGGGTGTGGAAGGGCAGGAATACAGTGTGATACAGTCAGGTAGATGGAGGGTGTGGAAGGCCAGGTAGACAATGTGATACAGTCAGGTAGATGGAGGGTGTGGAAGGGCAGGAATACAGTGTGATACAGTCAGGTAGATGGAGGGTGTGGAAGGCCAGGTAGACAATGTGATACAGTCAGGTAGATGGAGGGTGTGGAAGGGCAGGATTACAGTATGATACAGTCAGGTAGATGCAGGGTGTGGAAGGCCAGGTAGACAATGTGATACAGTCAGGTAGATGGAGGGTGTGGAAGGGCAGGAATACAGTGTGATACAGTCAGGTAGATGGAGGGTGTGGAAGGACAGGTAGACAATGTGATACAGTCAGGTAGATGGAGGGTGTGGAAGGGCAGGAATACAGTGTGATACAGTCAGGTAGATGGAGGGTGTGGAAGGCCAGGTAGACAATGTGATACAGAGTCAGGTAGATGGAGGGTGTGGAAGGGCAGGAATACAGTGTGATACAGAGTCAGGTAGATGGAGGGTGTGGAAGGGCAGGAATACAGTGTGATACAGTCAGATAGATGGAGGGTGTGGAAGGCCAGGTAGACAATGTGATACAACCTCAGGTAGATGAGGGTGTGGAGGGGCAGATGGTCAGTGTGGTCAGTGGGCGAGGGGATGGTGGTGGGGATGAACTAGCAGGTAGATGTGTTGCGGAAGGGCAGGTAAACAGTGCGATACATTCTGTCTGGGCATGTTAATGAAAGGACAGCTAAACCTGGGCAGTAAAACAAATCCCGGTGGACAATATAATCAACGTATAAGCGGTTCTTAAGAAAATGGAATCAGATGATATTCAGAAAGTATTATGTTGGGTCATATATCAACCAGATAAATGGACATTCACGGTGTGAAGACATATTGCCATGTCAACATACGGACAATCAGCACCTGTTTCCATGATTACCGATGACATTCATACTGGTCACTGGTGTACAATATCCCACATGATAATGATAAATATGTGATGTTGAATATGTTGCCAGGCCAACAGTCAATATAAAACATTAACTCCCACAAAAACACTCAATTCGCGGCTCTGTAATATCTGTAATTACTGTAAATTCTGACAAATCATTATTTTTCCACGTTATATACAGTGACTTTCAAGGCCGTATCTTGACTTCCTTAGTATGATCATGTATACAGCATGTGATATTCGGGGAAATAGAATTGCTGCTGATAGTGAGACTCGGAAAGATATTTTTGTCCTCATAATGAATGTTTTGGTGTCGGTGTTTATATAAATGTTTGGTTGTTCGAAAGGGATTTTACAGATGTATGATTTCTCTTTTTCATTTATCACTCCAAGGGCAAACATCAAACATTAGTCATTCGTTCCGTTTCCACATAACACATTTTTCTCAGTGGATGTTCCTGCGTGGAATAGGATCTTTTAGAACCTATTATGCATGAAAAATTGAACTGATTGACACGGGACTGAGAAAACACTTAAAGCATAATGATGACGTCACACTATTGTTGTTGCAGTCGATTCAGTGCCAGGAATTCACTGGTCGTTCCGAACGCGCATGTTAAGTAAAACTGCAGCAACTTCTGGTCTCTAAAAGAGAACATACATTTCAACGATGACAAAGTTTAAGTCGGAGAAATCACCCGAATCTGTTGATTTCGGAACTAATAAAACACATTATATTTATGTGATGGAGAAATCTCTCGAATATGTTGATGCCTGAAGGTAGTGAAACATTATACTTATGTAATGGAGAAATCACTAGAATATGATCATGCCTGAAGGTAGTGAAACATTATACTTATGTAATACAGAAATCACTAGAATATGATCATGCCTGAAGGTAGTGAAACATTATACTTCTGTTATGGAGAAATCCCTCGAATATGTTGATTTCGGAACTAATAAAACACATTATATTTATGTGATGGAGAAATCCCTCGAATATGTCGATGCCGGAGGGTAGTGAAACATTATACTAATGTAATGGAGAAATCCCTCGAATATGTTGATGCCTGAAGGTAGTGAAACATTATACTTATGTAATGGAGAAATCCCTCGAATATGTTGATTTCGGAACTAATAAAACACATTATATTTATGTGATGGAGAAATCCCTCGAATATGTCGATGCCGGAGGGTAGTGAAACATTATACTAATGTAATGGAGAAATCCCTCGAATATGTCGATGCCGGAGGGTAGTGAAACATTATACTAATGTAATGGAGAAATCCCTCGAATATGTTGATGCCTGAAGGTAGTGAAACATTATACTTATGTAATGGAGAAATCTCTCGAATATGTTGATGCCTGAAGGTAGTGAAACATTATACTTATGTAATGGAGAAATCCCTCGAATATGTCGATGCCGGAGGGTAGTGAAACATTATACTAATGTAATGGAGAAATCCCTCGAATATGTTGATGCCTGAAGGTAGTGAAACATTATACTTATGTAATGGAGAAATCTCTCGAATATGTTGATGCCTGAAGGTAGTGAAACATTATACTAATGTAATGGAGAAATCCCTCGAATATGTTGATACCTGAAGGTAGTGAAACATTATACTTATGTAATGGAGAAATCCCTCGAATATGTCGATGCCGGAGGGTAGTGAAACATTATACTAATGTAATGGAGAAATCCCTCGAATATGTTGATACCTGAAGGTAGTGAAACATTATACTTATGTAATGGGGAAATCTCTCGAATATGTTGATGCCTGAAGGTAGTGAAACATTATACTTATGTAATGGAGAAATCCCTCGAATATGTCGATGCCGGAGGGTAGTGAAACATTATACTTATGTAATGGAGAAATCCCTCGAATATGTCGATGCCGGAGGGTAGTGAAACATTATACTAATGTAATGGAGAAATCCCTCGAATATGTTGATGCCTGAAGGTAGTGAAACATTATATTTATGTAATGGAGAAATCATAAGAATATGTGAATTCCTGGAGTGGAATAAACAGATTCGAGGGATTTCTCTATTACATAAATAGCATTTTTTCTGACAACCAAACCTGACAAAATAATATCTCTGATATGTGTTGACATATATTGCCAGGTCCTGATGGCTCTGTATGAGAAAGGAGAGCTGTTTACAGAGAGGTTGGTGAACTTAGGGAAAGGAGAGGGGACAGCCAAGTGGTATATGGAGATCAACCCCGCGGGACAGGTGCCCGTTCTGGGGGACAGGGGCAAGCTGATACCCGAGTCCGAAGACATTATCGAATACATCGACAGGGAGATTCCACATGGTAGGTGTAACCATGGTTACTCATAAGTGGTCACAGAATTAGAGGATATTTGTCTTTTTTCTATTCTTGTCAAATAACAGTTTTATCTCATCGATTGACATGGCAAAGATCTTTTCAGGAGTGGCGCACTCACGAGTGAATATTGTAGGCATTGTCAGGATATGTGTCAGTTTTGATATTATCATGGGTTTTTTTACCAGAAAAGGCAAATGTTCTTTTTATAATGTATTTTCTTAATGATCTTCACGATCTTTCTGTGAAAACCATCATTGAGTCAGGGTGTGAAAAATACAGTGTATCATCTTTATATACATACTAAAGTAGTGAATTAGCATGCTTGTAGCGGTTAGGATATATCCATCAATATTAATAAATAATGCTTCACGTTTCAGTAAAGTACATCAATTGATAAATCAAATTATTCCTTATGGTTTGTTGTAGTCTAACACATAACTGTTTGTCTTTTTTTTTTTTGCGTGAAGAACAAACACGCAAAACACGATCATTTGTCTCAAATGAACATCCCAGAAACGTGCGGCACACATTTATTGAGAGGTGTGAGTGAGTGAGTTTTGGTTAACGCCGCTTTGAACAGTATTCCAGTTATATCACGGCGTGTCAGCTTCATGTAGGAGCAAAGCCCGACGTGATGCAGCTCTTAGACTTTCACCACTTTGATCAAACCCACGACCACGGGTATGGTGCTGACAAACCTAGAAATATAATCAGGGCGAACCGGGATTCGACCCACGATCATAGGTTTCTGGCATGCCCAAGGGACGCAACTCAGAAAAAAATCAGTTATGTAAAGTATTCTAAGCTTGAACCGTAATCTTCTTATAAATGCCACTTCAATATCCTCAAACAATTATATTACCGCCTCTTAATAGTACACATCAATGCCGAATGTATGTGAAAACATCGACGGAGAACAAGAAAGACATATTTTTGAAACTGTTTTATATCATGGTGATGTTTTCTTCTTCAGAACCCATCCTAGTGCCATCGCCAGACACAGATCTTGGAAAGAATGTGGAAAAATTCCGAAAATTGATAAAGCAGACCCCCGTGGAGATCCTTACTCACGGACTGTGGTACAATCCTGAGATGTCCCCGGGGGGCATGGCATCCCCCAGAGATAAGGCAGGTGAGGTAACTCATTCCGTCGTCAAGGATACTTTATTAACCAACATATACAAACAAACCGTGTCTACAGCGTACGACAACTTTAGTGCATCGGGATCATTATATGTGAATAATCTACGGGCCTCGAGAAGTTAATTTTCGAAAAAAGTGCCGGGAGCCTCGAGAAGATAATTTTCGAGTAAAAGTGCCGGGCTTGTTTGATGGAGGCTGGAAATGAAACAAACAAGATATAGCGGAGACCATAAAATAGATATTATATGGTCTCTGGATATAGTTCTTCAGTGTTGGTATACATTGTATTTCATACCGGTATCATAGTTATATTTTGGAACCTAAGTTTGCAGTGTTTTCAGCCTGGTAATCTTTGTAATTTTGGGGTCAAATCCAGTTTTCAAGTATATTCTTTCTTTTGCAGTTTACAATAACGGTCACCTAAAACATCTATAATTATGAACTCTTAACCTTAAACTACTATATTTATAAACTGTTATGTGGTAAAACTACTATAATTATGAATTGTCCATGGCATTTCCTCTAAAGGCTAAAAAAACCCGTGTAATATCTTATGCTATTTACATATGTGCATTTCACCAAATTCCTAAAGGTTATTTACTGGTTGAAGCATTATGACGTCATACCGTTGCATTCTTCTGCACGTTGTATAATGTGCTCGTGTCATCACTGCTAAATGTTGTAAATAAATCATGCTATAAAGAGGTGAAATGGGAAGTGGGTTTGTAATCCACTCAAAGATAATGTATGTGGCTTTAAACTATTTTATAAAGGGGATGTATGACACATGGTTGTGAAATAGGGCTTCACGTCGAGTTCAAGGTTATTTTACTTTTATTGCGCCGTGCATGCACGTGTTGCTGTAGCTGCTTGTACTAGTCCGGACACATGCCAGTTGTATTATGTAATGTCAGCCCACTGAAATACCATGAGCAGTTTTAACATGGCTACCCCACTCAGACACAGTATACTGACTCCCAATCTCACTAAAATCAGATCTTAGGTCTCGCTTCCCCTAAACAAAGATCTGAGGACATCCCATTACGGGTCACGTCAGACTGACCTTGCGCGAACTTTGACCGACCGATAGAAGGACTTAAGTCGACATTAGCCAATCAGAAGGCAGCTTTCTCGTGCTTTACGGCACTAATTTCAAATTGGCGACTACGCTTCGAAACATATATTGACAAATTCTCGATTACAAATTTGAAACCTGAACAAAAGAACATTCTGGGATGGATAATAGATGGTCTACATTGTATGGATTCAGTCGTTAAACCCGTAACTATCGTTCGGAATATCTCGTGTTAAAGTTTTCGAGGTTGCATTATCAGAATTCACACTCCAAATGTCATTTCATGATCTGGTAAGCGACGCTCTGGTTGGTCAGATGAAAGGTCGTTCTGACGTGACCCCTAATGGGATGTCCTCAGATCTTTGTTTAGCGGTAGCGAGAACTAAGATCTGATTTTAATGAGATTGACTGACTCCGAGTCGGCAGAGCGCCAGGCAGGGAAACAACAATTACCATCTTCAAACGTATTTTGGTATGACGCAGCCGGGGATTCGAACCACCGATCTTCCGCTCCTCCGGGCAGACGCTCTATCTACTAGACCATGGAGGCAGTCCCATGACTGTGAAAAGTAGGTAATGATGCAGACAGGAGACATAACGTCATTACATTTTCGATGTCATGAGCGCTTAGTCTTCCCAGGATCATTGTGGTCGAATCCCAGATCATCTTCCACAATGTTAACATAATGTTAGGTCGTGGGTTCATCAAATCTGGTAAACGGTCTGCGGCACATTGGTCTTTCATTCCACAAGAGTGGGTGAGTATGGTTTTACGCCGCTTTTTAGCAATATTACAGCAACATCACTGCGGAGGACACCAGAAATGGGCTTCACACATTGTACCCATGTCGGGAATCGAACCATGGTCTTCGGCGTGACGAGTGAACGCTTTGACCACTAGGCTACCCGACCGCACCTCATTCCACAAGAAGCTGACGTGCTGTTGTATTCACAATCCGTTACAATTTGCTGGGATTTTATCCAAAATAGATGTTGTCCCAGAAAGTGCTTGAAAAAAATATGCTTCTGCCTGTTGAAAACAAATATATTGTCTGCCACGAAAAATTATGGAAGCCTTTTAGGGCCATTTGTTTTTTATATATTTTTCTATACTACTTTGAAATTTCAACTTCTATATCTTGAAATTTCAACTTAGTATCTTGAAATTTCAACTTAGTATCTTGAAATTTCAAGAGAGTATCGAAAAAAAAATGGCCCTAAAAGGCTTCCGTAAAAATACATTGGAGCAAGATGTTTTTTGCAAACAAGTATTCAGGCTCAAAAGAAAATGTCAAGTGTATGTTAAAACATAAATCATATTGCAAATGTTATCATGGAATTAGAAAATAACCCATAAGATATGGGAATAACGGAGTCCCGAGAGAATCAGTTTTGTAGCATTTCTTCAGCATTCACAAGGGGCAGGGAGGTTTACGAGTACGTTCTTCTGTGTGGGACGCGTTGTCTTTTTTTCTGTGAAAATGAACAAATATTTGAGTTTCCACATCACAAGTGGAAACATCTACTCAATCTATTTTGGGGGCGGCCATGAACATTTGATGACGTCATCTTCGGCAGCTTCGCAAACAATGAAAACAGAGGAACAATTAGGGCTAACTACCCAATCAGCATAATTCACAACTTATAAAGCTCAGTGAGAATAACTAATAATAATTTAACCTATGTTTTGTGCCTCTATTGAGAATCTGTCCCGAGTGATTTCATTCGGAAATGAAAAGTTAAAATCGGAAAGTTAAAATCCTTCGGGACAGATCATCGGTAGTCCCCGTAGCTTATTCTCCAAATTGTACATTTTAATGTCCAGGATGGGACGAGTATTTCATACAACAAGAGGCTAAACTGACTCGAATGGCGGAAGAACAGGGCCATTTAAAAGAAGCCTACCTAAAAAAAGCAGCTGACGTCAAGGCCAGGTCAGAGCTCGTGAGAGACACCTCACGAATCCAGGCCGCCATTGAAACCATACATCCGGTGTTAGACGAAGTTGAAGAACAGCTGACCAGGGCGAAGCAGGGTGAGACGGTGGAGAGTATTTGCCAATCTTACTTTGACAATGTATGTGTGCACAACAATTTGATTAGACCCGTGAAGGTTCGGGGTAGAATAGGTCTTCAGCCACCCATGCATGCCGTAAAAGACGAATGCTTGCCGTAAGAGGGGACTAACGGGATCGGGTGGTCAGGCTCGCATGGATCGATGCTCATGATGTCAATCACTGAACGTCTGGTCCAGACTCGATTATTTACCGACCGCCGTCATATAGCTGGATTATTGCTGAGTGCGGCGTTAAACAACAAACAAACAAGCAAACAAAACAATTTGATTAATTTATCTTCTCGTAAGAAACGTATAACTCCAGTTTCATAGCGGTGTATGAATCTACATCGGAACGTCGCTATATGCAAAAAAACAGAAGTTGTTGTCAATAAAGTTATACGTTTTCTTACTTACCTACCAACTTCTAGAATGCCAATCAAACAGTTAATTGTTCTTCTGGTCGTAGTGAGATTGCAAAGGACGGTTGTCTTTCTTTTACGATTCATTTCGAACGCCGATAAAAAAAATCAGATGTGATTTAAGTGTGCTAATGCAGGTTTAAGTTATACAACGTGGATATATAAAATATTTGATACAATTATTTTCATTGAATTAGTATGCATGAGTATGCTTTTTGGAAAGCGGTGTGTGTGTGTGTGTGGGGGGGGGGGGGGGGGGGGGGGGGTCAGTCGCTGAATGTGTCGGAATTCGTTTTGCAGAGTAGCGTCCCTTAGGCGTGCCAGAATCCTATGATTGCAGATTCACCCTGATTATGATTTCTTGGTTTGTCTGCCCCCATATAACTGGACCACTGTTCAATGGGGCGTTAACGCGTTAACCGCAACTCACCCAACATTGATTTGACAAAGCAGGTACAGCACCTATACAGGCATTTCCAAAATGGCATTAATGACAACATAAAGAAAAAAGGCTGGGAATGGTTCCCAGTCCCCCTTTAAAAATATACTGTATTCTGACACTAAGCACCTGCGCAGGTGCGGAAGGTGAAACCTGGCTGTTAGGGCGTGGCTTCACGGCAGCTGACATCAACCTGGCGGTTCTGCTGAAGAGACTGACGAAGCTGGGTCTCTTCTCCATCTATTGCTCCCAAAACAAGCGGCAGTCGCTGTGGCACTACTGGGAGAGGGTACAGAAGAGGCTGCCCTTCCTTAAGATCACAGAACTCGAGAACAACTATTCCAAGAGCTTGCAGAAATGACGAACAGTAATACACAACAGGGTCCTCGGTCAAGTATGTGTTGGAAAGATACATCCTCAAGGATGTTAATCAATGGCCGAACATATTTAGACATTGGGAATGTACATTTTGTTTTTGTTGTTGTTGATTCGACTCGAGGAACACTTATTTTGGTACAGTTGACAAGACGTTGATCAACATAACTGTAAATTACAACACGACTCCCGTGAAACCAGTTGGTTGGGGCCGTACGCTACAGTGAAATAATGAAGGGAACTGTATGTATATCTGTTGTTGTAACGTTACGTTAACGATATATTAATATTTCAAACAGTATAATATCATATGACAGTAACATTTCGCTATTATATCGGGTTGGCAAAGAAATTACATATCAAAACTGATACAAAGCATATTAAGTGATAAATACAACCATATACAATGTATGTATGTCTAGTATATTTTACTTCCTGAAAGGGATTATTCAATTCGGTTTTGTAGCAGACTTATCATTCTTATTTAATCTACTAATAATAAATATTTTTGTTGGAACTCTTAAGTCATTCCCCTTCATGAAAGAATGAGAACGATGTAAAATTATGACCTTGTTATCGTGCTCTATAAGTGAGTCTGTATTTTATCAGTTGAAGCACCGTAGACTACAATAAAGTTGCCAGTAATTTATGTTGTGTTTTATCTTGAAGCAGAAATACAGCCGGGAAATATTTCATGGCGCCGGATAACATTACGTGATGAGTTTTAACACATATGACGTGCTCGAGAATCAAAAACACCCTGCAGTGGTAATGTTTAATACACTTGTAGCTTGTTGATTGGTGAGGTGAAATGGTGTGCTTGCGTGCATGTGTGTGTGTATGTGTGGTGTGTGTGTGTGTGTGTGTGTGTGTGTTGTGTTGTGTTGTGTTGTGTTGTGTTGTGTGTGTGTGTGTGTGTGTGTGTGTGTGTGTGTGTGTGTGTGTGTGTGTGTGTGTGTGTGTGTGTGTGTGTGTGTTGTGTTGTGTTGTGCTGTGTATGTGTGAGCTTGTGTGTGGGAGGTAGGTTGTGTGTTTGTGTATTGTATGTGTGAGTGTTTGTGTAGTGTGTGAGTGGTGTGTAGTTTGTGTGGTGTAGTGTATGTGTGTGTCTATATGTTGTGTGTTGTGTTGTGTATGTGTGAGCTTGTGTGTGGGAGGTAGGTTGTGTGTTTGTGTATTGTATGTGTGAGCGTTTGTGTAGTGTGTTTGTGAGGTGTGCGTGCGGGTAACGCCATGCAGGCTGCAATCTTATAAGGAGAGACCCCCACAATTCATTTGTTCCGTAAAATCTGAGGCCAGGGGATTTTTCCAGTATTTTTCCAATGGTCGTTACCACATCAACCTCACCTTCACAATAGAGTTAAATACAGTTGTCAGATTAGAATGGGTTTCCGCGTACGCAACGTCGCTTCTCCAGTACAGTAAACTACGGTTACAACGAACACGCTTATAACGAACTAACGGATATAACGAACTAACTTTATAGTCCCGACTATTTGCTGTAGCTATACTGTATATATGCTTATAACGAGTTACGGTTATAACGAACTAAAATTAGTAGTCCGTTTGAGTTCGTTATAACCGTAGTTTACTGTAGTTCATAATGTGCTGTAACAGGTGAGGTGATTGGGTGAGTCGCTATGATTATATATCAGTAAACAATTCATCAGCAGAATTTGAAACGTACAGCTCGATGACGGGTTGTTAGTAAAGGAGATTTATTATGACACTTAACCTTAAACCTGAGACTCAAGTCGAACACAATACACTGAGCTTCACTGCAGCATTCTGAGCCGGTGTATCTAGGTCAATGTTGCCTTGACTTTGGAATGATAACAATTGGCTAGTTTCGTCAGGCGAGGGTCACCTTCTGGCTACATACATGTATCTACGGGTATGATATCCGTGTTGAGACGCGTCACAAGCAGTTCATCCTTGTTTGTGACTCGGCGTTATATTTATACTTCTTTTGTGACCGGATTTTCCAAGATGGCGGCCCCAAGCCCGCGCTACACACTTTACATGTCGGGGACATCATACTACGCCCAGAAGGTGAGTCCCACACACAGGTGTGTTCGTCTGAAAGGCGTCAAGTACTGAGTATTTTTAGTCTTCAAAGTTTACTGGCCAGGAGGGCTTGCAATTGTTAACAAAAACTGCTGCACCCCGACTCCCTCGTCATGATATACAGGCCCTACTTTATGGCTACAACCTACATAGTTTGTGGGGCGACTAAAGGGATCTGGTGGTCAGGCTCGCTGACTTGGTTGATGCATGTCATCGTATCTCAATTGCGTAGTTCGATGCTCATGATGTCAATCACTGGATGTCTGGTCCAGACTCGTTTATTTACATACCGCCGTCATATAGCTGGAATATTGCTGAGTGCGGCGTTAAACAAACAAACAAACATAGTTTGTGTTAACCTTAATGCATTTTGTGTCTTTTGAGACCATCGTGGTAAACAACGACGAAGCTGATTGGCTGCTTGGTACAATACGTTTGTCTGACGTTTGTGGTGGTTCTTAGACTTTCACACGCATTGGTAGTGACGCATAAACATGTATATAAGTCAATCAGCGTACAGGAAAAAACTGCTTACTGCCAGGTTTCAAATAAATTATGAAATAAAAACAAAATGGCAACTGTCTTCGACATTAAATGACACCTGAAAGTGACTTGATGATTCGTAGAACAATGTTTTGACTAGAATTTTCAGATGGACATTCGGGCCAGCATGAAAAGCAGGCAGCTATTTAACACTTGTCCAATACACTTCGTGTGTGACTGGGTGGCTGTCTCCGACAGCATCACGACAACTGTTTTGTTGTGTGATTGGTGTAGCACAAGGCTTGATAGTCGTGCGGTGACACGCTCACTCAGAGAGCTAGGCGATGGTAGTATTTCATACAGTCATTAACACCTGGTATTTTACTATCCGTTGGGTTGAGGTTCGGGGAGGGGGTATCTTTGAAAAGCCCACAAGACCGTGCATTGGTAAGCGCGGCGTAGAACCAGTCAAATATCTTCAGGTCAATAAAACATGGATTCCAAGTCACAACAAAGGTGGGGGCACGTGTTGACAAAGTCGATTGAAAGGGAGCGACCATTGCAAACCCATTTTTTTAAAACATTTTTTCATGTAAAACTATGAGGCTGAATTATTAAAAGAAAAACACCTTGCAACAATGTAATTTTATTGGCAAGCAATTTCTTTCTTTTTTTGAAGTTCTGAAGCATAATAATTTTATTCGAAATTATCTGGGACAATATATGTTTTCCCATAAAATCCAGCAAACATCTCCCCAAGAATATCAAAGGGCGTCACTTGCCAGGGTTCGAATCGCAGAGCGTAAATACCGAGCGTCAGATGAACCCTGTGCGAACTTAAAAGATTCGTAGCGGGGGTCCCTGAGCCAATCAGATATCAGCTGTCTAATCGTGATCTCGGTTTCATTTCTTTATCACGTATATACGAAAATAGATGAGCCACCCGGAATATAAATTTACAACTTGCGGTCAAACGTGTTTTCTTAAAAGAAATCAGGTGAGCGAAAATACCGAGTTTTCTTACACAAGTGAAATCAAATACGACGCAAATTCTGATAAGACACAGTGTCATACCATGTATCTGCATCTCTTGCATCAGGTTATGATGGCACTGTTCGAGAAAAATGAACCATTTGTGGAAAAGTTAGTGAACCAACGTATAGACGACAACTACGAAAGCTGGTACATGAAGCTAAACCCGCTGGGGAAGGTTCCAATTATGGAGGACAGAGGGAAGATCATCCCCGAATCTGACGACATCATCGACTACCTTGACAAGGAATTGCCTCAAGGTTGGTAAATTAACATCTAACACTGTAGTTTGTCCCTGTATCAGGACGTCATTTAACGTCATCCAATGCTATAGTTTTTCCCTGGATTAAGGACGTCATTTAACGTCATCTAACGCTGTAGTTTTTCCCTGGATCAAGGACGTCCTTTAACATCATCTAAGGCTACAGTTTGTCCCTGGATCAAGGACGTCCTTTAACATCATCCAAGGCTATAGTTTTTCCCTGGATCAAGGACGTCCTTTAACGTCATCTAACGCTACAGTTTTTTCCGTGAATCAAGGACGCAATTTAACGTCATCTAACGCTATAGCTTTTCCCTGAATCAAGGACGTCCTTTAACGTCATCTAACGCTATAGCTTTTCCGTGAATCAAGGACGTCTTTTAAAATCATCTAACGCTATAGTTTGTCCCTGGATCTAGGACGTCCTTTAACGTCATCTAACGCTATAGTTTTTCCCTGAATCAAGGACGTCCTTTAACGTCATCTAACGCTACAGTTTTTTCCGTGAATCAAGGACGCCATTTAACGTCATCTAACGCTATAGCTTTTCCCTGAATCAAGGACGTCATTTAACGTCATCTAACGCTATAGCTTTTCCGTGAATCAAGGACGTCTTTTAACATCATCTAACGCTATAGTTTGTCCCTGGATCTAGGACGTCCTTTAACGTCATCTAACGCTGTAGTTTTTCCCTGAATCAAGGACGTCCTTTAACGTCATCTAACGCTATAGTTTGTCCCTGGATCTAGGACGTCCTTTAACGTCATCTATCGCTATGATATGTGGTTGGATCAAGGACGTCCTTAAACAATTAAGTCAGCAGCTCGACTAACCGATTCCGTCAGTCGCCTCTTACCACAAACATTTGTCACTAAAGACCAAGGCTAACCAAGGGGCGTACTTCACTCTATCTGTTTGACGTTACTAGAAATGACACCCCTGTTCCTACTAAACCAAGGCCGAAATATGTGTCAAACACTCAATGTTGTGAAAGACGTATTGCTGAGTAGTATCTGGATCGATTCCTGATGCGACTCCAATGTTTGAAACCAGCTTGTTATGACCGCCGCGTCGTTAAGCCGACGTAACTATTCCTCCCTCTTCCCTGTCTAGCACCGCGCCTTGTACCTGATCCGTCGTCAGACCTCGGCCGTGAGGTGGCGCACTTCAGGAAGCTGCTGGACGTCAGCGTGGGCATCATCGTCCACGGCCTCGCCTACAACCCCAACCTCTCCCCTGACTACACCGCCGTGAAGACACGGGGAGGTGAGCCCACCTCATAACGTCAAGGTCAACGATACTAGATATGTTTTAGGGATTCCTTGAATACCAAACCAAGACACAATGAAGTGTTTTTGAGTTTTGGGCCGTTTCAGCCTAATATGCAGTTGATTCCCTTTGCTATAAAACTTTTTTATACTAAGGGATGGTTCTGTTTACTATATCGTATTAGGGGCGGTCGGGTAGCCCAGTGGGTAAAGCGTTCGCTCGTCACGCCGAAGACCCGGGTTCCATTCCCGACATGGGTTCAATGTGTGAAGCCCATTTCTGGTGTCCCCCGCCGTGATATTGCTGATTTTGAGTTTGGGGCCGTTTTAGCCTAACATGCAGTTGATTCCCTTTGCTATCAAACCTTTTTATTCTAAGGGATGGTTCTGTTTACTATATCGTATTTGTAGGTTGGATGTTATTATATTTGTTGTTCCCACTTGTTCGGTACTGTTGAACAACACTGTTTGGTTGGAATAATGCAGGGGATCCTTGTACATGAGATCACACTCCTGACTCATTGGTTGGTTTTGGACGGTATTATTTCATGGTATCAAAGCAGTTCTAAATGCACATAATAAACATCACTTTTTTTTCCAAATAATTTGATAAAAACAATTTTGTTTGAATTATTTATATTTTAAACTTTTACCATAGGTCGAAGTTGACAGTTCAGATTGCGTAAATTGCCATTACTGGTGTTCGCTTTCCGGTTATTTGAAACAAACATTAACACTACTGATTCACATGCTGTACAACACCCCCCAAATATCACAAACATGGCCACATGTGACAGTGTTGTGTGCGTATTACCAGGGTCCTCTAAGTTCGATCCTCTACCAATCTTATACAGTTAACTACGTTTATAACGAACACTCTTAAAACGAACAGACGGATATAACGAACTGGTTTTTTTTGTCCTGGACATTTGCTCTATAGATTCTGTATATATGCTTACAACGAACTACGGTTATAACGAACTAAAACTTGCGGTCCCTTTGAGTTCGTTATAACCGTAGTTTACTGTACAAGGGAATAGAACGAGCCGATTGGTGCTGTGGTGTATTTCAGTTCACGAGTCATACTCAGATGCGGTACATTTTATTATATTTTTTACTGTTTGTGTTCAAATTTATTTACATAATGCATACATACACAATGAACAGCGGGGAGACAGGTCATGTATGCATGATCGCGAAGTATGAACGTTTCATGGTGAATCTCTTTATCAAATGTCTCATCCTCTCACAGTCGTTTACTGTTCGATTTGCAGTGATTCGGTCTTGGCATTATTAATAGTCAGAAACCTATGATTGTGGGTTCGAATCCCGGTTCGACCCGATTATGTTTCTAGGTTTGTCAGCACCATACCCGTGCTCGTGGGTTTCACCGAAGTGGTAAACGTCTGAGACCTGCATCACTTCGGGCTTTCCTTCCACATTAAGCTGACACGCCGTGATATAACTAGAATACTGTTAAAAGCGGCGTAAAACCCAACTCACCCACTCACTCACTCACTCCCACAGTCGTTTACTGTTGGATTTGCAGTGATTCAGTCTTGGCATTATTAATAGTCGCACCACGTTGCTAGTTGTTTACCTTTAACCTTGACGTTTATTCCTTCGACCCCAGAGCTGGATGAGATGTTTGCTGGTAAAATCGCAAAGCTTGAGAAACTCGCCACTGAACACCCCGACCTGAGAGACGCCTACCTCGCTAAGATACCGCCATTACAGAAGAGGAAGGAAATGTGCAGTAACCCGGAAGTTGTTCAAAGGTCACTTGATGACCTTCAGACGACCTTGGATGAAGTCGAGGCCAAATTGGTGAAAGGTAGAATAACATCTTAGGAAGCGTTCTGTTGTAATATGCGTAAAAGAAAAAAGTCCACCTTGAGTAATCCATCTTATCTAAAGTTGTCAAAATCATTCTAGATTTAAGTTGGGTTAATTTCTTAATTTATTCTCTGAGTCTGGGAGACAGACTAGAAGGCCCTATACTTGAGACACAACCTTGTTCGGATATGGTGTTCAATTTTCCAGGGTTTTTTCGTTTAGAGTTATCTGCCCCTGATGACACGTGACTGCGGGCATGACCCCACTAAAACAGAGCTGTCAGATTGCCGAGCCCAGATCGCTTGTGACAATGATAACTCTAGATCTTCAACATTCGTCCCGAAATATGCCATTTCATATAATAAACGTGTATATGTATGTAGCGGCCATAAAATTTCCGAGTCCCGTGATGGGATTCGAACCACGGACCTTCTGAGCAGAGGTCGGACGCCTTGTCCACATGACCAAAGAGGTTAACCCCGTCAGCAATCTGACAAGGTAAGAATGTCATCTGTGGGATGACTCCACGCCCTGCTACATGTATCGTCACGTATCTACTAACAGGTGAGGTGAGGTGAAATGGGGTTTAACGTCGCGTCCATGATTATTGCACTTATATAGCGACGTGCATATACGTGTGTGTGTGTGTGTGTGTGTGTGTGTGTGTGTGTGTGTGTGTGTGTGTCTGCTTGTACTAGTCCAGACTGATGTCGATTTATAGTGCTAGCACACTGAGATACCAAGCCGCAGTTAAACATCAATACCCGGTATCAGACACAGTATACTGACTCCGAGCCGACCAGTCCTTGTTTTAGCCCCTTAATCCCGAGCGCCAGACAGGGTAACAACAAGTACCATCTTTTAACGTCTTTTGGTATGGCGTGGTTGGGGATCGAACCCCGGACCTTCCGCTCCCCGTATCTACTAACAGTTTCCCTGCCCATCTGCATGTAAAGTATCATCTGTTCTCTGAGGCTGGTACCCAGCCCCACCGCACCCTCGCACCACCCCCATCGCACCCTCGCCCCACCCCCACCAACACCCCACCCCCATGGCAGTGGCGCCGTATATCCACTGACCAGTGCACACTCACATTCCTATGTGAGATGACTAGGAAGTGACCATTCATGGACCCACCGGCAAATTCCGTATCTGGGGGACGCGCCAAGGCCGACGCCGAACTCTCAGTTCTGTCTAAAGAGGCGCGCTGGACTAACGTCTTGCCTCTGAAATGAACATATCTTACAGACAAAACAGTTGTTAAATTATCTTAATAAAAATATAATAAAAAGGAGCCCTGAGACCCTCTTCATTTTCCTGATACTGCAGTAATCTAGACTTGCCAAACATTATAGACTTGCATGGGCTGTATTGGATATATTTGTATAATTTGTATAAGGGTCTGTATGACAGACTAGGGACTTATATACCCCTTTTATTTCGGCCACTGTAACATAAAGTTACGATATTATTAGCCCTGCTTCACTCACCAACTCACTCGCGAATAGTTTCTTATACAGATCATAAAACATAAGCATCCGAAAACACCCAAGCAAGTCTACAAAACTTGGGAAAGTCTACCTTCATCAGTTTCTCTGTGTTCCTTTCCAGTACAAAACAAATTTTAAGTATTTCGATTTCATATACTAACATTTCGTCGTGTACGTGAACGAAAGTCTTTGTTCAATGTCCCTCCCTTCGTGTGCAGGTTCCCCCGGTGAGACGTGGTTGCTGTGCAGCGACTTGACCGTGGCGGATATTTCCCTGGCAGTGCTGCTCCGACGTCTGGCACTGAGTGGTCTGGCCTCCGTCTATTTCTCCCCCACCCTGAGGCCGGCACTACACAAGTACTGGCTCCGCCTACAGACTCTCCCAGCATACAGTCGGCTGGGGGACATCGCTGTCAAGTACGGCGTCCAGGCGTAGTTACATCATTACATGTACTACCGACACATCAGACACCATGGGTGTGGACACGTGTATCAGGACATTGACCAGACTAAGATCTCATTACGTAGTCAGGAAGATACAGTCCCAGTAACCTTATCCGGATTTACAAATCATTGTTACGAAGTAATGTTCTTTTGTGTACGTGTCTGTGTGTGCGTACATAAGCGTGCTTTAGTTCGCATCAAGTCGGGTCTAACGGGATTAACGCCAAGTGTATAGCGCGTTATTATATACGAGATAAGATAGCTCACTGCCTTCTCTGGACACCCACTTACGGCTACCATCGGATTGGGCGGAATCACTTCCTCTTAAGTGCGAGGCAAAAAAAAGTACACACGAAGTCTTGAAAATTGGATTTGAACAAACAATTACAAACGTTTATTAAAACTTTACTGGGCTGAAAACAGCCGACGAAACACTGCAGCATGCAATCTTGAGGTGCACATCACAACGGGTTATTTGGTCTGCAGCCAGATATTGACAGTGACATTTCACAATTATCGGGGTAGTAAAAAAGTACATATCAAGACTGACACATATTGTATGAGGTGATAAAACTACAAATGTATATTGACTCTGTTTTATGTTCTGAAAGGGGATTGTAAAATTCGGTTTATTGGCGGTTTGTAGCAGACGTATTGTTTTTACTTAACCTACTAACATTAAATGGTTTAGTTGGAACTCTGAAGTCCTTCCCCTTCATGATAAAATGAGAACAAATTTAAGATTGTGACCCTGCGAATATCGTGCTCCATAAGTGTATGGTGAGAAAGTATATCGTATGCCGTGGACAGTTTCCAGATATGAGGATTGACATCTTGAAGTGAGTCTGTATTTTATCAGTTGAAGCATCGTAGACTACAATAAAGTTGCCAGTAATTTATGTTGTGTTTTATCTTGAAGCAGAAATACAGCCGGGATATATTCCATGGCGCAGGATAACAGCTCGAGACGAGCTCGAGAATCAGAAACACCCTGCAGTGGTAATGTTTAACAAACTTAGCTTCTTGGTTGGTGAGTGTGCGAGCGTGCGTGCGTGCGTGCGTGCGTGCGAGTAACGCCAGTCGGGGTAACAACAAATACCATCTTTATAACGAGGGCCCCACAATTATATTTTGTTTCCAAACCATGTGAGGCAAAATGATTATTTCCAGTATTTTCAAATGGTCGTTCCAACGGCAACCTCACCTGCACAATAGAGTTAAATGCAATTGCTACTAGATTAGAATGAGCTTTCCAAGTACGCTTCTTAGTCGATGATGTGCAGGTTGGGTATATTGAGTGAGTGAGTGGCTATGGTTATACACCGAATATACACTTGATATACATCGGTTATACACTTGATATACACTGGTTATACACTTGATATACACTGGTTATACACTTGATATACACTGGTTATACACTTGATAGACACTGGTTATACACTTGATATACACCGGTTATACACTTGATATACACCAGTTATACACTTAGTATACACTGGTTATACACTTGATATACACTGGTTATACACTTGATATACACCGGTTATACACTTGATATACACCGGTTATACACTTGATAGACACCGGTTATACACGTGATATACACCGGTTATACACTTGATATACACCGGTTATACACTTGATATACACCGGTTAAACACTTGATATACACCAGTTATACACTTGATATACACCGGTTATACACTTGATATACATCGGTTATACACTTGATATACACCGGTTATACACTTGATATACACCACTTTTAACACTGTATGAACACAGTCTTAAAAATTACAGCTCCATGATGTATTGTTAGTGTCAACGTGTATGTTGACGGGAAAATTAGCTCAGATTGAAGACGAAGAATACGTTGAGTCCAAACTTCTTTAGTCGGCAATAAAACAAACAAATACAATTACTAATAGAAATATGCCGAGCGGAGATTCCATCTCAACAAGTACAAGTGAAGTCCAGCAAGCAGGCGTATCCTACTCGCGGCTGTACATACAGGTGCTGTCGGAATACCAGACTAGCTAACAGTTGTTGTTGTTGTTGTTGTTGTTGTTGTTGCATTAAGTGTTTAAGAGATCGCCTTCTGCCAAGGCAATTTCTGCTGACCTGTCCCTCTTTGGGACTCCTGTGTGTGAGTAGGGTACACATATCTATTGTGAGTTTGGTGTTCACATAATTTCTGTTTTTGTTTTGATATGATTTCTATTTTCTTATATTGATATGATTTCATTTCAATTCTTGGCTGCTCTGTTTATATACGTTCGAGTACCTGTCCATCTCTCAGAAATAGAGTTAGTTTAGCCTTCGCTATTGCATCTCTTGGCTTTAGGAGATCTATGACAGATAGCGGATCCAACTGCAATTCTTGTTTTAACCTAGTCCGGGCTGGGGCATGGTCTTGACATTCTAGTAACACGTGATCAATGGTTTCAGCCTGATTGCAAGATGAACAAACCTTGTCATAGTGCTTTTTGTGACCAAGTCAGAGGCGTGAGATAGCAATTTCAATTTTCCTTTCATTTGAGTATGAGTTTGGCTTTTGTTGGACCTTGGGTATAGCCATCTGCCGATCTTACTTGCGTCCCATTGGGCTTGCCATCTTTCTGCTATGGAGGCTTTGATTTTGATTTTTATCTCTAGTTTACTAAAGGGAATGGGCTGTATATCCGCTTTGTCTAGAGCTAGCTTCGCCAGTGAGTCTGCTTTTTCATTTCCATGAATATCTATGTGAGAGGGGATCCAACACAGCTCCACCTGTTGCCCTTGGTCCGATAGTTTTGTATATATCGTATAGAATATTGTTGACTGTGTTTGGCCTGGAGTTTGAGTTTCTGCCACTGATGGCCTGAAGTGCACTTAGCGAGTCTGATAGGACGACTGCCTTTGCTTCCGGAAGTTCCGGAATGAGTTTGAGTGCATGATGAATTACCTCCAATTCAGCCGTGATTACTGACTGACCATCGGGCAAGCGAACTGAATGTGCTTGGGGTTTGGAGCTGTGGATATGGATCCCGTAACCAGCACTGTTGTTGATAGGATTCTTGGATCCATCAGTGTATATATGGGCCCAACTGTCCCAGGTAGTTTGAATTTTAGTGAAAGCTACTGATCGTAGTAGGGTTGGGTTTTCTTTTTAAGTGACTTCTGATGTTAAAGCAGTGTCAACTTTGGGAGTTTTTAAAGTCCAGGGAGGGTGTAACCCTTTGTAGTGACTTTCTGGAGGCTGAATGTCATCACAATTGTGACTTCGAATGAGTTCACGTACTTATATCCCAGATGGCTTTAGTGAGGGATTTTTTCGAGCTAGGGCTTCATCTCGAGCTAACAGTAAAGATATAAGCATATATATACACTATTGGACAACAATAGACAGACAAAGAGACAATGGCGTTGCCCTGGACATTAATTGGACTTATGGATGTGATTACTGACACGGCCAAGAGAAAAATGGAGTAAGACTATAAATGTCATAATGTGAAATGCCGTGTTAGACAATGGTTCAACTGACCGCTGTTACGCATGGATTACATCATGTTAAATAGTCCAGATTTCCTAAACGTTATGTACTCAACACTGTACAAAAGGAAAGTTGTTCAGAAGTTACAATTCTTTAACATTGCGTTGTCCAGAGTGCTGTTAAATCACTCTGTGACATTAGTAATGGAGATTTATCATGACAATTAAAACCTTAATCTTATTCCGCACACGTAAGACACTCAAAGTCGCATAATATCCTTGGTGACTGAACTTTACTGCAACATTCTGAGCCGGCGGTTCCAGGTCATGTTGCCTTGACCTTGGAATGATAACAATTGGCTAGTTTCATCAGGCGAGGGGCCACCTTCTGGCTACATACATGTATCTACGGGTATGATATCAGTGTTGAGACGCGTGACAAGCAGTTCGTCCTTGCTTGTGACACGACGTTATATACCGTATTCGACGTAATAAGCGGCCCGTTCTAATAAGCGCCCACGGCGATATTTGCTGATATATTGGCTAGTGAACAAGCCCAATTTGCATCCCTTCCGATTGATCAATGTACACAAGACTTATTTATTCGGTATAATACGCACACGTGTGTTATATGCACCCTTATTTATGGGCAATTAAAATCTGGAAAAATATATCTGTCGTACATAAACATTTCAGGCTGTCAGCATAAACAACGAAATTTATCTTTCAACTATGTTTTTTTCACCAAAATAATATTCTAATAAGAGCCCCCTATTTCTAATATTGAGAGCGCCCCGGGCACTTATTACGTCGAATACGGTACTTCTATTAAGACCGGATTTTCCAAGATGGCGGCCCCAAGCCCTCGCTACACACTTTACATGTCGGGGACATCATACTACGCCCAGAAGGTGAGTTCTGAAAGGCGTCCAGTACTGAGTATTAATCGTCTTCAAAGTTTACTGGCCAGGAGGGCATGTTAACAAAAACTGCTGCACCCCGAAGCCCTCGTCATAATATACAGGCCCTACTTTATGGCTACAACCTACATAGTTTGTGGGGCGACAATGGTTGTCGTAAGAGGCGACTAACGGGATCTGGTGGTCAGGCTCACTGACTTGGTTGATGCATGTCATCGTATCTCAATTGCGAGTGCGGCGTTAAACAAACAAACAAACATAGTTTGTGTTAACGTTAATTCATTTTGTGTCTTCATTATACATTATAGCTGCAACCTACATAATTTGTGAGGCGACTATGGTTGTCGTAAGAGGCGACTAAAGGGGTCGGATGGTCAGGCTCGCTGACTTAGTTCATGATTGTCATTATACCCCAATTGCATAGATCGATGCTCATGATGTCAATAGCAGGATTGTCTGGTCCAGGCTGAAGTATTACTGAGTGCTGCGTTAAACAACTAACAAACAAACATGGTTTTATTAACATCAATTATTTTGTGTGACATTTTATCATCGTGGTAGACAACGGCGAGCTGATTGGCTGCTTGGTTAAATACTTTTCTCTGACGTTTGTGGTGGTTCTTAGACTTTCACACGCATCGCTCATAACGCATGTACATGTATATCAGTCAATCAGTATACAGCAAAAACCCAGCTCACTGATGGGTTTCCAATACACAATGAAATGAAAACAAAATACTACAGACTGAGACATTAAATGACGCCTTAACTGACTTAATGATTCGTAGAATAATGTATTGGCTAGAATTTTCAACTAGACAGTTGGGCCAGCTTTACGGAAATGTTGCTTGCCCGAATTAAAAGTTACTGTCATTTGGCTCGCGGGCAGGCAGTTATTTCGAACACTGGTCCATCAACAGCATCACGACGCTGATGTATTGAATGATTGGTGCAGCATGCGGCTTGATAGTTGACGATGTCGCCGAGGTACGATGACACACCCACTCAGCAAGCGAGGCGATAACAGTAATCCATACAGTCATTAACACTTATTACTATCCAGTGGAACGAATGTCGGGGAGGAGGTATCTTTGAAAACCTGTGGATATCTCTCCGCGTGCAGACGTTTCCATAGTAGGTCGCGTCAGATGAACCCTGTGCGAACTTTGACCGTTCAAATCTAAATAAAAGATTCGTAGCGAGGGCCCCTGAGCCAATCAGATATCAGCTGTCTAATCTTGATGTCGACTTAATTTTTTTATCACTTAGACACAAAATTGGATGATTCATCCGGAATATAAATTGACTTTCGGTCAAACGTTTTTTTCTTAAATGAAATCAGGTGAGCGAAAATACCGAGTTTTCTTATACAAGTTCACCCAACTACGACGCAAATTCTGATAAGTCACACTGTCATACCATGTATCTGCATCTCTTGCATCAGGTTATGATGGCACTGTTCGAGAAAAAAGAACCATTTGTAGAAAAGTTGGTTAACCAAAGCATAGACGACAACTACGAAAGCTGGTACATGAAGCTAAACCCGCTGGGGAAGGTTCCAGTTATGGAGGACAGAGGGAAGATCATCCCCGAATCTGACGACATCATCGACTACCTTGACAAGGAATTGCCCCAAGGTTGGTAAATTAACATCTAATGCTGTAGTATATCTACTATCTAACGCTATAGCTTTCCCTGGATCAAGAACGTCCTTTAATGTCATCTAACGCTATAGTTTTTCCCTGGATCTAGGACGTCCTTTTACGTCATCTAACGCTATAGTTTTTCCCTGGATCAAGGACGTCCTTTAACGTCATCTAACGCTATAGTTTTTTCCCTGGATCAAGGACGTCCTTTAACGTCATCTAACGCTATAGTTTTTCCCTGGATAAAGGGCGTCCTTTAACGTCATCTAACGCTATAGTTTGTCGCTGGATCAAGGACGTCCTTTAACGTCATCTAACGCTATAGTTTGTCCCTGGATAAAGGACGTCCTTTAACGTCATCTAACGCTATAGTTTTTCCCTGGATCTAGGACGTCCTTTAATGTCATCTAACGCTATAGTTTTTCCCTGGATCAAGGACGTCCTTTAACGTCATCTAACGCTATAGTTTTTTCCCTGGATCAAGGACGTCCTTTAACGTCATCTAACGCTATTGTTTGTCCCTGGATCACAGACGTCCTTTAACGTCATCTAACGCTATAGTTTGTCCCTGGATCACAGACGTCCTTTAACGTCCGCTAACGCCATAGTTTGTCCCGGGATCGAGGAGGTTCTTTACCGGCATCTATGCTATAGTTTGCCTCTCGTTTGTGATGTGACGTTATAAGCCAAGGCAGGAGACCCTCGTTTGTTTGAATGTTGTTTTAATTATATGAAAATCGCACTAAAATCAGATCGTTTTCTCCAATATCGTATCGGAGTAAAATATCTAATTTAATTAAATCGGTCACACCACGACGGCGTGTACATAATCGGGCCATACGAACTAGTGATTGATATCATGACCAACGTCCCACGCCGTCGGGGTACGATGACGCGTAGTCAACCAAGCCACGGATTCTGGACCACTGATCGAATCAACAGACTGATGGGGAATATTCTAACACGTCCCGGCGGGATCCTCATCAAAGAAAAGAATTGACTTTTGTAATGATAAGTTTAATTCAACACCCTCGCACCTAAACATAAGGTTTCTTGGTTATTGCGTCCCTGACAAAACGGCATGAAACCCCACTGATTAACTCAGTAACAGCTTGCTTCATGTTCGTTTGTTTATATGTTTGTTTGTTGTTCAACGCCACACTCAGCAACATTCCAGCTATGTGACAGCGCTCTGTAAATAATCGAGACTGGACCAGACAATCCAGTGATTGACATCATGAGCATCGATCAACACAATTGGGATACGATGATATGCATCAAGTCAGCGAGCTTGACCATCTAATTCCGTTAGTCACCTCTTACCACAGACCTTGTTACTGAAGACCAATTCCAACTGGGGCGTAAAAAACGTATTTCTGAGCAGAATCTGAGTCGATTCCTGGTGTGTATACGATGCGTAAAGCCAGCGAGTTTTGACTGCCGCTTTGATAATTCCTCCCTCTTCCCTGTCTAGCACCACGCCTTGTACCTGATCCGTCCTCAGACCTCGGCCGTGAGGTGGCGCACTTCAGGAAGCTGCTGGACGTCAACGTGATCCTCATCGTCTTCGGCATCGCCTACAACCCCAACCTCTCCCCTGACTACACCGCCGTGAAGACACGGGAAGGTGAGCCCACCTCATAACGTCAAGGTCAACGATACTAGATATGTTTTAGGGATTCATTGAATACCAAACCAAGACACAATGAAGTGTTTTTGAGTTTTGGGCCGTTTCAGCCTAACATGTAGTTGATTCCCTTTGCTATTAAATTTTTTTTATACTAAGGAATGGTTCTGTTTACTATATCGTATTTGTAGGTTGGATATTATTTTTTATATTTGTTGTTCCCACTTGTCCAATTCTGTTGAACAACACTGTTTGGTTTGAATAGAGATCCTTATACATGAGATCACACTCCTGACTCAACTCTGAGTTGGTTGGGGTCGGTATTATTTCATAGTATCTAAGCAGTCCTAAATACACATAACAACACTTTTTGCATAGCCAAATAATTTGAAAAAAAACTATTATTTTTGATTGAATCATTTATATTTGAAACTTTTATCATAGGTCTTCGTTTATAGTCCAGATTGACGAAATTGCTGGTGTTAGCTTTCCGGTTATTTGAAACAAAATTAACAGTAGTGATTCACATACTATACAACACCCCCCTGGCCATATGTGACGGTGTTGCATACGTTTAACCAGGGTCCTCTCAGTTCGATCCTCTACCTATCTTATACAGTAAACTACGTTTATAACGAACACGCTTAAAACGAACTGGTTTTTTTTGTCCTGGCCATTTGCTGTATAGATTCTGTACATATGCTTTTAACGAACTACGGTTATAACGAACTAAAACTAGTGGTCCCTTTGAGTTCGTTATAACCGTAGTTTACTGTACAAGGGAATAGAACGAGCCGATTGGTGCTGTGGTGCATTTCAGTTCACGAGTCATACTCAGAAGCGGTACATTTTATTATATTTGTTACTGTTTGTGTTAACAACTGGGTACATCATGCATACCATCAGCCTTTCATGATGAGTGAGTGAGTGAGTTGGGTTTAACGCCGCTTTTAACAGTAATCCAGTTATATCACGGCGTGTCAGCTTAATGTGGAGGAAAGCCCGAAGTGATGCTGGTCTCAGACGTTTACCACTTCGGTGGAAACGGGTATGGTGCTGACAAACCTAAAAACATAATCGGGGCGAACCGGGATTCGACCCCACAATCATAGGTTTCTGGCGTGCCCAAGAGACGCAACTCTATACAGTGAATCACGGCGCCTTAGACGACTGGCCCATCCGTGCCCCTCAACACCCCCACCCCCACCCACCCCCCCCTTCTTAGTGATTTGGTCTTGGCACAATTACATTCATTTATCAGGTTAATATACGCATATTGCCTTTTATTTACCTTTAACCTTGACGTTTCTTCCTTCGACCTCAGAGCTGGATAAGATGATTGCTGGTAAAATCGCAAAGCTTGAGAAACTCGCCACTGAACACCCCGACCTGAGAGACGCCTACCTCGCTAAGATACCGCTATTACAGAAGAGGAAGGAAACGTGCAGTAACCAGGAAGTTGTTCAAAGGGAACTTGATGACCTTCAGACGGCCTTTGATGAAGTCGAGGCCAAATTGGTGAAAGGTAGAATAACGTCTTAGGAAACGTTCTGTTGTAGTAAACATAAAAGATGGCAAACCCTCCATCTTCAGTGATGATATTTTTTGTGACTTGGGTTGGGGGTGGAAGGTTAGGCGCCACTCTTAAGCGTGCCAGAAACATATGATCGTGGGTTTCACCAAAGTGGCAAACGCATTGAGAATCAGGTCAACTGTCCAAACATAATTAGTCACAGCGGCCTGAAGGTTTCTAAACACCGATGTAAATATCACCATATATTCAAATTGTATCATGCACTACTTAAACCACACTGTAAACAATGTGTTAAGAATGTAAACACATACAAGACATGTTTAGAAATGTGTTTCAATCTTAAACGGCATGCACATTTGATGTGTTCTATCTAAACATGTTCAGGGTCTAAACATGAAATGAGCTAAAGCCTCGTGGTATAAACACCACCGAATCGCAACATCCCCATACCCCAAACATAATCACCATTGCATTGCACCAGGCTATTTTTATACAATGTCAGTGGACTTCATTCTCACAGTGTCTGAGCTGTTGCTCAAGCAGCGGGGGGAAAGTGTTTGTTTATTGTAACATGATACTTTCTGTGACGAGTTCATGGGAGGGGGGTTTCTAGGAGGTTAGAGATGTCATACCAATTATTGGAGGACACATTTAATGCTTCTGTGAGATTCTAAAACATACGCATTTTGGTCTAAGGCTAACAATACGAGTTTCCATTTTGCCCTAACATTTAGGCCTAGAAGTTATTTTATTTAAAAACATATATCTACAAAATATAAAATGAAATACAAATGGAACCCAGAACAAGGATTATTTCTAGACTTGCCAAATCATTCTACACTTGAGTTGGATTCTATTCTTGAATTATACTTTTAGGTCTGAGAGACAGACAAGTCGGTCCTGTTCTCGAGATAGTGTAGTCTGTCTTACAGACCCTGATACAAATATATATCAAATACAGCCCATGCAAGTCTAGATTACTGCAGTATCAGGAAATGAAGAGAGTCTCTGGGCTCCCTTTTATTATATTTTTATTAAGATAATTGAACAACTGTTTCTTTTCTGTACGATATGTTCATTTCAGAGACTAGATGTTAGTCTAGAGATAGTGCTAAATACCAGTTGTGTTATCGACGTAACCCTCGTGCGACAGCAACCTAACTCTGATATGCAATGTGGCAGTTAGGGATGCTTATAACTCTTGAACATTGATCTCACAAAATACCATATCACATCATAAACCTGGATTTGTTTGAACGTATAGCTAACAAAAGCTCCCCCTGCCCATCTTCATGCAAAACAGCATATGTTCCCTGCGACTGGTAACTCCCGCATCCCACACCCCCCCCCCCCCCCCCCCCCCCCCCCAAACTTCACCCACCCACCCATTCCCCTTCCCTCCCCTCCCCGCCCCTCCCCTGGCATTAGTGCTGTACGTCCGCTGACCCGTGCACACTCACATCCCAATGTCGGTTGGCCAGTAACCGACCATCTCGAACAGACTGGCAAATACCGTTTCTAGGGGTCGCGCCAAAGCCGACACAGAAATGTAAGTACTGTCCAAGGGGGCACCGCCAAGGCTGACTTACATGCCCCTTTTATTTCGGCCACTGTAACCTAAAGTTACGATATTATTAGCCCTGCTTCACTCACCAACTCACTCGCGAATAGTTTCTCTTACAGGCCAGAAAACAAAAGCATCCGAAAACACCCAAGCAAGTCTACAAAACTTGGGAAAGTCTTCATTCTCCAGTTTCTCTCGGCTCCTTTCTAGTACAAAACAAATTTTTAGTATTTGGATTTCAGATACTAACATTTAGTTGTGAAAGTGAACAAAAGTCTTTGTTCAATGTTCCTCTCTTCGTGTGCAGGTTCCCCAGGTGAGACGTGGTTGCTGTACGGCGACTTGACCGCGGCGGATATTTCCCTGGCAGTGCTGCTCCGACGTCTGGCACTGAGTGGTCTGGCCTCCGTCTATTTCTCCCCCACCCTGAGGCCGGCACTACACAAGTACTGGCTGCGTCTACAGACTCTCCCAGCATACAGTCGGCTGGGGGACATCGCTGCCAAGTACGGCGTCCAGGCGTAGTTACATCATTACATGTACTACCGACACATCAGACACCATGGGTGTGGACACGTGTATCAGGACATTGACCAGACTGAGGCCCCTTTAGTCAGGAATATATAGTCCCCAGTGATTTAAAATAATCCGGAATGAATACACACCGTAACCTGATATTAATACTGTAAACATCAGCCTAATGTTAACTAGCATACAGTCCCCGAAATAATGTTATGTATAAGGTCAATTATAAATAATTCTATATCGGAACACTGTCTCGTAATTTCAGGACGTGTATCAGGACATAGACCAGACTGGTGCACCTTTAGTCGGGAAGATACAGTTCCCAGTAATTTGAAATAATCCGGATTTACACATCGTGATTACACATCGTGAAGTAATGTCCCCTTGTACGTGTACGTACGCACGCGTACGTGAGTGCGAGTGTGTGTTCGTGCGTACGTACCTGCGTTTGTGGGAGTTCCGGTCTCTAACGGGGTTTCGCCGTCTATGACGCAAGTGTATAGGGCGTTATTATATACGAGATAAGATAGATCACTGCCTTATCTGGACACCCATTAAAGGCTACCATCGGATTGGGCGGAATCACTTCCTCTACACTTCCGGGCAAAATAAACTATACACTTGAAAATTGGATTTGACCAACAATAAGAAATGTTATCAAACGTTACAAGGCTGAAAACAGTCTCTAATCACTGCAAACAGTCGTCCAAAACACAACTATGATACTTGTATCAAATACAGAATCATCGAGTAGCCATTTCGTGTTTGTTTCTGTTTTAGCCACCATCATACGTGGGTGTATACCTTTCCCCGTCAGTTTATGTTGGAGATGCCAGTTCTGCTGCAGCTGTGCCTATAACTAGGCCCGTGAAGATCCGGGTTGGAATAGGTCTTCAGCAACCCATGCTTGCCGTAAAAGGCCACTATGCTTGTCAAAAGAGGCGACTAACGGGATCGGGTGGTCAGGCTCGCTGACTTGGTTGATGCATGTCATCGATACCAATAGCGTGGATCGATGCTCATGATATCAATCAATGGATTGTCTGGTCCAGACTCGATTGTTTACAGACCGCCATATAGCTGGAATATTGCTGAGTGCGGCGTAAAACAACAAACCAAAACTAATCATAAGCGTATATCAGTTGTCAAGGCAACGTGGTAAGTCACATGGAATCTACACTGATGTTGCGTGTCCCATATTGAACCATCCATACGCAAAGCTTAGCAGCAAGATGTATGTTCACTGTCGGTGTCACTGCTGACTCAGCCCTTGGTGTCCACATTTCACAACTTTTGAGTTAAAATCGAGCATGCTCTTTCTTCCAAGAATTCAAAGAGCATGTCATGTGAATAACATCCAAGGCCTCAGTAAAGCTTTTTGAAAGTTTTATGGTAGACATGTGGAGGACATTTCCAAATCTGACGCCTCAGTGACAAAAATGATGTCCGATGCAATTCTTTATTTTTACTTGTTCCAGAGTTGCTGTTTTTCAGGTAAACAATTGACTTGCCTTTGCATGTGTTTTTGACGTATGCCACCAGTGGGAAACCTACCAAACTAGGCATCCGCAGAACAAGAAGGAGTTGACTGTCATGTCGCGATGATAAACAAACAGGGAGTAAATTTACACCTAACAGTGCCAATATAATAATACACGTCTCTAATATTCTGTATTTGCGCTGTATGATGTAAATTCATTCACTGTACTCGCTTCAATAATGGAGTTCGTACCTTGGAAGACCGCCTTGAATCTAGTCCTGCGCCATGACTGTGGAATATATTTATTTTATGGAAAAAACGAACAAACTAGAAACGTATACATAAGCAAGTCCAACTAGCTCTATTCTATGAGCATAGGGACAATTATTATATCAAGAAGGGTATTGCGTAATATAAGATTTCATAGACTAAATGTTTGACTACCTTGAATAATGCGTGTTGTTTGGTTGGTTAGTTTGTTGTTTAACGCCGCACTCCCAAATATTCCAGCTATATGACGGCGGTCTGTAAATAATCGAGTCTGGACCAGACAATCCAGTGATTGACATCATTCGCATCGATCCACGCAATTGGGATACGATGACATGCATCTATCAAGTCAGCGAGCCTGACCACCCGATCCCCTTAGTCCCATTTACGACAAGTATTGCCGCCTCTTATGGCAAGCATGGGTTGCTGAAAACCTATTCACATCCGGATCTTCACGGGTCTTTGGGGCAAGTGATGGGAGTTTTCTGTGAGACTTAATATTTTTTCATGCCATCCTGAAATACAATTTATTTTTTCGTAAGGATGGAGACAAATACAAAACACACAAACAAAGAATAACAAAATAGTACACCCAAATCGGACTACAACGGGAACGCATATATGCCTGTCGAGAAACCTGTGATAAATGATTACGACTGCCTGGGTCTTATCATGAGATACCCAGGTTGTGTTGCCACGGCGAGTTTACGTTTGCCTTGGAGATGGGACTAGGTGCTGCAGTGTGAGTGTTCGTTATGAACACACTGACATAGACATTTCGACGATCAGGTCGTGAACTGTTTGCTACAGACTCGTCGTGTAGAGCCCTCAATTTACAGCAGAGGCAATGTCTGGTCAGAGGTCACCTGGGGCCAACATTAGACTAGGAACTCACAACATATGTCAACGTCTGTGTTCAAGGTTTCATATAGCTATTTACATACCTAATAGATAAGGCCAGTTTCTTGTTTCTCGTGCTATTTATTTGAACGACTCAAAGAAGGGGAGGGTATTTATATATATTCCATGTTCTAATATATATATAGTAGAACATGGATATAACGAACTACAAGGGACCGGAATCAGTTCGTTATATACGTTTTTTGCTCGGAAACGTCTGCCATCTTAGATAAAACAAAACACAATACACATAATTGCAGCATTGACCTGTATTAGTTCAGGAAAATCAAGGATGAATGTATGCTGTTGTGATTTGATTCCCGTTTTCAGTCCAAATTTTAAATACGGTCAACTAATTACAGAAGAACTTTTCAGTTTGAAACATGTCTTTTAACAGTGGTGCTCCTCATATTGGGAGATGATGTAATATTTGATGTTTGTTACCTATCGATTTGAGATACAAAAAAAACACACACAAAAACTATAACGTATAAACTCATTTTAAAAGTTTATATGCAGTGCCAACTCATTGGGGATGGCTTGGGGTCATGTGACCGTGACTCGTGATCCTATTTTTGCCATCTGTATACCGTGCATGTTTGTTGGTTGTTTAACTCTGCACTCAGCAGTATCCAGCTGTATGACGGACGCCTGTAAATAACCATGTCTAGACCAGATATAACCACCCAGTGATTGATATTGTGAGCAGTGACCCACGCTGTCTCTGTACAATGGAATGCCTTCGACCAAGTCACTGAACCTGATCCATTAAACCACCAGCATATGTTGCTAGGGACCATTTCTAACCTGGAATCCCTATGGATTCCCAATTTAGTCGCCTCTCACGAGGTTCTGGGGCCCTGGCGGTACAACTACCTCGGCCATCTAAATAACAGACTGACGGAGTGTTGAGGAGTAGACCCGCGTGTTTAGTACAAGCCCAAACGGGGTGGTAGGGTAGCCTAGTGGTTAAAGCGTTCGTCCGTCAGGCCGAAGGCACGGGTTCGATTCCCCACGTGGGTACAATGTGTGAACACCACGAGTCTTCTTGAAGGTTACGGAAAGGGGCGAGTGGTGACGAATGTAGATGGGCTGTTCGCTTGTCCCGGATTAACACGAGTTGGTCACGAATGGTATGGTGCCTGCTTAGTACCCTATTTCTGACTGTTCGGGTGCTTTTTCTAACCTTATAACTCTCATCATGATATGGATCATCCGGAGGCAAGGGAGTGAACTGACTACAAAAGTCCAGTTCCCACCCTTGCCGAACTAGGCTGGAATTTAGTAGCGCGATCAGTGGCTTATGTCCCTTCTATGACCCTCATATTGACCAATCAGATTTCATCACTTATATCACATGCATTTGCTTCAAGCAAAATGGCGTTGGTCCCACTTAGGCCCTCACCTAAGAACACAGTATACACAGCATGCCTGTGATATGTGTCCTCATGTGTGATAAGGGGCGGTCGGGTAGCCTAGTGGTTAAAGCGTTCGCTCGTCACGCCGAAGACCCGGGTTCGATTCCCGACATGGGTACAATGTGTGAAGCCCATTTCTGGTGTCCCCCGCCGTGATATTGCTGGAATATTGCTAAAAGCGGCGTCAAACCAAACTCACTCACTCACTTGTGTGATAATATCCGCCATCTGTGCATTTTCTTTGTAATATTCAATTTATATACAATGCAATGTATTTCATTCATATCACGGAGTGTCAGCTTTATGTGGGAGACAAGCCTGAAGTGATTCAGGTCTCAGGCGTTTGCCACTTTGATGAAACCTGCAAACAATCGGGGCGAACCGGCTTTTGGAACCACAAGGGACGTAACTCTGCACAGCGAATTGCGGCACCTTAGACGACTGGGCCACCTGTGCCCCCTTATTGAAAGGAGATCGAATCGTGTATGGTGTCATATAAAATTCAGATATATAAAGTATTCTAAACTTGAACTTTCATCTTCCGGTAAATCTATAATCTGTAATTGGACAAACCTGTAAATGGACGATACCTGTAAATGGACGATACCTGTAAATGGACAAACCTGTAAATGGACGATACCTGTAAATGTACAAGATACCTGTAAATGGACGATACCTGTAAATGTACAAGATACCCGTCAATGTACAAGATACCTGTAAATGGACAATACCTGTAAATGGACAATATCTGTAGATTTACAATATCTGTAAAAAATGTTCATTAGAAATAACAAAATAAACTAATAAAAGTTCATACAAATCAACAAAATACTTTTCGGTTGCGTGGACAGGATGAGCGTTGTTTTAGACAACCAACTATGGAATACTGTAAGGGACATTTTCGCGATCTCGCATTCTTGCGATCTCGACCTTTGGAAACGAGCTAAATATGCCCAAAACACGAGAATGCGAGATCGCGAGAATGTCCCTTGCAGTATTCCATAACAAACAGTACTATTCCAACAAGATAACGGATGGGCCAAACGAGTGTTTGATATCATGTGCAACGAACGCTACACGATGGCAGGCAGGTCACCCACTGCGATCACCAGAATCTATCCTCGAGAGGAATATCCACGGGCTCGGATGACAGCGAGTGAGTGAGTTAGTGAGTATGGTTTTACGTCGCTCTTCTCAATATTCTAGCAACATCCCGGCGGGGGTCACCAGAAATGCGCTCCACACATTGTACCAATGTGGGGAATCGAACCCGGGTCTTCGGCGTGACGAGCGAACGCTTTAACCACTAGGCTACCCACAGCCCCCGGATGACAGAGATAGTGAGATATTAATTTAGTTATATTGGCCTAAGTTATATGAGTAACATCGGGACGAGACACCCGGCTTGTGTTTCTGCAGTTAAGTCGGAGTGACTGATGGCATCTGTTGCAAGTATGGGCTCGTGAGTGATTATATGATGCCGGTTTAATCAAAGAAACAGACAGCGTTCCGACATAAACAAATCCCAGATGTAAGTAATGGGAAAACGCAAGCCTTGAGAAAAGAAACATTGGGGTATTTACAGATTTAACACTGAACCAAGTTATCAAAGATGAAAGTGAGTGGGTGAATTTAGTTTTATGCCACATTTAACAATATTCCAGTAATAACACGACCGGGTATACGAGAAACATATAATACCTATTAAAGGGCGAGAGTTAGGGAATCTACTCACTTTGCAGAGATACTTTACACAACCAACCAACACAACAACACAAGACCTGAGTGAATAAACAATCAGTTTATTAGACAGCCACAGAATCAATCGATATATAATCAGTCAACAATAGAATGTTTACAATCAATTATTAGAAAATGTTTACAATCAGTTATAGAAGTACATATATGCGAAGAGTGGGTAAATGGGTTGAATTTAACGCCGCTTTTAACATATCACGGCGTGTCAGCTCAATGTGGGAGGAAAGCCCGAAGTGATGCAGGTCTCAGACGTTTACCACTTCGGTGAAACCCACGAGCACGGGTATGGTGCTGACAAACCTAGAAACATAATCGGGGCGAACCGGGATTCGAACCCACAATCATAGGTTTCTGGCGTGCCCAAGGGACGCAACTCTACACAGCGAATCGACTTAGACGACTGAGCCAAACGTGCCCCAATATAAGCGAAGAACATCAGTTGAACATAACACAGAATCATTACACAAAATATATACATGTACAACATTAGTCACGCTACATATTCCAAGGTACACAACATAATACAACAGTTTACATATGATTGAAATATAGTATACCCGACACACTCTAACTAATACATTACCCGAGTGGGCATTCACGCAAGATACGTTCTTGTTCAGCCTAAATACATATACAAGAACGTAATCAACGTAATATGGTTAACAGACTTGACAGAATCTATTCACAGCAGTAGTATCTAAGATATATACCAGAGTATGACATTTTCAATTACTTAATAGACTTGCCATCGCTCCCAATTGCGTGGATCGATGCTCATGATGTCAATCACTGGATTGTCTGGTCCAGGCTCGATTTACAGACCGCCTTTATATAGCTGGAATATTGCTGAGTGCGGCGTTAAACAGCAAACAAACAACATGTTGAACTGTATGACGGAGTGATTTCAAATTAACTCGATTTAGGTGAGTAGCGGATTCAGACACCATGACTCCATCAGCCCTAGTTTTGTTGGGGGAAGTATTCTTGTTTGCGTACCTGTGACAGGTATTATTTCAGATGATAAAAGGCAAACAAACAAACACACAAACAAACTTGCAGGCATTGTCAAGGGTAATAGCATATAGTTAACATTTAACATAGTTCAAGGTAGTAAAGTTTCTTACCTGAGTGAATAAACAATCAGTTTTTAGACAGCAACAGAAAGATTTGTGACTGTCTGTCGTCCGTATTTATACCTATTCTAGCAACTATAGATAATCTCATTTATTTTTGTTATTGTGAACGTTAGTGACGCTGTCTCGACAGAATTATATATCTAGTTTGACAGAAGCATTGATAATAAAGGCGGTTGTGAATGTGTTTAGTTAGAATAATAGGTGAGGTGAATTGGGGTTTAACGTCGCGTCCAAGATTATTGCACTTATATAGCGACGTGCATGTACGCGTGTGTGTGTGTGTGTGGCTGCTTGTACTAGTCCGGACTGATGCCGATTTATAGTGCTAGCTCACTGAGATACCATGCCACAGTTTAACATGAATACCCCACTCAGACACAGTGTAGTGACGCCGAGCCGACCAGTCCTTGTTTTACCCCCTTAATGCCGAACGCCAGGCAGGGTAACAACAAGTACCATTGTTTAACGTCTTTTGGTATGACGCGGCCGGGGATCGAACCCCGGACCTTCCGCTCTCCGGGCGGACGCTCTACCACTAGACCACGGAGGCGGTCAGTTAGAATAATAAGGGTGGATGATAAACAGCTGTAGATACAGATAAAGATTTTAACGTCTTACATAAGTTTGCCTACCTCTATCTGACCAGCACGTTGAGAGATGCTGGTCCTGTCCGATATGCGTTATCGGTTTGACCCTTGGCAGTTTAAAGATAATGAAACATGGTCCGTTACTTGTAATATTTCCTTATTTCACAATTTCCAATTCTTAATATGAGGCATGCAACGTGATAAAATATTTGTAAAACGTTGTCCAGTTTCTCCATGTGGGGCCGGGCATTCGGTGTGACAAGTGAACGCTTAACCACATGTGCCGATCAGTGGCATGAGCCTTCCCCATATGGCTCCGCCCCTAGAATTTAAGGTGTTTGTGTGTCCGCCGTCATACAGCTTGAATATTGCTGAGAGCAGCGTTAAACATCAACCAAACAAAGGTGTTTGAGTGTGTGTGTGTGTGTGTGGTTGTGGTTGTGTGCTTCGTGCTATCAACATAATGCAGGTAGATGGACACTTCTCCGTGACCGACCTTAATGGACGTTGACACGCGTCTCCGCGATTCGACAAGACAACCAATGCAACGGAGTGTATGAAGGTTGTTGATCTGGGGCTTTGACAAAAACATTAGAAATAGAGAATCTCACCCAAGTATCTTTTGATATCAAATATATCAACACGAGTTGATAAAAGTGGGAAAACTCCGAGGTTTGCCGAGGATTTTTTTCCACTTTTATCAACGAGTGTGAGATTTTATTTATCATCCAACATCATTCTTCAAACTTTTTCAGTTTGTAGAAAGTAATAAGCAGTGTCTTAAGTGTAAAAAGTACTGCTAACAGCTTCAGTAGCAGAGCCATTAGTGATGTCATTTGATTGTGACGTCATGGTAACCAATGACGTCACAATGGTCTGCAAAGCATTGTGATGCAATTTCATTGCAGCGATTTCTACAGTATAGATATCGTTTGATCTCACTCAAGCGATATCTCCTATGGGAGCCAGTTTTTGATGATAAAACAATATCTGCGAAATTGTAGCTCTTCTATCATCTGCTCTTACTATTCAACACCCATTAGCTCATCAGAGCTACGTTTCATGCCTTCATTACGTTCTCTTAAATACAGATGCTGATTTGGCACAGGCGTCCTCAAACTCCGTCAGTGTGCAAATTGCATAATATCGTGGACATTTCTATACCATTCATAGTAAGTGTAGCTAGCTGTATTCCACATGAAATAAGTATTAGAAAACAATACCTTTTTTTCAAAGAGAGAAATGTATGTCTCTCCACATATGTGTGAACAACAATGAATGCATGTAATTTATATACATATTCACAATTTATTAAACAGACCAATTGCTTTGATTTTTTTCCCAATTAACCTAACCCAATCTATTATATCGACACAAAAGCGTCTGCACTTTTCACCTAAGAAGACCCAGCAACCCATGCTTGCCGAAAAAGGCGAATATGCTTGTCGTACGAGGCGGCTGATGGAATCGGGTGGTCAGGCTCGATGACTTGGTTGATGCACGACATCGACCCCAATGGTGTTGATCGATGCTCATGATGGCAATCACTGGATTGTCTGATTACAGACCGCCGTCATTTAGTTGGAGTGTGGCGTTAAACAACAAACAAACAATGGACACATTGGGTTTCTGAAGCTTTGACTTGACATCGGCTTCTTACCATAGAAACATATTGTCTATTTCGAGATAAACTATATTTGTTGTCTACAGCCGGAACCAAGGAGCGTTTTCGAGAAACAGTTCATTCGAGATACCCGATTTCTAAATAACAAGGTTGGACCGTATTTGTTTAGATGTATGTGAGAAATTGTCACATGCATCAGCTATCATAACATGACGAGAAATGCACCAGGGCTAGAAGCTGCAACTTTCCGACAGTAAACTAACTACAGTAAACTACGGTTATATCGAACTCAAAGGGACCACTAATTTTAGTTCGTTATAACCGCAGTTCGTTATAACATATATTCAGCATCTATACAGAAAGTGGCCGGGACAAAAAAAAACAGTTCGTTATATCCGTCTGTTCGTTATAAGCGTGTTCGTTATAAACGTAGTTTACTGTATATGGAATGTCTATGACACATCTACACCCAATTTTACTGGTTCTTTATCTGACCCGCTTTAAATTAAGAGTGACATATAATCACTAAATTATTGCTGCCCATCACCCCGCTCCAGCAATGTAATGTTTTCAAACAAAAACCTTTATTCCTCATGCAAACAATTTTGCAAGATTTGATGACATATTCTTAAACAGAAACACCACACTATGACAAAGCCGTCAATCTGATGTATAGAATAAAGGCGGTGGGGTTATTATGTCAAAACGCCATGCTCCAATTGAAGGGAAGTCTGTAAAACTGAGAGTCGACAAAAAACGCGTTTGTGCACACGGCCTGCCGCTCACTGTAAACAAGACGCATACAACAGCAGTCAGTAGTCTGCAGTCCGGCCGGTCAGTCTGTGGAACGGCGCTCAACAAGATGGCCGAGGAGCCGAAATACACGCTGTATCAGTTCCCGATGTCCTATTATTCTCAGAAGGTACGTTCTACCATTCCCGGGGGGATACTGGGTTTTGTGGCGATGTGAACTGTAGCTTATTTGTCATAGCGTTAATAATCCCAGGACATCTAAATGTTGAAAACCCCAGCATCTGGACAGAAACCATATACCAGTATAATATCGGTATATGGTCCCTGCATGTTGATGACGTTTCGTTGTTGATATACATTATATGTTACAATGCATTGTGGAATCAAGTTTGCACTTTTTCTTTAGGGGTTATCTCAAAAGTTTAGATGGGTTCATTTGTTTTATTTATTGTTTGTTTGATTTTAAGTGTCTGCATAAAGTGACTAGATCATTCAAACATGGTATTTAATCATAGTTCTGAAAATAACGCCTCCTTTTTTTCCCACGGTTTCAACTGGAAGGAATTTTTGGTTCCGCATACCGTGTCAAAGTTTCCTGATAAGACCTGAGAAGTGGTGCAGGCCTGTAGATTCACTATATAATGTCTGGCAAATTTTGACAACGCTTAGAGAGGTTATATTTTCAAACATTATTAAATTTACAATTTACAGTTTTGTAAAGGAACTGTTAATAATGACTGTTCATAACATACCAGACAGTGTTCATTAGAGAGCTACAGCTCTATACATTGTTCACCGTCACACGTATGACGTATCTACATTGTGCTGTTAATACGCGATAGTCTCTCCTCAGCAGCGGCAGAGTTCGTGAACTCTGCTTTGAACCACACATAACAGGGCAGTTCCTCCACCCAAATACAAACTAGAGGTTGAATTGGTCTTGAATATATTCTTCTGATGTATTGCATTGGTTCCAGTGCTTCTGAGGTGAATGCATTTTAGTTGGAACAAGATTCGCCTTTCCATTCCATGTACAAGTCCATAATATTTCCAGTTCCCTCGCTGCCTGTGTAGTGCTACTCCGTGTTCGTTACATGTTTATATTAGGGTTGCAATGTATAAACGGAGACAGGTTAACCCTATAACCATAGTGCCTAGCCTGTCTCCCAGACCCTAGAGAAAGAAAATTAAACTCAAGTCTAGAATGATTTGGCAATCTAGATTGCCTCAGCTCTGAAATTAAGGAGTGTTCTGTGCTCCATTTAGATTTTATTGTTTTTATTTTGTAGATAAATATATATTAAGATAACTTTATTTCTGGCTAAATATCAGTCTACATTCCACCTAACATTCTTTTTATCAACATGCGTACTTTAACCGAGCTATAGTTACAATATTGGTGTTAAATGCCCCGTTATGCAAAGTGCCTCGGTGTTAGTGCTTTCAATGCGAACGTCTTGTACGTTTCTTTTAATTCATTCACTTGTTATTAAACATTATTATTCTGTCCTTTATCAATACAGCTACTGAGCAGATGGAAATTAATTTCTTCTGGGGATAATAAAGTATTACGCCATCTTATCTCATTTAACCATTCTAGCCCAGAAGGAATCTGTCCAAAGGTTCAATGGAACTGAATATTTTGTATATATTCACAGAAATCCCCCTGGTTATCGAATTGTGCAATAAAGAAAAGTGTTATCCTTTCCCAAAAAAACAATTACAATGTCAATAGTAGGAGAGCTATGGGTTCTGATTGTATAACATTTCTTCCATCCAGGAAGAAAAAGACGGTTTTAGTTCTTTGAAAAACAAATTGTTTTCCATTCCTCAAAACAGGTTAACTTGTCGAGACGTTGTTTTCTTTAGACACGAGTCTACATTTTAACAAATCTTTCTCTCCCATTGGGTCCACTTTTATATATTTAGATTTGTTTGGCGCGGAGAACTTGTGCAAGCCTGGTTGATGGCTATAGGGGGCCCATTGAATGTGTTTGCAGAAAGTATAAAAACATTCAGTTAAGATGCGGTTCGTCTCCATCAGTGTACACATCTTGGCGATCTGCCAAGGAATTCACTGAGCTAATGTAACAGAGTCGATGTCAAAGCTTGAGAAACCTTACCTGCAGGTGACCAGTGCAGACGCTGTGTCGACAGAATCAGTGTTGTAGAGTATCTTTGAATGAGGAAAACAGTCGCAACATCCGATTTAAATTCATTCTGAAACACATGTCTGGATATCACAATGCTCATCTGATAGAGACAATATCTATGAGGCTGAGATACAGCCTCTGCAGCATTTCGTTTTGGACTTGGCATCTTGTTTTGTGGCATTGACTGCATCTCTGTATTGTATCGATTAGGCCATAATTAAAGCAAACTTGTTTGTTTGTTTCTTTGTTGTTTAACGCCGCACTCAGCAATATTCCAGCTATATGACGGCCGTCTGTAAATAATCGAGTCTGGACCAGACAATCCAGTGATTGACATCATGAGCAGCAATACGCGCAATTGGGATCGATGACATGCATCAACCATGTCAGCGCGCCTGACCAACCGATCCCGTTAGTCGCCTCTTACGACAAGCATAGTCTCGCCTTTTACAGCAAGAATGGATTGCTGAAGACCTATCCTACCCCGTATTATCAAAGCAAACTTGAAGCGAATTCTCATAAGTGTAACAGATCCATCTATGTGCTTGTATTATCACCCTATCCTCTGTTATCCCCTTTCAAAAAACAACACACCCGTTTATCTTTGTCAGAAATAAATGTTGGCACTGTAACCGATGTTCTTCTGTAGCTCAGCACAATGGTAGCTTGGTACTGTACGTGACGTATCGGTGGAAGCTTGGTACTGTGCGTGACGTATTGGTGGTAGCTTGGTACTGTGCGTGACGTATTGGTGGTAGCTTGGTACTGTACGTGACGTATCGGTGGAAGCTTGGTACTGTGCGTGACGTATTGGTTGTAGCTTGGTACTGTGCGTGACGTATTGGTGGTAGCTTGGTACTGTGCGTGACGTATTGGTGGTAGCTTGGTACTGTGCGTGACGTATTGGTGAGAGCTTGGTACTGTACGTAACGTATCGGTGGAAGCTTGGTACTGTGCGTGACGTATTGGTGGGAGCTTGGTACTGTACGTGACGTATTGGTGGTAGCTTGGTACTGTACGTGACGTATTGTGGTAGCCTGGTACTGTACGGGACGTATTGGTGGTACCTTGCTACTGTACGTGACGTATTTGTGGTAGCTTGATACTGTACGTGACGTATTGTGATAGTGTGTTACTGTACGTGACGTATTTGTGGTAGCCTGGTACTGTAAGTGACGTATTGGTGTTAGCTTGGTACTGTAAGTGACGTATTGTAGGTAGCTTGGTACTGTAAGTGACGTATTGTAGGCAGCTTGGTACCGTAAGTGACGTATCGGTGGAAGCTTGGTACTGTGCGTGACGTATTGGTGGTAGCTTGGTGATGTACGTGACATATTGGTGGTAGCTTGGTACTGTACGTGACGTATTGGTGGGAGCCTGGTACTGTACGTGACGTATTGGTGGTAGCTTGGTACTGTACGTGACGTATTGGTGGGAGCCTGGTACTGTACGTGACGTATTGGTGGTACCTTGCTACTGTACGTGACGTATTTGTGGTAGCTTGATACTGTACGTGACGTATTGTGATAGCGTGTTACTGTACGTGACGTATTTGTGGTAGCTTGATACTGTAATTGACATATTGTGATAGATTGGTACTGTACGTGACGTATTGGTGGTAGCTTGGTACTGTACGTCGCGTATTGGTGGTAGCTTGGTTCTGTAAGTGACCTATTGGTGATAGCCTGGTACTGTAAGTGACGTATTGGTGTTAGCTTGGTACTGTAAGTGACGTATTGTAGGTAGCTTGGTACTGTAAGTGACGTATTGTAGGCAGCTTGGTACCGTAAGTGACGTATCGGTGGAAGCTTGGTACTGTGCGTGATGTATTGGTGGTAGCTTGGTGATGTACGTGACATATTGGTGGCAGCTTGGTACTGTGCGTGACGTATTGGTGGTAGCTTGGTTCTGTAAGTGACGTATTGGTTGCAGCTTGGTACTGTGCGTGACGTATTAAAAGTAGCTTGGTACAATTCGTGGCGTATTAGTAGCCGCCTGTAATGCGAGCCAGTGCAGCAGTGTCAAATCTATTCCTTAAAAATTCACTCTTGAGTGTTTTTAGCCCAGGTTCAGGCCTCTCCCTTCAGCTAGGCTCAACATGCTCACTCAAGACTCAAATCACTCCGCAATGGGCTAAAATCAATCCTCAATGGGCTCAAATCAATCCTCTACATTTTACAATATACTACTTCTCCTGTGTTGACATACAGTTCTAAAGGTTTCCGATGTTCATATCACCTTCTTACCTGAAAAGGAAGTAACTGACAGGTCAGATGTCGACATACATTTATGTTTGTGTACAGTAGGTAGTTATGCATGAAATGATCTATATATACCGACAAAAAAATATGGGAAGCAATTATTTGAATGTAGCTCTCGTTGAGGTGTGCTTTTATCCTACCGTCGCATTGCATCTGAAGAAACATCTTATCACAATGAAATTTCACATACATGCCAAAGTATATACGCCAACAGGGGCATTCACAATCACGGATGCAATTGAGCTAAGCACATGCTTAAACATGCTTCTCAGACACTGTGGAGTGATCTCAGCCTTGGCCCAAGTCACTCTTGACTGTTTTAAGCCTAGGCCAAAATCACTCTAGAGTATGACAGACAGGCTTTAGACTGTGAATTATAACCCCATTATTGGTTACGTTTCTATCAATAATTGCAAGATGTGTAAGTCCTTTCTTCCGCGCCGTGGCTGCTCAACTTGTTTGAAGTTAACAATTTTTACATTAAACCTGAAATGTCAAATTCTGTGTGATGTGATTTTAGCATTTGTTGCTTTTAAGCTAAGGTACGTGCGTCTTTGGGGTAGCATTGTAATGAGTTGTTGAGTGTTACATTCTCGCACGTCCTTGATCTCCCAGCGTATTATATATTCCTCATCCAGTATTGAACCAAATATAAATACATTTGGGGATATTTTTTGTACAAAAGACCCAGTTTCATAAAAATAGTGCTTCGACATTTGTAGCAGTTGTAGCTTAGTGGTTCGACATGTCAATGGTAGCTTATTGCTTTGACATATCAGCGGTAGCTTAGTGCTTTGACATATCAACGGTGGCTTACTGCTTCGACCTATCGGTTGTAGCTAAGTATTTCGACATATTGGATGTAGCTTAGTGGTTCGACATGTCAATGGTAGGTTAGTGCCTTGACATATCAGTCGTAGCTTAGTGGTTCGACATATCGGTTGTAGATTAGTGCTTCGACATATCAGTTGTAGCTTAGTGCTTCGACATATCAGTGGTAGATTAGTGATTGGACATGCCAGTGGTTGATTAGTGCTTCGAGATATTGGTTGTAGCTTAGTGTTTCGACATGCAAGTGGTAGCTTAGTGCTTCGATATGCCAGTGGTAGTTTAATGCTTCGACATATCGGTTGTAGCTTAGTGCTTCCACATATCAATGGTAGCTTAGTGCTTCAACATATCAGTGGTATCTTAGTGTTTCGCCTTGTCAGTAGTAGCCTAGTGCTTCGAAATATCACTGGTAGCCATCTACAATAACTTGGATATTTAGTCCGACGTCATCAAAGTGAAAATTCTTAACGGTTGACAACATTGACAGAATCTTGTTTTCGCAGATAGGAATAGTCCAGAAAAGAATTTTTTTACTTTTATATGAAAAAACAATCATCTCTTTTTGACGAGTATGACTAGCGAAATATTTAACTGATGCTGGAAAACTTTGACACCTTCCCCAGCCTGATGACACACATCTCTGCTTCATCATCCTTGGTAACCTTCAAGTGGTTCCCAACCCACTGCCGACTGCTTGTCGTCAAGGGAACTGGCGTTATGTACCCAGTGCTCTCATCCAGGCTGCGATTGTGTCAGGGACAGATTATATGTCATGGCCTCAAAACGTGCAACTTTCCCCTTTGAAGGAGTAGTCAAAACACAGAACATCCAGTAAATAATCTATTTGTCTATATATACCCTGATGCAAAAATATTATTTTCCCTAGTGTTTTTTTATTTTTTTGCTTTTTATCTATCTCTCCACGTGTTTTTTTTCCATCAGTCTTACTATTTATTGTATCTAAATAAAGAATTTTAATGATTTAATTTAAGTCATTTAACTTATCTACTTTAGCGTGTCGCCAATCACTGCAATGTCGACATAAATGTCACCATTTAAATGTAATATATCCACAGATGTGAGAATAACAAGTTTGAAAATAAAATACAAGTAATATTCATATTAATCCTAAGGCATAATTATTATCTCCCCAAGTGTTTTGTTAATAAAAAAAAATCAAATAGTTGGTTCCTGACGTGGCTCGTGTGTGTTCCAGGTTCTCCTGACCTTCTTTGAGAAGAACATCGACTTCAAACCTGTGTTTATCAACCTGATGGCCAATGAACAATTACAAGAATGGTACTACAAGCTTCACCCTGACGGCCTGGTCCCTCTGCTTCAATATGGCGACAAACTGCTGCCGGAGTCCGACGACATCATGGATCATCTCGATAAACAAAGCACAGGTATAAGACAGTGCATGGTTATCGTGCATCAGTCATATAGCCTCCATCTTCCCGAGGCAAGGGAGTTAACTGACTTTAAAAGTCCAGTTTCCTCCCTTGCCGAACTAGGCTGATATTATGGAGTTATATTTTGGCTGGATAAACGAGTCTATGCATAGTCCAATCAAAATCGCGCAACGAAATCGAAATCCGGTTCGTAGACTGTCGTGCAGATTTCGGTCGATTGCAGGATTGGCAAAGCATGTGCACCACCAACTCGTTGTCAACAGATATTTTTCAAATTGTTTCATGTTTTTAATCAAGGTGCTCACGTGATTTGATGCATTTCGCGATGTAAGACCCGTTGTATCACAATATAGATCTTGATTATCGATCAGATCGTCCTGACTGGGCGCCGCCATTTTGATTGAAGCAAATGCATGTGATACGCGAGGTGGATTCTGATTGGTCCATAGGAGAGGCTTAGAAGGGATATAACTCGTAATAGCCACTGGTGGCGCTACGATCGACCCCAGTAATTCCAGTCTAGTTCGGCAATTCTCTTGCCTCGGGAATATGTACAGCCTCAGGTGGAACGTAGAACATTTCCCTGTAATTCCTTTGCTTCATCAATAAGCGGATCAGTTTGATATGATATCCTACCCGTGATATATATACAGCAACCCCTGCCTGGCGTAAATTGCGACTATGCTTGTCGTAAGAGACGACTAATGGGATCGGGTGGTCAGGATCGCTTACTGGGTGGATGCATGTCATCGTATCCCAATTACGTGGATCGATGCTCATGATTGTCTGGATTGTCTGGTCCAGACTCTATTATTTACAGACGGCCGTCATGCAGCTGGAATATTAAAAACAAACAATCAAACAAATTTAATGATATGCTCCCCATGGAACCAGTCTGTATCACTCCATCCCGATTCGTTGTGCGGGATAGTTTCCACGCTGAAACTGGTATCGTATCAGGCTGGTAGTATTTAGTGAAATAACTATCATACCAAAAGACGTTAAAAGATGGTACTTGTTGTTATCCTGTCTGGCGCTCGGCATTAAGGGGCTAAAACAATGACTGGACGGCTCGGAGTCAGTATACTGTGTCTGAGTGGGGTGTTCATGTTAAACTGCGGCATGGTATCTCAGTGAGCTAGCACTATAAATCGGCATCAGTCCGGGCCAGTACAAGCAGCCACACACACACACACACACACACACACACACACACACACACACACACACACACACATAAGTGCAATAATCTTGGACACGACGTTAAACCCAATTCACCTCACTTCACAAGCACACACACACGCACGCGCGCGAATGCACGGCGCTACATAATCTTGAGCATTAAGGGGCTAAAACAAGGAATGGTGTGCTCGGACTCAGTATACTGTGTCTGAGTGGGGTGTTCATGTTGAACTCGGCATGGTATCTCGGTGAGCTAGCACTATAAATCGGCATCAGTCCGGACTAGTTTAGTGTATAGTTTAAGAGACAAACTTTTCTGAATAGACAAAACTCGTGCAAAGGTTGTAGGGCTAGTAAATCATTGACAAACTAGTACGGTTTAGAAACATACTTGCACTGTGGAATTATTACTATATGTGTCAACCTGGCACGGAACAGTGCCATCAGCACGGCGATCCATCGACTTCCACTAAGTGCATGAGTGAGTGAGTATCGTTTTACGTCGCTTTAGCACTAATCCACGTTTTATCGCGGCGGAGACAACATAACCGTGCTTGAAACGTTGTATCCATTTGGGAAATAAAACCCGGACTTACGGTGTGACAAGCGAACGCTCTAGCCACTTGGCTCCCCGGCTTTCCCTTGAAGACCAACAAGCCAACACTGAGAACATGGACGTAGCCTTGACATATAATGTAGTTCTGAATTGATCAGGTATATTCAACAGGAATCGGGGCGGTCGGGTAGCCTCGTGGTTAAAGCGTTCGCTCGTCACGCTGAAGACCCGGGTTCGAATCCCGACATGGGTACAATGTGTGAAGGTCATTTCTGGTGTCCCCCGCCGTGATATTGCTGGAATATTGCTAAAAGCGGCGTAAAACCATACTCACTCACTCAAGAGGAATTAATAAACCCGTGTCGGTATAGAACACGACAGAAAACACTTTGTAGCTTATTTTTCAGTCAAATGATTTACAAATGATATATACAAAAGTGCTCTCAGGAACATCTGACCCTGACCCGATGGGCACAGGCGACCAAATTTGCCGATGCGTTTCCAAATCACTAAAAGCCATCTGCACATGATATTAACGACCGCCTCCGTGGTCTAGTGGTAGAGCGTCCGCCCGTCCGCCGGGACACAACTCTGCACAGCGATTTTCTTCGAATCACTGAACATTTGTTCCACATGAATGTGCTCAGTTTCATTGGGCGAGATACATTTACACTGGTAGTACATGTTCCGGGTGGAACTAATTCCATGGAGAACTGATAATCGTTTCCACTTGTCCCTTTCACCAAAGCGTTCAACGTCAATACGAGCTGCATCTTTCCGAGACAACTGAGTCAACTGACTGTAAAAGTTTCCACCCTTGCCGAACTAGGCTGGTATTTCTGGGCTCGATCGTAGCGCCACCAGTGGCTATTGCGAGTTATGCCCCTTCTATATCCCTCCTATTGACCAATCAGATTTCACCTCTCATATCACTTGCATTTGTTTCAAACAAAATGGCGATGACGAGTCAAGAAGATCTGATCGATAAATCAAAATTGTTTTTGTAATATAAAGGGTCTTATTTCGCAAAGTGCATCCAATCACGTTAGCACCTTGATTAAGAATACGATAATATCTGTCAATTTCGTTACGCGATTTTGATTAGACTATGCATAGACTCGTTTGTCAAGCCAAAATGTAACTCCATAATTGCAGCCTAGTTCGTCAAGGGTGGAAACTGGACGTTTATAGTCCGTAAACTCCCTTGCCTGGGGAAGACTGGGACAGCACACGAACAGATACAAATAAGAAGTCACCTGATACAGCACTTTCAGCCGAATTATTCTACAAAAATTTCTACTTTTTAGTGTAAAACTACCCACTAGTCTGACCCCAAGGGGGATGCACGACCTGCAGTCTTTTGGATATCCTTCCACGTGAAGCTGACACGCCATGGCATCACTGGAAATGTTGGGTTTTTTAAAGCGGCGTTAGGCCAACTCATTCTAACAACACGCTGGGAATTACTGTACCCTAGATTCCGCAGGGGGGTCTCTCATGTGAACGGCCTTCACGTTCATCATGTCTATGATGCTGACCAGACGCAGTCGTCCAATCCAATAGGTCGCAGACAACAGGAAAACAAGAATCGCTTTATCACAGCCTTTCATTTCACTTTGACAAAAGGCCAAAAGTTTGTATCGGAAACTGTTGTAGCCAGCGTTGTGCTGGCTCTGGCGTTATCAGCGTACAACGCAACTGAGTGTATTTATCGGATTAGCATCCGAATTTTCTCGTTATCTACTCTGCGGCCTTTGGGATTGATGAGAGCTATGGAATTGGTTTACTCTCTGGGGATGTTCTATAACGACAGATTTCTGAGGCTGAACATTGGACGAGTGTTTGTAGCTCACCTGAATCATATCAGATTTTGAAACATGTCCGTCACTGCAGCCTTATTAAAAACAACATATCGTCCCATTACCCATTTCACAGTGTAAAATTGTATATGTAATTTTACTTTTAACTATTTCAAATGGTTTATATACCTTCAGATGACTTTGTAATGTTGCGAATTAAACGTAAAAAGCAGGTGTTTATCTTCAGCAAGTGAATATAATATTAATCAAACCTCACTTATTTGGTCTTTTGACTGTGAGACACGTGCAATATATGTCCCCGGTATCCCATGTTTATGATAAGATAAAATAGAGGATCAGGACGAATCACACTCGGTACTGTCGAACTCAGACGGCATGGATCTTTGCTATCCACGGTGTTATCGACCCCGGACGGCATGGATCGTTGCTATCCATGGTGTTATCGACCCCGGACGGCATGGATCGTTGCTATCCATGGTGTTATCGACCCCGGACGGCATTGATCGTTGCTATCCATGGTGTTATCGAACTCAGACGGCATGGATCGTTGCTATCCATGGTGTTATCGACCCCGGACGGCATGGATCGTTGCTATCCATGGTGTTATGGAACTCAGACGGCATGGATCGTTGCTATCCATGGTGTTATCGAACTCAGACGACATGGATCGTTGCTATCCATGGTGTTATCGAACTCAGACGGCATGGACCGTTGCTATCCATGGTGTTATCGAACTCAGACGGCATGGATCGTTGCTATCCATGGTGTTATGGAACTCAGGCGGCATGGATCGTTGCTATCCATGGTGTTATCGAACTCAGACGGCATGGATCGTTGCTATCCATGGTGTTATCGACCCCGGACGGCATGGATCGTTGCTATCCATGGTGTTATCGAACTCAGACGGCATGGATCGTTGCTATCCATGGTGTTATCGACCCCGGACGGCATGGATCGTTGCTATCCATGGTGTTATCGAACTCAGACGGCATGGATCGTTGCTATCCATGGTGTTATGGAACTCAGGCGGCATGGATCGTTGCTATCCATGGTGTTATCGAACTCAGACGGCATGGATCGTTGCTATCCATGGTGTTATCGACCCCGGACGGCATGGATCGTTGCTATCCATGGTGTTATCGAACTCAGACGGCATGGATCGTTGCTATCCATGGTGTTATGGAACTCAGGCGGCATGGATCGTTGCTATCCATGGTGTTATCGAACTCAGACGGCATGGATCGTTGCTATCCATGGTGTTATCGAACTCAGACGGCATGGATCGTTGCTATCCATGGTGTTATCGACCCCGGACGGCATGGATCGTTGCTATCCATGGTGTTATCGAACTCAGACGGCATGGATCGTTGCTATCCACGGTGTTATCGAACTCAGACGACATGGATCGTTGCTATCCATGGTGTTATCGAACTCAGACGGCATGGACCGTTGCTATCCATGGTGTTATCGAACTCAGACGGCATGGATCGTTGCTATCCATGGTGTTATGGAACTCAGGCGGCATGGATCGTTGCTATCCATGGTGTTATCGAACTCAGACGGCATGGATCGTTGCTATCCATGGTGTTATCGAACTCAGACGGCATGGATCGTTGCTATCCATGGTGTTATCGACCCCGGACGGCATGGATCGTTGCTATCCATGGTGTTATCGAACTCAGACGGCATGGATCGTTGCTATCCACGGTGTTATCGAACTCAGACGACATGGATCGTTGCTATCCATGGTGTTATCGAACTCAGACGGCATGGACCGTTGCTATCCATGGTGTTATCGAACTCAGACGGCATGGATCGTTGCTATCCATGGTGTTATGGAACTCAGGCGGCATGGATCGTTGCTATCCATGGTGTTATCGAACTCAGACGGCATGGATCGTTGCTATCCATGGTGTTATCGAACTCAGACGGCATGGATCGTTGCTATCCATGGTGTTATCGACCCCGGACGGCATGGATCGTTGCTATCCATGGTGTTATCGAACTCAGACCGCATGGATCGTTGCTATCCACGGTGTTATCGAACTCAGACGACATGGATCGTTGCTAGCCATGGTGTTATCGACCCCGGACGGCATGGATCGTTGCTAGCCATGGTGTTATCGACCCCGGACGGCATGGACCGTTGCTATCCATGGTGTTATCGACCCCGGACGGCATGGATCGTTGCTATCCATGGTGTTATCGACCCCGGACGGCATGGATCGTTGCTATCCATGGTGTTATCGAACTCAGACGGCATGGATCGTTGCTATCCATGGTGTAATCGAACTCAGATGGCATGGATCGTTGCTATCCATGGTGTTATCGAACTCAGATGGCATGGATCGTTGCTATCCATGGTGTTATCGACCCCGGACGGCATGGATCGTTGCTATCCATGGTGTTATCGAACTCAGACGGCATGGATCGTTGCTATCCATGGTGTTATCGAACTCAGATGGCATGGATCGTTGCTATCCATGGTGTTATCGAACTCAGACGGCATGGATCGTTGCTATCCATGGTGTAATCGACCCCGGACGGCATGGATCGTTGCTATCCATGGTGTTATCGAACTCAGATGGCATGGATCGTTGCTATCCATGGTGTTATCGACCCCGGACGGCATGGATCGTTGCTATCCATGGTGTTATCGAACTCAGACGGCATGGATCGTTGCTATCCATGGTGTTATCGAACTCAGATGGCATGGATCGTTGCTATCCATGGTGTTATCGAACTCAGACGGCATGGATCGTTGCTATCCATGGTGTAATCGACCCCGGACGGCATGGATCGTTGCTATCCATGGTGTTATCGAACTCAGATGGCATGGATCGTTGCTATCCATGGTGTTATCGACCCCGGACGGCATGGATCGTTGCTATCCATGGTGTTATCGAACTCAGACGGCATGGATCGTTGCTATCCATGGTGTAATCGACCCCGGACGGCATGGATCGTTGCTATCCATGGTGTTATCGAACTCAGATGGCATGGATCGTTGCTATCCATGGTGTTATCGACCCCGGACGGCATGGATCGTTGCTATCCATGGTGTTATCGAACTCAGACCGCATGGATCGTTGCTATCCATGGTGTTATCGACCCCGGACGGCATGGATCGTTGCTAGCCATGGTGTTATCGACCCCGGACGGCATGGATCGTTGCTATCCATGGTGTTATCGACCCGGACGGCATGGATCGTTGCTATCCATGGTGTTATCGACCCCGGACGGCATGGATCGTTGCTAGCCATGGTGTTATCGACCCCGGACGGCATGGATCGTTGCTATCCATGGTGTTATCGACCCGGACGGCATGGATCGTTGCTATCCATGGTGTTATCGACCCCGGACGGCATGGATCGTTGCTAGCCATGGTGTTATCGACCCCGGACGGCATGGATCGTTGCTATCCATGGTGTTATCGACCCCGGACGGCATGGATCGTTGCTATCCATGGTGTTATCGAACTCAGACGGCATGGATCGTTGCTATCCATGGTGTTATCGAACTCAGACGGCATGGATCGTTGCTATCCATGGTGTTATCGAACTCAGACGGCATGGATCGTTGCTATCCATGGTGTTATCGACCCAGGACGGCATGGATCGTTGCTATCCATAGTGTTATGGAACTCAGACGGCATGGATCGTTGCTATCCACGGTGTTATCGAACTCAGACGGCATGGATCGTTGCTATCCATGGTGTTATCGACCCCGGACGGCATGGATCGTTGCTATCCATGGTGTTATGGAACTCAGACGGCATGGATCGTTGCTATCCATGGTGTTATCGACCCCGGACGGCATGGATCGTTGCTATCCATGGTGTTATCGAACTCAGACGGCATGGATCGTTGCTATCCATGGTGTTATCGAACTCAGACGGCATGGATCGTTGCTATCCATGGTGTTATCGAACTCAGACGGCATGGATCGTTGCTATCCATGGTGTTATCGAACTCAGACGGCATGGATCGTTGCTATCCATGGTGTTATCGACCCCGGACGGCATGGATCGTTGCTATCCATGGTGTTATGGAACTCAGACGGCATGGATCGTTGCTATCCATGGTGTTATCGAACTCAGACGGCATGGATCGTTGCTATCCATGGTGTTATCGACCCCGGACGGCATGGATCGTTGCTATCCATGGTGTTATCGACCCCGGACGGCATGGATCGTTGCTATCCATGGTGTTATCGAACTCAGACGGCATGGATCGTTGCTATCCACGGTGTTATCGAACTCAGACGACATGGATCGTTGCTATCCATGGTGTTATCGAACTCAGACGGCATGGATCGTTGCTATCCATGGTGTTATCGAACTCAGACGGCATGGATCGTTGCTATCCATGGTGTTATCGAACTCAGACGGCATGGATCGTTGCTATCCATGGTGTTATCGACCCCGGACGGCATGGATCGTTGCTAGCCATGGTGTTATCGACCCCGGACGGCATGGATCGTTGCTATCCATGGTGTTATCGACCCGGACGGCATGGATCGTTGCTATCCATGGTGTTATCGACCCCGGACGGCATGGATCGTTGCTAGCCATGGTGTTATCGACCCCGGACGGCATGGATCGTTGCTATCCATGGTGTTATCGACCCGGACGGCATGGATCGTTGCTATCCATGGTGTTATCGACCCCGGACGGCATGGATCGTTGCTATCCATGGTGTTATCGACCCCGGACGGCATGGATCGTTGCTATCCATGGTGTTATCGACCCCGGACGGCATGGATCGTTGCTATCCATGGTGTTATCGAACTCAGACGGCATGGATCGTTGCTATCCATGGTGTTATCGAACTCAGACGGCATGGATCGTTGCTATCCATGGTGTTATCGACCCCGGACGGCATGGATCGTTGCTATCCATGGTGTTATGGAACTCAGACGGCATGGATCGTTGCTATCCACGGTGTTATCGAACTCAGACGGCATGGATCGTTGCTATCCATGGTGTTATCGACCCCGGACGGCATGGATCGTTGCTATCCATGGTGTTATGGAACTCAGACGGCATGGATCGTTGCTATCCATGGTGTTATCGACCCCGGACGGCATGGATCGTTGCTATCCATGGTGTTATCGAACTCAGACGGCATGGATCGTTGCTATCCATGGTGTTATCGAACTCAGACGGCATGGATCGTTGCTATCCATGGTGTTATCGAACTCAGACGGCATGGATCGTTGCTATCCATGGTGTTATCGACCCCGGACGGCATGGATCGTTGCTATCCATGGTGTTATGGAACTCAGACGGCATGGATCGTTGCTATCCATGGTGTTATCGAACTCAGACGGCATGGATCGTTGCTATCCATGGTGTTATCGAACTCAGACCGCATGGATCGTTGCTATCCATGGTGTTATGGAACTCAGACGGCATGGATCGTTGCTATCCATGGTGTTATCGAACTCAGACGGCATAGATCGTTGCTATCCATGGTGTTATGGAACTCAGACGGCATGGATCGTTGCTATCCATGGTGTTATCGAACTCAGACCGCATGGATCGTTGCTGTCCATGGTGTTATCGACCCCGGACGGCATGGATCGTTGCTATCCATGGTGTTATTGAGCCCTAACCGCATGGACCGTTGTTCATGCTATGTACCAATGGTTTTATTGTCCCAGATTAGATATTGACAACATTCACTCTGCCTGTTTGCGTAAGGTGATGTATACTACATGTAGGTCCTATTTTAATCTGGAAAAACAGCAACGTTCATACAATGTCAACCAGTCACCATTACCATGTTTCAGAATCATGCTTGGTACCATCAGTCGACACCGATGTTGGAAAAGACGTCGCCAGATGGCGCTCGCTGCTGACGTCAGACGTACCTATAGGCATGGTAACATACGGGGTGTTTTACAACCCAGAGTTGTCCTTAACTGGAATCAAGTCTCCGGTCACGCTCACCAAAGATGGTAATACACCTATACTGCTGCAAAGCTCATTCAGCTGATACCGTCCAGTGTTTACTGGTCTGTCATACAGACCCTGAAACAAATATATCCAATGCAGCCCATGCAAGGCTGTAATGCAAGTCTAGATTACTGCAGTCGAAGAAAGTCTCTGGGCTCCTTTTTATTATATTTTATAACTATTATTTAACAAGTTTGTTTTTTTCTTTTAAATATGTTCATTTCAGACACTAGATGTTAGTTTAAGCGTTTAAGTTAGCATCGCTAAATGGTCCAACTGCAATAGAGTCTGTTTAATCCGTACCTCTGTTAATACCGGGCCCCAATAACGGTCCTAAATGTACTACTTATTTCATATTTCTTTATCGGCTATAATCTCAGCAATGCGGACCTCTGTCTAAACCGGACAAAACTTTCGGTTCCACAGAGGTTGTGTCGAAAAATTCCATTGTATTAGACTTATCTGACAACCGTATAGACTATGTACGCACCTGTGTCGGTAAAGCTGGTAATACCATCCTCGATTATCAATAGCATTATATCTCCATTTTGTTATGATAAATACTCTGGACCAATTTGCTTACAAACTTATTTTGACCCCAGTTCGAATTTCACGGCACTAAAAAGGCCATCCAATCAAATAGTGAGTGAGTATGGTTTTACGCCGCTTTCAGCAATATTCCAGCAATATCACGGCGGGGGACACCACAAATGGGTTTTACGCATTGTATCCACGGGGCGAATCGAACCTGGGTCTTCGGTATGACGAGCAAACGCTTTAACCGCTATGAATGTGTTGCTGTTTTTTTAACTTGTTTTGTTTAATAGGCCATTTCTTGCATATTGTTTGGTTTGGTTTAGAAATGAGAGAACGTGGTGAGCAAGCTGCAAAAGAAATGATGGCACTTGCTGAAAAGATGCCCGAAGTGAAAGAAAACATTGAACGGAAATTGAAAGGCATGGAGGAACGGAAAAACGTAATTGCCGACCCTGCGAAGGTGAAGGCCAAGATTGACCAGATACAGGCTGTGTTTGACAAGGTGGAAGAGAAGCTGAAGGAGTCGGGAGGAGGTCAGTTCTGGCGATGCCATGATAGTTCAATCTCTACCGACCCGTGGAGATCCGGGGGAAATAGGTCTTCAGCAACCCATGCTTGCCGTCAATGGTGACGATGCTTGTCGCAAGAGACGACTAACGGGATCGGGTGGTCAGGCTCGCTGACTTGGTTGATGCATGCCATTGTATCCCAATTGCGTGCATGGATCGATGCTCATGATGTCAATCACTTGATTGTCTGGTCCAGACTCGATTATTTACAAACCGCCGTCATATAGCTGAAATTTGCTGAGTGCGGCGTTAAACAACAAACAATCAGTCAAGAATCAACAACCAATCTCTGTCTTCAAATCCTCTACTTAGCTATTTGACCAAGTCTCCGCGAAATCGTAGCTGTAGAGTGCTCCGATTTTACTATCCGGCATCCAATTGTCGCTATTATTAGCTGCCAAATCGTAGCTTTATACTTGGTTACAATGTCGCTGCAACCTGGACCTGGTCATGGCATTGTTTGTTTCTTGTATGTTTCCGTGTTTTTTTCAGGTGAACAATTGTGTTTGTGACGTATGACGTGGGATACGTTCACCTTTTCGCGAAGACCTGGTATCATCACAATTTGATAGTTGTTCACAGACACATGCTAAACACATAGTCAGATTCATACACGAGAGATACTGATTCTGGAAAGGGGTTTGTCGATTTCATTTAACCCCGTTCACGTTTCTGACAGAATAGATTCCATGTACTCCATCATGGCCATCTTTGTCGTAAGAGCGAATTATTCGGGGTGTTTGCATCTTCCCGAGGCAAGTGAGTTAACTGACTATAAAAGTCCAGTTTCCACCCTTGCCGAACTAGGCTGGTATTATGGAGTTACAATTTGGCTGGACTAACGAGTCTTTGCATAGTCCAATCCAAATCGCGCACCGAAATCGAAATCCGGTTCGTTAACTGTCGTGCAGATTTCGGTCGATTGCAGGATTGGCAAAACATGTGCACCGCCAACTCGTTGTCAGCAGATATTTTCCAAATCATTTCATGTGTTTAATCAAGGTGCTCACGTGATTTGATGTATTTTGCGATGTAAGACCCGTTTTATCACAATATAGATCTTGATTATCGATCAGATCGTCCTGACTGGGCGCCACCATTTTGGGTGAAACAAACGCGAGTGATACGAGAGGTGGAATCTCATTGGTCCATCAGAGAGGCTTAGAGGGGACATAACTGGTAATAGCCACTGGTGGCGCTATGATCGAGTCCAGTAATTCTAGCCTAGTTCGGCAAGGGTGGAAACTGGAAGTCAGTTTACTCTCTTGCTTCGGGAAGATGGGATATTTGGTGGTAATGGGTTGCTGAAGACCTATTCTACCCCGGGTATGCTGAGTATGACGATTCTTTGGGGTGACATGGGTAAGGGTCTCATGGTGGCATAGTACACCCAGGGATCCTACGTATTTCACGTGATTCTCATCCAACATGCTCCAAATCATATTTCATGAGTCCTATTTGAGCAAAACATTTTTATTTGTCAGGTACTTGTTCCTACAAATGTTCCATGTGGCTTTAACAGCAGTTGTAGATCAGGGTTTTTTTCATTGTGACGTGTTTCAAGCAAAATAATATTCATGGTGTGATTGTCTGTGGTCATGAACTAAGAAACCCTGTATACCGATATCATGGAACGTGCTCTTTTGGTATCTGCATGGCTCTTTGTCGTGAAACCTCTGTGTCATTGCTAAAGGTGAAGGTCACATTCAAGGTTATAATACTATTTGCTCATGTTAAATACAATTTGAAGTGAGACGAGTGACACGCTGCACGATGTTTCATAAAGTGCAGACTTTCAGGGTCTCACACTATGAGATCATTTGACGTTGAAATCATGAGATGTTTTGCAAAATGCAAACATTTCTAGATTTTCAACTGGAACATGTTTACTTCTCCAAGCCTCGGGCGTTATCACTGATTGAAAATAAAATGAGGTAATCTGTCTCTAACATCCCACTCAAATCCGTGGTTTTGCCAACCAGTGCGAGGGGGTTTTAGCCATGGCGGTGACTAAGCCAGTGTCAGGTCATGAACATAACGGGGTCACAGGTGGCCCAGTCATCTAAGGCGCCGCGATTCACTGTACAGAGTTGCGTTCCTTTGGCACGCTAGAAACCTATGAGTGTGGGTTCGAATCCCGATTCGCCCCGATTATGTTTCTAAGTTTGTCAGAACCATACCCGTGCTCGTGGGTTTCACCAAAGTGGTAAACGTCTGAGACCTGTATCACTTGGGGCTTTCCTCCCACATTAAGCTGACACGCCGTGATATAACTGGAATACTGTTAAAAGCGGTGTTTAACCCAAATCACTCACACACTCTTCTTGACATCTGATAAAAATGTTTGAAAATCTAAAGTAATGCGATTCAATGCCAGAAACTATGATGCCAAGTTCAAATCCTGGTTTGGTCAAGTCTCTAGGTTGGTCACTCATCTCTACGGTCACACATTTCACTTATGTACATCAGTTAGACGTATATCCTGGAAATGAACACCAGGCCGTGAACCACAGCACCGCATTAGAACATGAACACTGCCGGGAAATACGACGTCATATCCGGACAGGAACAGGACAACACCGGAAGTGCACGATTGAAACTGCCCTCGGGTTGCGTAGACTTGTAATATCCCCTCGTTTCACCTCGAATGCAATATTTAATGTTGGCACGGACTGAAATAACCGCGGTTATTTAGGTCCGTGCTGTAGGCTAATTACTTCATCATGGTTATACGTGACAGGGAGACATCGTTGTTTATTAATGTTTACCCTTTTGTTGCAGACGCGTGGTTGTGTGGCAGCGACTACAGTGCCGCTGACATCTCACTGACCGTACTCATCAACAGACTGGTGCTTCTGGGTATCCTGCCGATGTTCCTCACGGAAACACGCCCCCTGGTGGCGGCATTCTGGGAGAGGGCTGAAGCGCGTGAAAATATGAAACAAATGAGGGCGTTCGCTTTAAAATACGCACAGGAGCAAGCCGCTAAACAGCCGAAATAATGTATACATATGTGCAAAGTGACGATTCCCCCTCACTTTTTAATGTTGTTATGTATGTCAATATGTGTTGTTGCTTTTTTTATCTGGTTTCATATGAACAGTTCCATATATACTCTTAAAGTTGCGAAATGCATACACACTTATATATAAAGTCATTGCTGAACCGTTTCGTATCTTCTTAATTTCTTAATTTCCAAATGTGATGTTGGGATTTCAATCTCATTACAATGAGATCTTAGTGCTCGCAAAAGAACTGAGATACTAGTATAAGATCAAGGACAACCGATGGTGATTGGAAGTGACTGACCACACGAATCATGGACCGACAATACTCAGTACTTGCTCTACAGGAGACGACTAAACTAAGGTACCCTGCCGATGTTTCTCACGGAAACACGCCCCCTAGTGGCGGCATTCTGGGAGATAGCTGAAGCGCGTGAAAATATGAAACAAATGACCGAACCATTCCGTTAGTCGCCTCATGCGACAAGCATAGTCGGCATTTACGGCAAGCATAGGTTGTTGAAGATCTATTCTACCCCGGATCTTCTCGGGTCGAGAGGTAATTAAGAATATGGATGGACACAACCGTAAGACTCGATTATTAACAACATTCACTCAATGTCATTTCCAATTTCGAACACTGATGGTCCCATACACTTTGCAAGATTAAGATTTAAATGATGATATTGTTTTCATTCAAAGCAGGTTAAGCGCAACTCCCTCACTCACGATATATGGAAACGTTTGAAGCATTCCGGCGCATTGAACCATACCACGATTGTTTGTTTTTTGTACGCAAATTTCCTGCTTGAGGACCAACCAAAGAATAATGAAACCTGTTCTTCTCGTGTATCCGCTGTCACAGAATCAGGTCCCCATTAAATGAGGTGAAATGGGGTTTAACGTCGCGTTCAAGATTAATACACGTGTATGTAGGGTGAGGTGAGGTGAAATGGGGTTTAAAGTCGCGTTCAAGATGAATGCACGTGTATATAGGTCGAGGTGATGTGAAATGGGGTTTAAAGTCGCGTTCAAGATGAATGCACGTGTATATGGGGTGAGGTGAGGTGAAATGGGGTTTAACGTCGCGTTCAAGATAAATGCACGTGTATATGGGGTGAGGTGAGGTGAAATGGGGTTTAAAGTCGCGTTCAAGATGAATGCACGTGTATATAGGGTGAGGTGAGGTGAAATGGGGTTTGACGTCGCGTTCAAGATGAATGCACGTGTATATAGGGTGAGGTGAGGTGAAATGGGGTTTAACGTCGCGTTCAAGATGAATGCACGTGTATATGGGGTGAGGTGAGGTGAAATGGGGTTTAACGTCGCGTTCAAGATGAATGCACGTGTATATGGGGTGAGGTGAGGTGAAATGGGGTTTAACGTCGCGTTCAAGATGAATGCACGTGTATATGGGGTGAGGTGAGGTGAAATGGGGTTTGACGTCGCGTTCAAGATGAATGCACGTGTATATGGGGTGAGGTGAGGTGAAATGGGGTTTAACGTCGCGTCCAAGATCATTGGACTTATTTAGGGACGTGCATTCAGGGCCTAATGAATGTTGCATGCTGCCATAAAGCCACTGATATATCATGCTGCAGTATAACATGGAGACCCCACTCCGACACATTATATTGCCTGCGAGCCGATCAGTCCTTGTTTTATCCGCTTAATGCCGAACGCCAGGCAGGGTATCAACAAGTACCATCTTTTAACGTATTTTGGTTTGACCCGACAGGGGATCGAACTAACGACTTTCCACTCTCGGGCAGACGCTCCATCCACTAGACCATAGAGGCGTCTCACTTATTTGAAGATATTGGTACGCTGTAACCTCGTTAACTCCATGTCTTATTGAACCAGACAGTACATGTCGAATTATCCGTAGCTCGAGACATCCAGAGTGCTGATATGAGACAAAAATAATTATGAATATATTTATAAAATCGCTAAATTCCACACACTAGTCTATGCTCAAAGCGCTACACCATCATTTCTCCCGCCATTTGCGCAGTGGGCTCTCCGGTGTCATTTTCAGCTCCCTGAAGAAAAACATATGCAACACCAGCAGCCTATGAGGCGCTAGAAAGTTAACAGACACACTGACATCAAATCCTACTGCGAGGTGAACATATTCATATTTCAATGAAAGTCACTTGCCTAAGTAGACACTAACATGTGTTCCAGTAAGGGGCAGACCGAAACTCTTAGGAGTTATAGCTTGTCCCCAATCACCCATCCACCTACTCTCCGCGACTAACAGTGAACGTTTCAAACGATATCAACATAAATGAGTTGATGACCTGTAGAGCATACGCATGTGTGTTCTGCCATCAGTAAGCATAATCAATAAATAAACATAGCTAATTATGAACTCATGACATTTCCCATATGACAATGAAGGGCACGTTAGTTTGTATGATGCGATATACATTTATGTAATATATAATAATTTATGTGTCATGTGATATATACTGCTAATATGTCATACAGACCTTGAAACAATTATATCCAATACAGCCCGTAATAGTTTACCTTATAGATTGTATGGTGTTTGTTTTTGTTATGGTTTATGACACACTCAGCAATATTCCAGCTACATGACAGCGGGTCTGTAAATAATCGAGTCTGAACCGGACAATCCAGTGAATGACATCGTGAACATCGATCTACGCAATAGATATACGATGGCATGCATCAGCCAAGTCACTGGATCTACCTCCGGTTATAGTGTATCTTTATTGGACAAAACCCGCACCTATTTGGCATCAAATTATGTAATCAAATACGCAAAATAATATTTCAAAACAAGCACAATTTTTTTCGATATTTGGCATGTATTTGTTAATTAGTATGTGATTATTTCTCTTCATCTCGTCTCAGAATTATACAATAAAAGATGAGCTGTAAGCTCATTTGATATAGAATTATCAGTATACGGTTCGAACCAACGGGGCACGTGGCACGGTTTATACTTTTCATACTTTTTTTTACATTTCTTGGAGAAATAAAGTAGACAGTTTTATACCCTGGTGAACCCACTGATTATATAATACAAAACGCGAGGAATAATTCGTAAATCGTTTGTGATTAAGGTGCACCTGGTGAATCGTTAGACATCGCCGTTCTTAAACAATTCCAAGACCAAGACAATTCTTCTATAACTGTGTGCTAGATATTTAACCAAAATAATTATCCCTTTGTTAAAATAATAAATTCAGTTTTAGCTTTTAAAAAAATGAAAAGGGTATTCATTAACCTGTTGTTTAACGCCGCACTCAGCATTATTCCAGCTATATGACGGCGGTCTGTAAATAATAGAGTCTGGACCAGACAATCCAGTGATTAATATCATGGGCATCGACCCACGCAATTGGGATCGATGACATGCTTCAACCAAGTAAGCGAGCCTGACCACCCGATCCCGTTAGTCGCCTCTTACAGCAAGCACAGTCGCCTTTTACGGCAAGCATGGGTTGCTGAAGACCTATTCTACCCCGGATCTTCACGTGTCTTATGTTGATGTAGATTTGGCACATCTTTTACACAATTCTTTCACACACTTAATTTCCTTTTGAATATTCATCAGTATTCAATATGATATCGTACGTATATATCCATAGGCCACAAAGGTATGAACCTTTGATAATCTCCTGTTTGTTTGAACATTGTTTACATAAGACAGCCGTCATTGCTGGAATATTGCTGAGTGCGGCATAAAACAACAAACAAACATGAGCACCAGGCCGCGAGGTTCACTAGGAACCCGTTGCAGAACATGGTTATTTCGGTTCGTGATTACAGTAATAAATGTCTGGAGAGGTGAGAATTTCATATTCTACAATCTGTATCCAGAGTTATATCTTCGGGATATTGGTATGTCCACCCTACACGATCACACTGTCACATGCAAAAACGAAATTGAATATGAAGAAGAAAAGGAATGAAAAAGTTTCTGGAGATGCGGGGTATCGATCCCCGTACCTCTCGCATGCTAAGCGAGCGCTCTACCATCTGAGCTACATCCCCATCTGAGAATAACAGGAAGATTTTAAAAACTGATAGCCCATGTTTCATATTCGGCACGCACGAGACCTGTCGATGTATTTATTTATTGTTGTTTTGTGATGTTGGTACGTTTTGCCATTGTTTTCTTTGTAATTATTTCTCCAAAGTCTGCGTTGTGTTAATCTTGATACGGAAGTGACCTTAAATGTGACCTTCAACTTTGGTCAAGGTCGAGGTCACTGTTTCAGTAAACATGAATGACTCCAAATTCACCCTGTTTTACTTCCCGACTTCGTATTATTCACAGAAGGTATCAACTTTACTACATGTATTATGCAACACAGAATTCGTCTATTCATATAACTAACGGACGTATTGGATAACCAAGACTCGTGATTGTTATTCAAGTGATGCTAGGCACATTATTGTGAATGCACGCATGTGTCTGTCGAACACTCACTGACAGTGCAGATCAAGTTAGCCGCAACAGTCCGTCTTCTTCGGCACTGAGGGACTATATAGCTTGTATCACTGCCTGATAGCTTGAATATTTCATTTTCTGATAACTTGGTAGTTGATTTTCATATATGTGATTCCAGATAGTAGATTTGGACATTAGTGTGTTGAGAACAAGACGACACAAAGGTTAGGGCCTACATGGGCTGCAATGTGCTCTTCTTTCATTGCCTTTTGGCCCGTGAATATCCGGGGTAGAATAGGTCTTCAGCAACCCATGCTTGCCGTGAAAGGCGACTATGCTTGTCATAAGAGGCGACTAACGGGATCGGCTGGTCAGGCTCACTGACTTGGTTGATGCATATCATCCTATGCCAATTGCGTGGACCGATGCTCATGATGTCAATCACTTGATTGTCTGGTCCAGATTCGATTATTTACAGACTGCCATTATATAGCTGGAATATTGCTGAGTGCGGCGTAAAACAACCAACCAACCAGTCATATGAACAGGTTAATGAATACCCTTTTCATTTTATTTTAAAGCTAAAACTGAATATATTATTTTAACAAAATGGATAATCTTTTTTTGTTAAATATCTAGCACACAGTTATAGATGAATTGTCTGGGCCTTGGAATTGTTTATGCTGTTTGATAAACAGAACGGTGATGTCTAACTATTCGCCAGGTGCACGTTAATCACAAACGATTTACGAATTATTCCTCGCGTTTTGTATTATATAATCAATAGGTTCAAATAAACAAACAAATCATTGCCTTTTGGAATAACTTCAAGAACCTTCAATGATATTATTTCAGAAAGAAAAACGCAAAATTAATAGTAGCACAGTGTTAATGTCATCAATACATAGCACAACAAAGGTTGTGGAGCAATACCACTACACCAAGGAAGGGGTCTGAACTGTTCTAATCATTCCTTTACTTCAAATTCATCACCTTTTACCCACATTCATGAGGATAGTGATGCAGTTCATTTCTAGGGTAAAAACATGACAATTACAGACAGTAGAGATCATGGCTGGGATGGGTACTCTGGTTGGGTGGGTCCTGAGTAGGACCCGGTACCCACAGGACAACCAGGACCCTTAGTTAGTCATGTGATTTATTGTTTAATGATAATAACAATAAACCATGGTTACACTACAAGTTGCTAAATGTTCACATTTCCATATGATGCATTCCTTCTGACTTTTGTATGTTTGAATGAAGATAAATCTTCAGTCAACTTCAGTGTATGCATGAAGAAATTGTTTTATGTATCTTTTTATGTAATGTAATTATGTTTTATGTAATTTTTTCTTGCCAGGGCTCCAGTAAAACAATTATCAATCAGACATTTAGTACCCAACTTGAGACCGACAGCAGGTATACGGGAGGGTCAGGTTCCAATCTCATTAAAATCTAATCTTAGTTCTCGCTATCACTAAACAAAGATCTGAAGACATCCCATTAGGGGTCACGTCAGAACGAACTTTCATCCAGCCAATCAGAGCGTCGCTTACCAGATCATGAAAGTGACATTCCGAATGTGAATTCTGATAATGCAACCTCGAAAACTTCAACACAGGGATATTCCGAAAGATAGTTACGGGTTTAGCGACTGAATCCATACAATGTAGACCATCTATTAGCCATTCCTGAATGTTCTTTTGTTCAGGTTTCAAATTTGTAATCGAGAATTTATCAAAATATTGTTTCGAAGCGTAGTGGCCAATTTGAAATTAGTGCCGTAAAGCACAAGAAAGCTGCCTTCTGATTGGCTAATGTCGACTTCTTGTCAGTCCTTCTAACGGTCGGTCATAGTTCGCGCAAGGTCAGTCTGACGTGACCCGTAATGGGATTTCCTGAGATCTTTGTTTAGCGGAAGCGAGAACTAAGATCTGATTTTTATGAGATTGGGTCAGGTACCTGGTTAGTAAATTTGGACTCATCCCAGCCCAAGCAGAGATGTTATTTATTGTCATGACCATTAATCAACCGATCTGTCTTTGTCAGTATGGCATTGTTTGCTGTATGACAATGTTATTCCATGATGAACAGACAGGCTCTACATTTCTTAATTCATTCTGAACATCTCTTGTGGCCTGAGTAGTAGGGCTGGGACGAGTCCAAATTTACTACCCGGGTACCCACCTCCCTTTTACCCAACCCTACCCGGGTACCCACTGTAGGTCTCAGGAGATGTTTCAAAATGTCCGATTGGGAAATTTTTAGCATAGCCCTGGCATGCCATAGTTAGATAGATGTATTAAACAATCTGGTCATTCATACACTGAAGTTGAATTAAGTTATATCTTTATTCAACCATATGAAAAATCAGAAGGAATGGGTGCACAGTCAGAAAAAAATGCAAACATTAGTGACTTGCAGTGTTACCATAGAGTTCTAGATATTTTTTATCATTAAACAATATATCACGGGTCCGGGTAGTCCTGTAGGTCCCCGGGTCGGGTGGATACGGAGTAGGACCCGGGTACCCACAGGACTACCCGGACCCGTGGTTAGTTACCCGTCCCAGCCCTACTGAGTAGTATACCAAGTGTACAAACTGATTGTTGAAAATGGTGCATGCAATCTCATTAAAATCAGATCTAAGTTCTCCCTGCTGCTAAACAAAGATCTGAGGACATCCCATTATGGGTCACATCAGAGTGACTTTTCGCGAACTTTGACCCACCACTGAAATGACTAACAAGAAGTCGACATCAGCCAATTTGAAAGCAGCTTTCTTGAGTTTTACGGCACTCGTTTCACCCTGTTGACTTCCATTTCAGACTATGTTTGAAAAATATGTCAACACTCTCCTTGATTAAAATTTTGAAAACTGAACAAACGAACATTCCGGAAGGTCTAATATAAGGTTGAGATTGTATGGCAGTGGTTCCCACGTACTGAGCAGTGCCTACTCCGTTCAAATGTTTATCCCACGGAAGCGAGAGAGAGACGATAATTTTGACAGAATCAGTCATACGGGCCGTAACTGTCGTTCGGAATACACTGTGTTAACGTTTTCGAGTTTGCATGATTAGAAAACACATTCCGACTGTCACTATCATGATCTGGTAAGCGACACTTTGATAGGTCGGATGAAAGGTCGTTCTGACATGACCCGTAATAGGATGTCCTCAGATCTTTGTTTAGCGATAGCGAGAACTGAGATCTAATTTTAATGAGAATGTGGTGCATGGTGATGAAAATGTCAATCATTGGATTGTCTGGTCCAGCCTCGATTATTTACAGACCGCCATCATATAGCTGGAATATTGCTGAGTGCGGCATTAAACAACAAACAAACAAACAAACAAAACATCATGATTCATAAAATATGTCTGGGAATTCAGAAAACTATTAAAGGTATTATTTTTATCAAGCGCATAGTTAAAACATATCTAGAGTTTATAGATGTTTTAAAAGTAGTTGTTGTTGTGTGTTTGTTGTTTAACGCCGCACTCAGCAATATTCCAGCTATATGACGGCGGTCTGTAAATAATCGAGTCTGGACCAGACAATCCTGTGATTGATATCATGAGCATTGATCCACGCATTTGGGATCGATGACATGCATCAACCAAGTCAGCGAGCCTGACCACCCGATCCCATCAGCGGCCTCGTACGACAAGCATAGTCACCTTTTACGGCAAGAATGGGTTGCTGAAGACCTATTCTACCCCGGAATCTTCACGGGTCTGTTTTAAAAGTATTCTTGTTGGCATGATTACATTCCACATTATGAATGCCCTGTGGCACTCTTAAGTAAACAAACATTTCTATCACTGGAACAACAAAATATCTTTATGAAAGTAAGAATGGGTGTGTCTGCTGCAGGTGCTGATCGCGCTGAAAGAGAAGAATGTCCGCTTCCAGCTGCGCATGGTCAACATCCTCAACCTGGAGCAGACCCAGGCCTGGTACATGAGGATGAACGCCAGCGGCACCGTGCCGGTACTCAAGGATGGGGACAAGATAGTGAAGGAATCTGAAGACATCATCAACTATGTGGACCGGGCAATTCCTGGCGGTAAACAGAAAATAGTTTTTGAGATTTGGTGGGGGAAAAAGAAAAAGAAAATCAAATTGAAGAAAATATTTAAGATAAACACATTTTAATTTTGTTCTCAGAAACCACAAGGAATCTCGTTCAGGAATGTGGAACATCGATATGCCATTTAGCAGCACAATGGGATTCAGGTTTATTCATGCCAGTATGATGAACAAATATCTTTAAATATGGTAAAAATCTTAAAAGAATCTGCTTCTCCTGAACCCCTAGACACAGAGAACTGAAACTTTAAGATGTGTGGAACTATAATGTGACTGATTTTTTCATGGCATGAACTTGAAAAACTAATAGTTTTTTTTTTTTTAATTAACAAAATATCCTGTTGCTGAAAATGTTTGCATCATCTTCTCAGGAAGAAAATGGTTCAGTGAGCTGCTATTAATGAGGACATGTAGCTCTTTACATGTTCTACACACTTAATAATAAAATTCAGATAAAGCATGAATGAAATTACTGAAGAATCACAGTGATCAAACTGTAAATTTGAGTAGATGAAAATGATAAGCATTAAGTCTCATCCTCTTTATATAAGTCCTGTGGAAAACAAGTCACCCCAGCCAAGCCATCAGGATAATTATATTAACATGAACAGTGAAATTGTTCTTCCCATCTGGGGATTTTTTCCTGACTCTTTTTACACACTTGTGGCCAAGTATCAGCCTCTGAACAGGTCTAGATATTTCCATATAATGTTCACATTTTTAAACTTATCCTATCTCACACCATTTACATGTATTTCTTCTTTCAATCCTATGTGGAAGCATGCTTGAACAAAGTTTCCAGCTTCTAAAACAATTCACCCAAACACACCAAGCATCACCATGGTAACTATCCAAACAAATAGTTTTGGCCATACAGGATATTGAGAACAGATGACCTTCACCTTGAAAATCTACTGTTCCATGTGTGCCATATGGAACCTGGGTCAATGCCAATGATGTGTGCCAATTTTGAACAATTAATTACCATATGGTGATTATTTATAGGATATATAAAATATACATCTAAAACCACTTTTTGCGTTTCTTTTAAAGGAATGAATAATAGTTTATGAAAGGCCACATATAGTTTTGTGAAATTCACGACGTAATTTGTCTCTCTTTTATATTTTTATGCGCAGATGTTCGTCTGGTTCCTGGTACAGAATCAGAGATGGGACGACAGGTGGAGAAATTTCGCAAACTGATGGATAAAATTCCCATAGACAAAATAACATATGGCATTTTCTTCAACAATGAGCTGTCAGCTCCAGGCGGCCACATTCCTCCCCCATTTAGGCAGTCAAGAAAAGGTAGGAGTCCTGTGTTCAAGTTTAACACATTGATTATGCTTGTGTTTGTGTACCTGGTCGGGGCTCCAAATATGTTTTTTTACCCTTTGAGTATTTACTCACACGTTATCATTCACACTGGGTATTGATAGTTTGTCTTGGGTACTCCCTTGGGGCCAGTCTAGTGGTAAGTTTTACACTAAAAAGTAGAATTTTTTGTAAAATAATACAGCTGAAAGTGCTGTATCAGGTGACTTCTTATTTGTATGTGTTCGTGTGCTGTCCCATTCCTCCCGAGGCAAGTGAGTTAACTGACTATAAACATCCAGTTTCCACCCTTGCCGGACTAGGCTGCAATTATGGAGTTATATTTTGGCTGGACTAAAGAGCCTGTGCATAGACCAATCAAAAGCATGTGGCGTAATCAACATCTGGTCCGTAATATTGCTGTGCAGAGTTCGTTCGATTGCAGGATTTGCAAAACATTTGTACTATCAATTTAGAGTCAACAGATATTTTGCAAATCTTATCATATTTTTAATCAGGGTGCTCATGCAATTTGATACAATTCTCGAAGTAAGACCCGTTTTGTTACAATATAGATCTTGATTATCAATCCTATCATCTTCACTGGGCGCTGCCAATGCAAATGCAAGTGATCATGAAAGTGACAGTCGGAATGTGATTTCTCATCATGCAGCCTCGAAAACTTTAAAACGGGGTATTCTGAACGATAGTTACGGGCTTAACGACTGAATCTATACAATCTAGACCATATATTAGCCATTCGAGAATGTTCTTTTGTTCAGGTTTCAAATTTTTAAGCGAGAATTTGTCAAAATATGTTTCGAAGCGTAGTCGCCAATTTGAAATTAGTGCCATAAAGCATGAGAAAGCTGCCTTCTGATTGGCTAATGTCGGCTTCTTGTCAGTAATTCCATTGGTCGGTCAGAGTTAGCGATAGGTCGGTCTGACGTGATCCATAATGGGATGACCTCAAGAACTAAGACGCAGCAGCAAGAACTAAGATCTGATTTTGATGAGATTCTTACAAGCCACAGAGCATCTTCCTAAACATACAATAATGATCATGATAATGATTTATCTTTTGCGAACAATGAAATAGTTCGTGTTTTTAAAATGTTTGTTGAAAATTGTAGATCTGGAAGCCAAGATTCTGAAAGGGGCTGTAGACACAGCCAAGCTAGCGGAGCGCCACCTAGATCTGCGAGATGCTTACCTGACTAAGAGCCAGCTGATGTCCGACAGGCTCAACTTCCTGATGGACAAGTCCCGTGTGGAGGAAGTCCTGGATGACTTGGAGAAGACCTGTGATGTGTTGGAGGAACAGCTGAAGAAGATGAAGATCGGTGAGTCATGACATGGTCTTGGTGTGATCACTTGCTGGTCAATAGGCTGGAGTCAGTGAAACTGAGTTACAGCCCAGTCGTTTACATCTTCCCGAGGCAAGGGAGTTAACTGACTATAAAAGTCCAGTTTCCACTATGCCGGAATTATGGAGTTATATTTTGTCTGGACTAACGAGTTTATGCATAGTCCAGTCAAAATCGCGTAATGAAATCGACATCCGGTTAGTAAACTGCTGTGCAGACTTCGGTCAACTGCAGGATTTGCAAAGCATGTCAACCGTCAACTTAGTGCCAACAGATTTACCAAATCTTTTCATGTTTTAAATCTAGGTGCTCATACGATTTGAAGCACTTCACGAAGTAGGACCCGTTTTACTACAATATAGATTATGATTATCAATTACATCTTTTTCACTGGGCGCCGCCATTTTGTTTGAAGCACATGTAAGTGATATCAGAGGTGGAATCTGATTGTTCAACAGGAGGGACATAGAAGGGACATAACTCGTAATAGCCACTGGTGGCGCTACGATCAACCCAGAAATACCAGCCTAGTTCGGCAAGGGTGGAAACTTTTCCTTTTGCAGTCAGTTAACTCCCTTGCCTTAGGAAGATGAATCTTTAAGCCATTACAAGACTTGTTTACTGGTATTTTAACTAATAAAGAAAGTGAATATGAGTTCTCGAATCATTACGATGGCTTTGTAATGCGCAGTTCTGCCAATCTGGACGGAATTGTTCCTTGTGAAATTTCAAGATCAACAAGTCATGGTACAGTCATGGTAGTCTCCCTTTGTTAATGTTTTCATGGTGGGATTTCTAGACTCATTTTAGTTATGGTATATATACAGGGTTAGATCTTAACACTAGCCAGCTGGCCCAGGGCTTGTACAAATTCATGCAGGCCAGTAAAATTTTCCAAATTTCCCCATTGTTTTAACATTAGGAGGGCATTTGATCATTACCAGGGCTAGTAAAGGTTTGGAGTTTAGTTCAAACCCTAATATACAGTTTTGTTATTTATGCTCATGCTGGACTGTAGATAAGAAATGTTGGTACAGTACAGACGATCATTTACTGCAGAACAATCTGATGAGACATGGCTGTGTGGGCCCAACTATACTGCTGCCGACCTCACCCTGACCTGTCTCCTGGGCAGACTCATCTTTGTGGGGCTGGGTGACCGATACTTCCCTAAGGAAAAACGGCCCAACCTGTGGGCTTACTGGTGCCGGACACAACAACGATCTAGCACGCGGGAAGTGGTCCTGGGGGCTGGGAAGTTCTTGGCCAAATATATCATCCAGGAGAAAGCTAAGTGCGTCCTGCCGGTCATTGGTGGTCTTGCCACAGTGGGGCTGGCCGCTGGTCTAGCTGCCTTCCTCATACATAAATACAAGTAACGGACACTGAGGAGATATGAGCCATATACTATAAGGTGTTGCATAATAAGGTTTTATTACTGAAGACACTGAACCTACACACACAATGACTTTGAAGTGCACTTGTTGTAGCATTATTTTAATAACAGCCTAAACTACGAGTTTTTGTTATTTGGTATATGAGAACTATTTATTTTTCAATATTCAATATGTATTATCCCATTCCTATGAAATATGTTTGTGATACTTAAAGCCAAATTATGATTCCTTGGTCCAGTATCATGTTCTACTTGACACGCCACTTATTTTACAGTTTTATTTTGGTAAATCTGTCGTGTTTTGAAATTTTCCCAATCTCATTCAAATCACATCAAAGTTCTCGCTGCTGCTAAACAAAGATCTGAGGACATACCATTATGGGTCACGTCAGAATGACCTTTCACGAACTTTGGCCAACAACTGAAACGACTCACAAGAAGTCGACATCAGCCATTTAGAAAGCAGCTTTTTCAAGCTTTACAGCACTCGTTTCAACCTGGCGACTTCCATTTCAGACTATGCTTGAAAGATATGTTGACACAGTTCTCGATTAAAATTTTGAAAACTGAACAAATGATCATTCCGGAATGTCTAATGTATGGTTCAGATTGTAAGGCAAAGCTTCCCGAGTACTGTGCAACGCCTTCTCCATTTAAATGTTTATCCCACGGAAGCGATAGATAGACGATCATTTTTACGGAATCAGTTGTACAGGCAGTAACTGTCGTTCGGAATACCCCGTGTCAACATTTTCGAGGTTGCATGATTAGAAAACACATTCCGACTGTCACTTTCTTGATCTGGTAGGCCACGCTTTGATTGGTCAGATGAAAGGTTGTTCTGACGTGATCCGTAATGGGATGTTCTCAGATCTTTGTTAAGCGATAGCGAGAACTAAGATCTGATTTAAATGAGTTTGAAATTTTCAAGCATTTTTGTTTTCAATGTTTTTGATCTCTCTATACATGCCTTGCTATCAGGTTATTGTCATAATTTGAAGAAAAGATTTGAAATATTGCTTTGTGTACCCAAAAGGTGTTGGTGAATCTCATTAATGTTATTGTATTGTTAGAGTTTTCAAGCATCCATGACCATGTTTTGTATCAAATGTTCACAGACATTGCAGGGACTTTGTATTGATGTAAGTCCTACATTTGTTTTTTGTTGTTTTTTACTTTCATGCAAAATGGTTTGTTGTTTGGGGTGAATACCTTGGGTTTTTTTTTAAAATCCCATGTCCAGTGTTGTTTTGACATTGGTGTTTGTAATGTGTACAGCCAAAGTGATGTATTTGATATCCACAACTGATGCAAGTGTTAAATAGTTGATATATGATACTGTCGTGCAGTTGGTTAAACAATAAGTCTGGAAATTTTATGTTTGAAAAAGGAAACTGTTAGAACAAAACTTGAAAAAAAGGGCATTGGCATGAGAAATACTGTTATGTTCCAACTCTAGAGGGCCCAGTCGTCTAAGGCGCCGCGATTCGCTGTGCAGAGTTGCATCAGTGGACACGCCAGAAACCTATGATTGTGGGTTCGAATCCCGGTTCGCCCCGAATATGTTTCTAGGTTTGTCAGCACCATACCCGTGCTCGTGAGTTTCACCGAAGTGGTAAACGGCTGAGACCTAAATCACTTGAGGCTTTCCTCCCACATTAAGCTGACACGCTGTGATATAACTGGAAAACTGTTGTAAACCCAACTCACTCACTCACTCCAATTCGAGATTTGTAATGGAATTTATTTATGCCTATTATTTACATATAAGTTGCCAACTCGTGCTATTGGGACCAACTGTCAACAAAGTACATTGGAAATTATTTCATTCAAAATATGTTATTTGTAAATGTAAAATCCTGCAATGTAATGAAAATAATGATCATTTGTATTAATATCGTACTATAGACTGACATCCGAATTGAGGGGGATGTGGTATGATATATGGTGTGATGTACTGTGTGAGCCTATGTACCGCGAGCCAAGCATCATTCACATCATACCATATGCCCTGAGGGATCGGGTGACAATGAAAGTATCCTACCTAAATTCATTCACACAAGTTCTTGAACATATGTTCAGTTCAGAGTCAGCAAAACACATATCAGATAGCACAAATGAACTGAGTTACTTCCCTTTATCCAATGCATTCAGATAACCATGGGTTCAATTCAGAAACTCAGCAATACTTAGATAAGAAAGTTTCCTAAAATGTGTTCCAATTGATTGCTCAGTGGGCTACATGGAAAATAATTGCCCTTTCCGTAACCAGTCAGAAACTAGTATTTCAATGTAAGGTAAGATAACTCATCTTATCATACCTCCATGGCAGAATGATGAGATCTGATTGGTCCATGTGATCTTGATACTGTGTATCCCGCCTTGGAGGGGAATAAATGTCTCAGCGGGAGAATAAATCTCTTATACCCCGACACAAGCAATACAGACTGCATGTGGAATACTCGGAGACAGAATAAATCCCTTAAAACCCGCTTTATAGCAAAAAGCCACACACTTTTTCCAAGTCACTGGAAGTCTTGTGACATGACACAAGTTAACCTCAGTTGAACAGCTGTTTTCTATCAATTTTGAATTTGTTTGAATTATTTCGCAATATCATATTAAAACATCTCGGTAAGATAAATTCGTTGTCGCAGGATCACAAGGGGTACATGGGTTTTTTATGCGTCCCACGATAGGTTTTATATCATAAAACACTGGGTATAAAACCTAACGTGGGACACATAAAACACCATGTACCCCTCGTGATCCTGCTACATTTAATATTATAAACAGTATATACATCAAATAAATGAAAGCCTGATATACAATACACCCCTGTTTTTTTATACAAGTTGTTATACAGTGTACTGGTTGTTTATATATTCATGTATGGCAATGTGTTATATTTGTATATGTTACAGTATTCCAGTAACCTAGTCATTGTTCATTCATAAGCTATAGTGAAGTATATCACTATCACTTTTATGATCAGAAAAACTGAAAAATTGTCATTTTTGATAATATTCTACTTTCCACAAACCTACACCTGGGATTTGACTGGGGAATTTGTAACTGCTAGAAATGTAATGATACGTTGCAGCTAATCAGGTATTTATATAGTGGTTGAATCAGAGCTGTTTGAAAGTCTCCTGTTACAAACTGACTCCATCAGTATGACGATGATGTCCAAGTGGGGATGCAATCTCATGACGGGTCACGTCAGACCAAACTTTCGCAATCTTTGACTGACCAATGGAATGACTAACAAGAAGTCGACAATAGCCAATCAGAAGGCAGCTTAATCAAGCTTGATGGCACGAGTTTCAAACTGGCGAGGTTGCACGATCAAAATCACATTCCAACTGTCACTTTCATGATCTCATAGCGATGCTCTGATGAAAGATGAAAGGTCGTTCTGACATGACCTGCAATTGGATGTCCTCAGATCATTTTTTAGCGGTAGCTATTGTAAGCCTATGTTAAAGAATAGGAGTTACGATCATCTTATCGCTAAGACCGCTTTGTGCATGTGGGCCCTGATTTTAATGAGATTGCAGGTGGGGATGCTGGGTTAGATTGGGTTCACCTATGTCGGTTGTAGGAGGCGACTTAAAGGATCAGGTGGTAAGGATTGGTTACCTTGTTGATTGCATGTGTTATCATATCTTGTCATCGTGGATCGAAGCTAATTATATCAATCACTGGATTGTCTGGTTCAGGATAATGGATTATTTAGATGCTGTCATTCATAGCTGAAATATTGCTGACTGAGGCATAAAACAAGAAACAAAATCTGAGGATGAGCAAGACCCAGTATCAAGTTGCTGTCAAGTGTTCACAGGTATTGTCTGGGACATATTCCATTAGTCATGGCTGCAGTTATGTCTCTGTTATATTGTATCTGTATTATTCCCCCCTCACTCACTCTAATGATGCCACGGTTGTTTATAAAAAAAAAAAATTTGCTGTCGTTGTTTATGTCAGGTCTGCTTAAGAAATAACTTTAGCCACTAGTCCGAAGACCGAGTCTAGGGAAATTCTGTCCTGTCTAGTAAGCTCAACTTATAAAAATCCATATGATAACTCTAAATTCTACTGAAATTATGCTAAGAGCTGTGTTAAGGCAAGTAGTGTCAAAAGGTTTTGGCACAGATTGTACCATATGAAATCGTCTTTGTTTATCATTCTGACAGGAACCTAACGACAATTACATCTCCACCTCTACATCTTTTCCTCATCATCTTCCCTGACTATTTACATGGATGTCAACCTCTTTATCATAAGGAACACAACGCTTCAGAGTATATGCTTACTCCTTTATCAGGTGAATAAAGTTTACCTGATGAAGGAGTTAATATATACTCCGAAAACTTGTGTTCCTCATAATAAAAAGGTTAGCATCCATAAATTCTCTTCCTTATGTGTATCACTTCTAAATGCCTTTCAAAGACTTATTTAACTTGTGTTGACTTTTAAAAGCTGCACTCTGAAGTATTCAGTAATCACCATGACAGCTAGTAAAGTATTGTGTCTGGATGAGACAAACCTGTGATTGATGTTAGTATCAACATCCCACTCCATCAGGGCATGATGTCATGCAAGTCACTGAGTCAGACCACACCCGATCCAATATAGTATTATAACAAGCTATACGGTACAGGGGACCTATTCTAACCCATTCATCACCACTCGCCCCTTTCCGTGACCTGCAAGAAGACTTGCCCCCTATCGATAAATGTTATGTGCAATAATACGACAAACCAATCAGAATGCCCGAATGATTTCAAATTCTTCGTCAAAGAATCCCTCAGAAATAATTTTAGATTTTACATATGTCTTGCATCTAAAAATATACCCAAGACACAGTTAAACGTGCTCAATCATACTGTATAATTCTGCATGTCCAGATGGGCTTTAAATTGCATCTGAAATAAATATAATATATGGTGAAATATATGTTGAACCATTACGCAATGAGTTGACAATTGTTTTAGGTATGCCTGTTTGCGCTAAGATGGAACCCGGTTGCAAAAATGGCCATGAGAGGGGCACGAGTCGCTATTCGGCTTGTCCCGGAATAACACGAGTTGGTCACGAATGATTCTAACCAGGGTCTGCATGGATACTAGTTTACTGAAGATTTTCAATTGGCTGAGTTCACAGAAAGTGTAAACATAAAAATGAATATTACCTGAACAACTTAATTCTCAAATAGGCAATATACTTACTCCTTGTCCCAGTTAACTTTATCGAAGCAATTGTCTTGTTTGATAGGGATTTTTTAGAAGTTGATGGATGACAAAGTAGATTATTTATGGATAACGACTAATTGGTATAGATCCTTGTAATGTTGTCAGCTATCTAAACCGAAACATGACCATTACAGTAAATTAAAGAAGTTGTTATTTTTGAATTGTGTCTACTTTGCAATTCTTGTCTGATAAATGTTCAGTCTGAAAATATGTTCAGAACAAGATTACTGCACAAGTTCACAATGGGAATTACTCCAACAGAGTCCATGTCTCAAACAGTGGCCATAATCATCTGTGATGATCAATATAACTCAATCTCATTAAAATCAGATCTGAGGACATCCCATTACGGGTCACGTCAGAACGACCTTTCGCAAATTTTGACCGACCACTGAAATGACAAGAAATGGACATTGGCCAATCAGATGGCAGCTTTATCGCGCTTTACGACACTAGTTTCAAACTGGCGACTACGCTTCGAAACATATTTTGACGTGTTCTCTATTAAAAAGTTTATAGCTGATAAGAGGAACATGCTGGAATGGCTTATAGATGGCCTAGATTGTATGGATATAGTCATAAAACCCGTAACTGTCGTTCGGAATACCCCGTGTTAAATATATTGTCGTTGCATGATTAGAAAACACATTTCGACTGTCACTTTCATGATCTGGTAAGCGACGCTATGATTGGTTGGATGAAAGGTCGTTCTGAAGTGACCCTTGATGGGATGTCCTGAGATCTTTGTTTAGCGATAGCCAGAACTAAGATCTGATTTTAATGAGATTGAAAATAACTGAAATATTCCACACAACATATGGTAACATCCTTGATATGATATTTAATATGAGGGAAATTGTCTCTTTTGTGCCACAGTTTTAGGCATTTCTTTTCCAAGTCTTACACAGACAGTCCTTTTATATAACACTGTTATTCATCCTACTGTTGTTTGTATTTATATCATTACTGAAGCATACCGATAATTTATTAATACCATATTCTACAAAATAAGCGCCTCAAAATTAGAAATAGGGGCTCTTATTAGAATATTATTTTGGTGAAAAAAACAGAGTTGAAAGATTGTTAAGTTCATGGTTTATGCTGACAGCCTGAAATGTTTATACACGACAGATATATTTTTCCAGAATTTAATTGCCCATAATTAAGGGTGCATATGACACACGAGTGCGTATTATACACGAATAAATTTAAGTTTTGTGTACATTGTTCAATCGGAAGGGGTGTTAATTGGGATTGTTCACTTGCCAATATATTAGCAAATATTGCCGTGGGCGTTTATTATGTCGAATACGGTACTTGCTGACACCACGTGGAGCGT